GGGACACCTATCAGGCATGTACCGGTAGAGTAGTCTGCGGAATTTCCAGCCCTTTCCAGAAACAAATGGGCAGCCCGAAGGGCTGCCGCACGCACGCACGCACAGGGACTGAAAGTCGCAGACGGCACGCATCACTTGTGCTGAACTGAGTTGAGCTTGACAGTCACCCCACTCTACTCACCCACTCATCTACTTATCCACCCACAGCGAACGCAGCGAACGCGGCGGTATGATGCGGTCCGACATGTGCATGCACCTTATTTACCTACCAGGTATGCACGCCCTCTCCCGATGCATGGTCCGCAGTCCCCACTGCCCAGTCCCCAGTCCCTCCCCCACTACGTACCAACTCGAAGTTACTCCCTCACCCACCCCACCCCACTCCACACGTAACGTAGAGCACCGTACAGCACTCTCTCGCAATAAGAGTCGGAGTCAGCATCTTATGCGAGTAACCACTCTCCATGGCGTACCATAATATAAGGTATCCAGGTATCCACAGAACGCATTCCGTAATCGCAGGTGACAGTCCTGCCAGTCCCACCAGTTCAGAGCTGAACTGAGCTGAGCCCGACTAATAGTTAATTCCGTTTGCCCACAGGCCGCAGACCGGAGGCCGGAGGCTGGAGGCCGGAGCACGGCAACGCCGACTTCCGCATTGGTGGATTGGTGGATCTGAGACATGCGAAAAGGCTTGATTCGTCAGTCCGAGACATGCACTGCCCACACCCACCAGACAGACTGACTGACTGACAGACAGAAGTCCGGCCCGGAAATGTGCACATGTTTGGGAAAAAGGCGGCGATAGAGTACCAGCGGTATGTCAACGCCCGCCCGCACCAACGAACGATCGATCCCCGCACGGAGAGGACGCGATAGTAGTTGGTGCTGGGGATCACCCGGAGCCATGGGTTTAGCATATGTGGGGCCCCCCAAAAGCCTCAAGAGCCAGGTGGAGATTAGAATGGTGACGAGCGAGGACTGGACTCGTGAATAATTACCTATGTTCTCAACTGATATATGACGATGCGGAAATGTGATTCCGCACGGGGAGAAAGACGGGGGGCGGCGATGGTATGTAGTAACATTAACAGAAGCAGGATCGTCTCCGGTGAGTGTGTGTGTGTGTATGTGGGGGGGGGTTTCACGTCAGTCATACATATCTGTCTCATTGCGGCGCAGCATTTTCTGGACATAAAGTTTATCACAACCCACGCGGTGGGGGCCATCTCTCGATTTTTCACGCCTGGACCGCGATGGGCCACGGGCCACGGGCCATCATCATCGGCCATCGGATCCACCAAGCTGGCCCATCACTCCTCACTTTCGCAGCAGTAGCAGCAGCAACAGCGGGAAATCCGACTCGCATGTATGTCCGTCTGTATGTCTGTCTGTATGTCTGTCTACCTTCTTCCTCCGAAGAAAAAAAACAGCTTTGCAGCGCTGCAGAAAGTCTTTGCTCGTGGAGGAGGGGGAGGATGGGGGGTTTGCTGCCTAGTGTTGTGAACCGTGGCCAAGCCAGATAAGCGCAAAACAACCGAGGTCACAGATCTTCCTGGACCGCTAAACCATGGCGTTGGGATTGTGTGGGCTGGGGGGGAAGGTGAGGCTGAATTTGATAAGCAATCCTGCTTTGAGCCGATACTCTAATCATACTTCGGTCGGCGGATTGCGTAGACAACGCCATGCTGTTTGCTGGCCGTGATCTAGATCTCCGGGAGAAGCGGCGGTTGCAGGGCCGCCGGCAGCATCTGCCAATAATTGCCAGTGATGGAAAGCTCTCTTCCGGGAATCCAACATGCCTATATGCATACATACCTCATACCCAGCTTGAGAGAGAAAGATCCCTCGGCAGATCCACACCACCACCACCCACCACCACCACCACCACCACCACCACCACCATTGTCACCGCCGCAACTGGTCAACTCAGCTGTAGCTAGCTGAACGAATGGAAAAATCCCACCATGATGGAGCCCATTCGAATTCACCGCCCTCCGTTTGTTCGTTCCGATGGTAGGTAGGCAGGTATCCTCCCTCGTTGGCTGCAGTACCGGAATTGTTACCGAGATGCGGTAGGTAGGAATAGGTTAAGAACGACAGCACGGCCGGCTGAAACCGTACGTACATAAAAGCGCACGAAAAATGAGCTCATGTGTACCAAGGTCCCTGGTAGTTGGCGAGAGCAACCATGTACTGGTTAGTAGATTGATGGGGAGGGGGGGCGCCGTGGAGAAGCACACGACGTGTAGATTGCGGTTAGGGTTGGTCGACAGCAGCGGAGCGATCCTCGACTCTAGAGTCGACTATACTAGTACCGCAGGTAGTCCTCGGAACGGAGGCATGGCGGGGGGAGGGAGAGGCTTGAGGTGCCTGGCCAAGCGTCCAGGGAGCAGGTCTATCCGAAACCAAAGTCACCAAGCATTCCAAACTTTCCGGGTGTCCAGAAACTCGGCCTCAAATTCGGTAAGTGCGCACATATACCGGTATATATGGTTGTTCTTGGTACACAAGTAAAGTGCGCACTTGGGTATATATTGTTCTTGGTCCACAGGTAGGCACGTACCCGGTAGGAAACAATATGTCGGTATGTACTCTAGGCGACATATAGTACCCACGTATGCAGATTTGTTTTTCCGTGCGGCCGGTTCGTCGACCGACAATTCGACGACGAAGCCGATAGCCACTTGATCGCCGCAGGCTGCAGGCATCAGAAGCAGCAGCAGCATGCAGCACTCTGGAACATACCCATAGCGGAAACATTACGTGCGTGCGTGTGGATGTGGAGTAGGTGTGATCGAATAGTGGATTCATGGTTGGGGATGTTTCGGTGTGGATGTGCAGTGGAATGGTGCCGTTTCATGGTTGGAAAGATTTCAGTGTGGATGTATGTTCGGTTTTTCGTCTCCGTGCGAATCCACACGAGTACATACCGGTACCATGGGCACCTTGGGTCCATATTGTCCTGCATCCGAGACGGAAGGTAAACAGGTTATGGTTTGCGGTTGAGTGCTACATATGAGCCCACGTATGTATCTTGCCTTCTGGACCGCTTCTCGTCCTACCGGGCCAGGGGACGAACGATGTTTGGCATCATCATCCGGCGGCTATGCGGTGGAAGTATGTACCGTACGTGGACGTGCGATGCCGCGGAGGCATGAATGTGTCTATCCGCATCAGTTGCAAGGCTTTGACCATGGAACCATGATGGTATCGATGATGGGGGATTTTTTCTTCTTTTCTTTCTCGATCGAGCTTCTTTCTGCTCATCCGCGCTTGGAAAAGCTCAGCGGTGTATGTAGGTGATGACAACGATCGGTTCCGTTGACATGATCACAACTGGAGTTCTTTCCCTGTGCATCGTGCCCGAAAGCCCGAGCTGTTATTCTCTACCCTTTTTCGGAGCACACGGTCTCGATTCCATGATACTCCCCGTGGTGGTGGTAGTGGTAGTGGCGGTGGCGGTGTTGTTATGATTATCGTAGTGTACATATTCCATGTAGTTATTGTTGCCGCCGCCGTCTCTGTTTAGTAGAGCCATGGCATGGCCACCACGGGCCACGGCTCAACTTTGACTTCCTCTCGACGTGACTCTGCAGTAGCCTCGACGGACACGCAGATAGGCTAGGCCGAAAGGTAGCGTAGGCAATGACCCTGCGCCTACATGCCGTACATGGCTCTCTCAACGCACGTACTCTACGTATGTATGATACGTAGGTACATAAGTGATTTGGCATATATCTTCATTGCCAATGCCAGCGGTGTTCCGACGGGGTCAGCAGACCAGGAGGCCGGTGCTCTAGCTGAAATCTGGGAGAGAAGCAAAGAGTCAGTCCGGCAGCTCTGTGGAGAATGAGGAGGAGGAGGGAAGCAAAGAGTCAGTCCGGAAGCTCTCCGGAGGAAGCGGAGTAGGTGGTGATGATGGAGGATATCGATGCGGAGGCGGTGGTGGTTGGTAGATAGTGGTGGTGGTAGTTGGTAATGGTGGCATAGAGCAACAACAGGCATCGGGGGAAGGGGGGTGGATGAGGGCTGTTGACTGGTAAGGCAAGACAAGGAAGGCAAGTACTCCAGAGTACTTATTCTACTCCAAGTAGAATAGAGCAGAGAAGAGCAGAGCAGGGTGTCAGGACGCAAGACGCAGGCGGTGGTTAGCTTAACCGCTTTCTCTTTTTTCTTTCCCGTGTGCCCTGGGTTCGTTCGTAGTTAGCCAACAGGCGGAGGGACAGGGGGAAGCGCAAGTGACTACAGAAACGTTATAAAAGTCTCCCAATGGCCTCGCTCGCCGGCGATAGCGGAGAAGGATCCAGAGAAGGCAACGCAGTCCGACGACCAAGCCCCCCCCGCAGCGTGGACGAAGAAGAAGAAGAAGAAGAAGAGAGGAAGAAGAAGATCAGAAGACGCAGAAGGGACAGGAGAGAAGAAGAGAAGATCACAGGAGAGAAAGAGAAGAAGAAGAAGAAAATCAAGAACAGACAAAGAGCAAGAACGGATCAAGAGCAAGAACAAGACCAGAAGACACAGAGCTCAGACGTTGCCTCCCCGTTGCCCCGACGTCTCGTCTGCATCGCCGCTTGCCTGCCGTATTCGCCTACTATCCGTTCCCCGAGCCGGACACACTCACTCACTCCATCGTCACTCCATCATCACTCCATCGTCACTCCGTATCGGTCTTCAGATTCCCTATTCATCCGCCGCCATTGACACACGACCGCCTCTGCTTTGCTCTGTATCGCTCGAGAATAGCACCCCCACATCCACCCCAATCGCTCACTCGTACATTCCTACTTGCCTAACTACACCCCCATCCCCATAACTGAGTACTTACTTGGCTTCCTCCCATTGTCCTCGCTCTCGGCCGCACGGCAAGCACGCACATTCACGCTCGCACACGTCTATAGGAAACCAGACCGGTTCCGCATTTCGGACATTTTTTGATTCTCACTCATATCGATCGTATCGAGCATATCAATCGCATCGAGCGTCGTCCGGCCACCATCATGTATTCGATGTCGAATCCCGGTCAGCACCAGCAGCAACACCCGCAGCAACACCAGCAACACCATCATCACCAGCAACAGCACCAACACCCACACCCACACCAGCAGCTCCCCCCGCCGCCATCGCAACAACAACAGCAGCAACAACAGCAACAGGGCCCACCACAACCACCGTCCCTTAGTCGTGTCCCCTCCTCCTCCTCGCTCGCGCAACCTCCCCCTCCCCCTCCGCCTGGCAACAGCAACAACGGAATGGTTATGCAAAGTATTCCCGCCCCACCGAATATCTCTTGCCGTGCAGATGGCCGTATCTGGAGCTTGGAAGTGAAGCAGCAGCCCATCCGGGCTCGCATGTGTGGTTTTGGCGACAAGGTGCGTAATGGCCCCTCCGGGGAGTGAAGCCATCTTCGTATGCTGTTCTGCCATGCGGCACAACCATCGATATCTCTTCCCCGCAAAAGAAGAAAAGAAGGAGAAAAAAAAGAAAACTTTCGGGATCCTTTGTGCTAACGGATATCCGCAGGATCGTCGACCAATTACTCCCCCGCCATGTGTCAGATTGGTGGTGAAGGATGAGGCGACAGGGAAGGAAGTTGACATCAAGTGAGTCTCACCGTGTCCCTCACGTCACCTCGAAACCTTCCGCTTCACGTTTTCCCTACGAAGACGCCGTGCGTCCGCGGTTCGATGCAGTCGTCTCCCCCCCTCGCTGGGGAAGCCCGTTCCTCTGTTGTCGAGAAGATACACGACTGACACGATGCCCCCGTGCGTGTAGTGAGGTCGAAACATCGCACTACGTCCTCACGGTCGATCTCTGGTCGGCCGATGGCACCAGAGAAGTAAATCTCGTCCGGCATTCCGCCACCTCTCCTTCCATCTCCGCCGCGACCTCCTCCTCCTACCCTCCGCCCCCTCCAACCCCCCCGCCCCATCCACATCCACAAGCTCATCATCCGCACCACTCGCAGCAGCAGCAGCACCCCGGATATGCGCATTCGTCGATGCACACCCAGATCTCGTATCCAGGGTACCCTCCTCCGCCACCGACCCCGCCATCGCAGCTCCCGCAGCAAAATTACTATCAGCCACCGCCGCCCCAGCAGCAACAGCAACAACACTCCGGCGGTCCCGGCTACTACCCGAGCATACATGGCAGTCTTCCTGCGTCCGCACAGCAGCAGCAGCAGCAACAGCAGCAGCAACAGCCTCCGCCACAGCAGCAGACGCAACAGACCCCATCGGGCATGTTCACGCGCAACCTTATCGGCAGCCTCACTGCTAGCGCCTTCAAGTTGACGGATCCGGATAACAAGATCGGCGTCTGGTTCATCCTGCAGGATCTTTCGGTGCGGACGGAGGGTTCATTCAGGTGCGCAGCTGAGGCACCACTCTTGACCGTCTAATCGATGTTAATGGTGTGTTCTTTTTTTCTCTAGACTGAAGATGAACTTCGTCAACGTTGGCCGAGGTGACGGAAAGCTCAACACCGGTGTTGCACCCGTGCTCGCTACCGCGTACTCTGACGTGTTCCAAGTCTACAGTGCGAAGAAGTTCCCTGGCGTGATCGAGAGTACAGGATTGAGCAAGTGCTTTGCCATGCAGGGTAAGCCTACTTCTTGCCTACCTTCCCCGCACATTTTTTTCCTTTTCTTTCTCGCCAGAGCAAGAGTTGACGGATCGTTTACAGGCATCAAGATCCCAATCCGACGCGACAAGGGAGATGGTCCGGAGATGTAATTTCACAAACCGAGGCGCGCATGGGACATGTTTATTATACGAGGCAATTGGATCTTTGGGGGTTGGGGGGCATTTTACTGCTTCTATTGTTTTTTGGTCTTTGGTCTTTGGTTTTTTTGGGTTGGATGCATGTATTTTGGATATCGATCTGATTCGATGTGCTAGCTAGGGATATTACTACGGGAGTCCGATATCTTTCCTTTTAGCTTTCGTGTATTGCCTGGGCATGACCATCAAGGTATCATCAAAAAAAACTGATCGGTTGTGTATGTATTTCCCTTATGCAACTCCGCTGTGCCGGAGGTCATTCTGGAGGGCATCGAGAGACTTTCTTCTCTCTACTCGTTGCACGGAATAGGACTGTATGTATGGTGAGGGCGGCCGCTGTGAAAGGGAAACCTGGGCGATCCCCCAGTCCCCCGGCACCGCCGCCTTCAAGGATCTCCCCCCAAACGCCCCGCAAGCTGCAGCAAACATCCATAGCCGCAGTGGTTATCCCAGCCCACGTGCGTTTATGTATGCAGACGTTTTTGGGGGTGGCTCTTCTTGGTGGCACAACGACCTGCCTCGTACATACAAAGACTGCTCGAGCAGCCCAGTGCAATGCGTTGTTTATCCGCTGGATACATATTTACTTTAGATTCTAAGGCGGTTATTCGGGTGTCCCTACTGTTTGCGGCGATGACTTGGAAGATGGGGGGCGCAGTGGAGTGGAGTGGAGTGGATGGAATGGATGGAGTGGATGATTGTTGTGTGTGCTGCATCGTAGATAGAGTAGTTACGGGGCGACTTTACTTTATCGTATGTTGTTTTTCTTCTTCTTCTTCTTCGCCACGGACGGACGAGCAGGCCGGAAACTGAAGTTCTCAAAATACATATGATGGGGCGGTACTCTAATATCTACTCTGTTCCGTTCGCGCGTACACGATGGCTAGAAGGCATAATTCTCCATGCTATTGAAATTCACAAGCATCGCAAGGCTAATACATAGCATCATTACACGGAAATAAAAAATAAAACGCAGACTAGGACAAATGGCTACCTCGGTTCAGTTCAGACCAACGGCTTCGCCTTCTTCTTGATGCCCAGAGCGGCGCCCAGATCCCGTTTCCTCTTGACCGTCTTCTTGAAGCTCGGAATCTCGATCGCCGGCGGAGCTGCAGCAGCAGCGGAAGCTGAGCTCGAAGCCACCGCAAATTTCGACGATTCCTCTTCTGCTCCCTCCACCACCCTCCGCACAAACGTATCATCCTCCGTCCTGAACGCTTTCTTCGCCGCCTCGTCGTCCTCCCACTCCTGCCGCTCCCTCTCCAACGTCGCAAAATCCTTCACCTCCGTCAACTTGTCCATAACCTCGCCCTCGTCCACCCTCTCATTCCTCGCATTCCTAGTCCTAATCTCATCCAGTGCATCTGCAATCTGCATCTCCCTCTTCGAGTCGAGGGTCTTCGTCTCGAGCTTCTCCATAGCGGATTCATTCTCCTCCTCCTCGAGCCTATTGAGCCTCTCCTCCTCGGTCTCCTCAGTATCCTTAACATTCCTCCACGGCTCAAAGTTCCGGATCGCGCCCTTCTCGCACGTGTAGTCCATATTTTTCGGATCGGTCTTGAACGTGATCTCGCTGCTGCAGCGCGTGCACCGGATGTAGAACCGGAATATGCTGATGTTGTAGTACTTCTCGCTGCTGTTCTCCTTGCGCGCGTTGAACTTCCGCCCCTTGTAGATGAACTCGCCGCATGTCAGACATTTCATCGAGAAGGGCGCCATCAACCGCACGGTCTGCTGCTTCGGTCCCACGGGTTTGGGCCCCTTGGTACGTGTGATCTTCGAGGGGTCGAAGTCGGGTGGGAACTGGGGAGGGTGTTAGCAGCCGCAGCAGTGGATGCGGGGAAATCGAGGGGGACTCACGTATTTCTGGAGGACTTTGCGTTCGGACATGGCGGCGGCGGTGGTAGCGGTGGTGCGTGTGATGAAGTGGGATCGTCAGAAGGTGGAGGTATACGCGGATCAGTTGGTTTTGTAAGAGCAGTTGTGAAGGCGATGTGGATGGACAGTAGCTGAACGGGTGTGGGTGTGGACGTGGACGTGGGCGCGAGCGTAGGCGTGAGCGTGAGCGTGGTGTTGAAGTTGTATGTAGGTAGAGAGGTAAAGGAAGCATAGAGATACCCGTTGCCGCGCTTTAGCTCAGGTGTATGTGGCGTAAAAAGCTTAGCCACAATAGGCATTCAAGCGTTACACAAAGTTATTTCATTGTTACTCACTCGCGGCTTGTTTCTCTCCCTCTACACTACAACATGCAACATACATGACGACAATGAATTCAACAGCCTCGTCACGTTCGGGTGCCTCAAATGGCGGCGCAAGTACTGGCCGTGCGAGAACCAGCAGTACTCTAAGCATCTCCCGCCCCACCACCACCTCCCGCCCCACTACTACCTCCCGTTCCCGGCGGCCAAGGGCTGCGGTGTCAACAATTGGCGGTGCCCAGAAAGTGGTCTGTGCTATCACCGAGTCTCGTGGGATCTCTGCGACTGTGGGGCTATGCTTCGTCAACATGTCGACTGGCGAATGCCATCTGAGCGAAATATGTGACTCGCAGACGTATGCACACACGGTCAACAAGCTGTTCGCGCACGACCCGAGCGAGGTATCATACTGCTGCTGCTGCTCCTAATTCCCCACACGGAGTACCTATCCTAATAGCGATCCCCAGATCCTCCTCCCGTCGACATCGTACACGCCGCAAAAGACCGCGCTGGTCGGGGTGATCGAGTTCTACATGCGAGACTGCACGATCGTGTCGACGCCGCGCAAGTTCTACAGCGAGCTAGCGGGGCGGGAGCAGATCGAGCGGCTGGCGGGCGCGGACGACCTCGCCGCGCTGACGGTCTCCATCTCGGGGAAGTACTATGCGGTGTCCGCTACAGCGGCGGCGCTGAAGTACGTCGCCATCAATCATATGAGGTTTGCGCCGCATACCCTGCGCATAAAGTATTGGGGAAATGAAGGTATGTGATGCGAACTCACTGCCCGCGGCCTGCCTGCCTGGCTGGATGAGGATAGAAGGTTGATTGATTGGGCAGGATCCATGTCGATTGATTCTACCACAGTCCGCTGTCTGGAGTTGATCCAGAATCTGCAGAACGAAAAGTCGACTGATAGTCTGTTCGGGTTGTTGAATAATACTAGCACGGCCATGGGAGCGCGGCTTCTCCGGTCAAACATATTGCAGCCATCGACCGAGGTGGACTTTCTCAACACTAGGCTCGATGCTGTTGACGAGTTTACGAAGCATGAGGATATGTTTTTTCAGATCAAAGAAGCTCTCAAAGAGTTTCCTGATATGGATCGGCTCTGCATGGCGGTAACTATGGATGGGCCCCAGTGGTTAGGATGCGGGAGTTATAGCTACATAGCTGACGTCGGTGTCTGGTGATAGTTGACCTCCGATCCTGTCAAACCGTCGCAGAAGCATACAGAGCAAGCTCTTAACAATGTTATCTTGTTCAAGCAGGCGGCGCTACTCGTGGGACCCGTACACGAAGCTTTAGCACCAGCACGTTCTACGTTGTTGCAGGACATCAGGGCTGTGAGTTGCTGTCTGTGAGGGATTTCGTGGGTGGAATCTAATGTGCTCCTGCAGTTCTGTGCTCCGGACAAGATTGACCCTGTCCTGAAGATAATTAACAATGTGATCAACGAGGAGGCGACTTACAGCAAAGGTCCCTTGGAGCTGCGGAATCAGCGCTGCTATGCGGTCAAGGTATGTATTCCACCGAGAAACCCACAAATCTGAGCTGCAGTTGATGCTCTGACACGACATCCATAGACAGGGGTGAGTGGAATGCTAGATGTCGCTAGAAAGGCCTACAAGGAGTTCACCATGGAGATCATTTCTCTCGGCGAGGAACTCTCCAACGAGTACAACATCGTGCTCGAGATCAAGTATGAGCACGGACGTGGATTCTACTTTCGTCATCCGGTTGTGGATCTAGTGGAGAACCCCCTCCCGCCTGTATTCGTCAACGTTATCAGAAGGAAGAAGTACATGGAGTTAGGGACTATCGAGCTGTGCAAACGCAATAAGAAGGTGAGCATCATTCTGCTTCGGGGATCGGCCCCTATCAGGAGGGACCATGGCCTTTGTTGCAGAACCATGATCCTGGGGAAGTGGCTTGTGATCAAAGCTCCCGCAACTAACAGGCCGTGTGTAGGTCAATGATGCGTTTCGTGAGGTGATGCAGATAAGTAGGCTTGCGGTTCTCTTCAACCTGTGCCTTAGACTGGCTATTGATACCCTGTAGATGACCAGACTGTCGACCAACTTATCCAGGACATCCGGGAGCAAATCAATAGCTTGGTCAGGGTCGGGGAAGCAATCGGGTTGTTGGACATGGTAAGACAAGGCAGTCTCAACAACAGGCAAAGCCATGGAACGATTGATGACTGACAGCGCCGATCATCTGGGATAGCTTTGTTCATTCGCACACCTGTGCACTCTGCAAGACTACGGTAATCAGCCCCCGTACCCTATATCCGGCAACTTCGGCAAGAGTATCTCTAATATGCTGTGGGGGCATACTTACCGCCTGGCTAGTGATGCTGACGCCTAATAGTTCGCCCAGAATTCGCGGAAAATGTGGCGGTGAAGGGTTTAAGACACCCGATTAGGGAAACAATACACAAGGACAAATTTGTCCCAAATGATGTGTATGCGAGCCAGCAGTCAAGGTGAGCGAACCCACAGGACGGCCCCGATATGGTGAATGTGTTGAGGCGGAGGAGGCACATAGATGTATGTCTTACTGACATCATGCGTTAGGTTTCAGGTCATCACTGGTACGTCTCAAACTCAGTTCCTCCAGAATATCTCCTGCTTGAGACATCTGCAGAGTGCTAATCGCTCGTGCGCAATGGCTTCAAAGGATGCAACATGTCGGGAAAGGTAAATACCACTCCCTATGGATTTTTGCAACCCTAGAGGTGCGGAGCCGGAGCTAACGGCAGATACAGTCCACATACCTCCGTTCAGTGGCTCTAGTTGTGGTTATGGCCCAAATCGGCTCATTGTAAGTACCCGCTCTATCTTTGAAGACGAACAAGCTCCCAACGGCCCCAGTGTTCCCGCTACGCACGCCTGGCTACCCATAACCCTGCAACTCTTCGCGCGCATCTCAATGGATGACTCAATCGAAGCCAACGTCTCCACATTTGCAGCCGAGATGCGAGAGACCGCCTTCATCCTCCGCAACGTCAGGAAGGGCAGCTTGGTCATAATCGACGAGCTAGGCCGTGGCACGAGCCCTAGAGATGGAATGGCCATTGCCCTCGCCATATGCGAATCACTGGTCGAGACTAGAGCGTTCGTCTGGTTTGTTACGCACTTCAAGGAGCTGACAGAGATACTGTCTGAGAGGGCGGGCGTGATGAATCTGCATATGCAAGTCGAGGTACTCCCCGCCCCCCGCTCCCTCCCTCCAACCAGGCTGACAACTGCTGCAGTGTCAATCCCAATCCTCAGTAACAATGCTCTACAAGCTTGCCGACGGCCGAGTGAAAGACGAGAACTACGGCCTGCTGCTTGCGCGGCTCGCGCAGCTGCCGGAGTCCGTCGTAAACCGTGCAACAGTCGTGTCGGAAACACTCACGAAGCAGCGGGAGCTGGCAAAGATGAAGTCACAGATGTACAACATGGTTCGCCGCCGACGGGCGGTGCTGCGGCTCGTCGAGAGTCTGAAGGAAGCTCGTGATGGCAGGATGGATGAAGCAGTGCTGAAAAGTTGGCTGGCTAGGTTGCAGCGCGAGTTTGTGGCTAGGATGGAGGTGCTGGGTATTGAGGAGGGCGAGGAGGAGGGGGAGCAGGCTGGGGAAGCGGATGCGATGCTCATCGATGATGAGGATGAGGATGGGGATGAGCAGATGGTAGATGAACACACCACCACTAAAGCTAATACTGAGGAAAATGGAAGCACGGCCGGAGAACAGGAGTGGGAGGAACTTTTTGACGGGATTGAGGGCGATGAAGATGCACTGCTCAATGGGGGTGACGCTTAAACTTCGCGAAGATCTGCTTACTTGATTGATTGCTTACCTGCTTACATCGAACATGCATAGCTACCATACTCGTTTCGTTTTCTTGCCTTTTAGTTTGCATGGACGAAGATGACATTTGTTGTTTACGGAGGACAAGGCTTGAGCTTTGAGGGGAGATATTTGCATGATTAAATGCTTGCGGCGCTCTTAGCTGCTATACTTACTCGGGTACTTACTTTCATTGTGAGCTCTTAGACACTTAGGCATTACAGCTTTAGCTAGCTTTGCATTGAATAGAAACTTGGAATGTTTACTGCATAAATGATACGCCTTTGCGTGATGATGTGAGGTTGGGCAGTGAAGTGGTCATAATCGCTCACTCGCAAGATTATGCTCGCCGGCCGGCTGTATCATTCAAAGACACTGCGTGCTGCACCACAGTCTAGGTAGATAAGCTTCATGCAACGAATGGTGAAATAAACAAATAAACAACAATCAATCTTCCAAGAGTTGGAACATTCCATCAAACTAAAAAGTTTCCCCTAGGTATGTAGGCCGGTACATATGATCAGTGAAGTAAAGTAAAGTAAGTGCTTACTGTATAATCAAACGGGTAGGATCTAGGTATGTGTAGAAACACTCGATCACGCGTGGATAATACCAACAGCATAAACCCTACCCCCTTTGATTGTTCAGTAAGTACATAATAGTAGTGAGGCAAGACCATCACGAGTTGTCAAGTTTAGAAGTTTGCATTTCACATTTCAGTACACTTCCTATTCACAGCAATTTACAGGGTAGGTATATCTACTAATTTCACTAAACACCATCATTCGTATCGGGAACAAACTTCTATTATTCATCCCTAATCCCCCCCGAGTAACCTCAAATTACCGTATTACCGCCTAATGCCTATTTCTAGCCCTGGGCTTGCTCCTCACGATGCTATCAACACGCAACAACATTTCCGCCGCCTCACTAGCCGACGAGACCACCGCTCGCTTCAGCTTGAAAGACTCGATGATACCGAGCTCCCTCATATCCGCGATGCGACCGCCGGGAGTGTACAGGTCGAGTCCGGAGGAGCTCATACCAGCATGGTGGGCGGCACGCAGCTTTGCGACAAGGTCACTCGAGTCGAAACCTGCGTTGTCGGCAAGAATTGTGGGGAGTTGGCGGAGGGCGCGGCCGAAAGCCTCGACAGCGAGGGCTTTCTTTCCCGCGGTGTTTTGTGCGGCGTTTTCGACGGCTTTGGACATGAGCATTTCTGAGCAGCCACCACCGAGAACGGTGCGGGTCTCAACGACGGTTTGAGAGAGGACGGAGAGGGCGTCGTGGAGGGAACGATCGGCTTCGTCGAGGAGTTGCTCGGTGGCGCCGCGGATGACGATCGTGCAAGCTTCGCCGGCGGCAACGCCGGAGAACTTGATCAGCGTGTCCTCGCCAATGATGACTTCCTCAATCAGGTCGCACTGGCCAAGTTTGACGGACTCGGGGTGGTCGAAGGTAGAGGCAATTTCTCCGCCGGTGACGAGGGCGAGACGCTCAATTCCGTCGAAGTCGGCGTGCTCAATTGAAACGATGCCGGCGTCGGCAAAGAGTTGTTCAGGCCAGTTGTAGATCAGTTGTCGGTTGACGAAGCAGTTGATGCCGTGGGCCTTAATCTTTTCCACCTTAGCTTTCATCTTCTCGCGTTCCGCCTTCTCGAGCTCAGCGAGCTTGCCCGTTGAGTCGACTTTCACTCGTGCTCCAAAGATCTTGATCTTGTCCGTGTCCATTGCTGCCCCAAAGTCAATACCGCCTTCATAATTGGTGGGCAGAGGCACAAACCAGTGTTCGCCACCAAAATCTTCGCCTTCTCCAATCTCTTCGGCTGGTTGAGTCCAATCCTCTTATCCAGGATGAAACCCTCGTCAAGGTACGAGTCAACCAACTTTCCTCCGGCCTTCTTGATGATCTGTATGTTGTTGAGGTTGGTGCTTCCCTTAAGCCTGAGCACGGCATCGACCGCGAGCTCCGCAAAGTGATCCTTATCTTGGCTCAGAACCTTCGAGCTCAGGGTGGTCTTCGCAATATTGATCAAATCCTTCCTGAACTTCTCGGGGTCGTTGCGGTTATCAACGGCGGCCTTCGTGAGGGAATCGAGGGCAGCGATGGAAGCGATACGGTATCCGTCGATGATAGTCTGGGGATGAATCTTCTGGTCCACGAGTCTTTCCGCCTCTCGCAGCAGCTCGGCAGCGAGCACGGTCACCGATGTTGTGCCATCACCAACCTCGTCGTCTTGTACCTTCGAGATGTTGACCAGTACCTTCGCCGCCGCGTTGTCGAGGGCTATCGATTTGAGGATCGTTGCGCCATCGTTGGTCACCATGATCTCGCCTGTTGAGCTGTTCCATCATCATCCCATCATATCAGCAAATGGAACCCATCTCATCTCATCTCTGAAGCAAGCAAATATAGCAATAACATACGCAGACTGCAGGATCTTGTCCATTCCCTTCGGCCCCAATGTTGTCTTGACGAGGTCTCCTACGGCAATAGCTCCCACGAACGCCGACAATCCTGGATAACTCCCGTCAGCTTCACCCTTCTACTCCCCCTATCAAACTGATAGAACAACATACTCGCATTCTCTCCACGTTCTTCCTGCACATCGTCGCCAAAGATCTGTGTTGGGTTCGACTGAAGCACCAAATACCAGTATTAGCTTTGGCTCCTACTCAAAGCAGACTCTCTGGAGGTTAGGGAACTTGCCATGATGGTATATTAGATGTATGGGGGTTGGATTTCGGTGATGGTGGGGTTCCGCCGTAACTGCTTTGCTGAACTTCTTGGGTTGCGGCTCGAAAGTTGTTAGCGCCATAATGCCAGCGAGGTAGGGTAAAGGGTTTTACTGCCGAGTGCTCATGAGTGATCTTCCAGTCGAGCTTGAGTTCGAGCTCTGTTCTCCGTGAATGAAAACTTCTAGACTCGATTCTATTACCAGGAAATTTATCCCAGCTATCACTATCACTACAAGCAAGCTGGCTGCAATCCACTAAAAGAAGGGAAAGAAAAACACCCAGCTCAAATGTTCGCCATACACCCAAACGCCAAAGCTTCAACGCTTGCTCTATCTACATAACGCTACATCCAATGCCATACATAGCCCTCTCAACATCCTTCTTGACTCTATACCAGTCCTCGCGTCTAGTCGCATACTCATAAACTTCCTCCACTCTAAAGATCCCGCCAAACCTCTGCGGATCTGCAATGACTGTGGCCATCTGCTTCGCATGCTCGGGGTCGATTAAATAGATTTGTGTGAGCTCTCGGAGCGCGGTGAAGTACGGGATTAGCGGTCGGAGCTTGAGCCCTTCGATGTAGCTATTGTAGAGATTTACGTCCCTAATTCATTAGGGAACGATAATAGAGAAGGATAGGGAAGGGAAACTCACGAAATCAACCTGATGGCGCCATCTATGGAGATCCGCTGTCGTTTTATGTGTTTACAGACGGTGGCGAACAACCTGAGGCCCACTTCTTGGTTAAACACATCAAGAACATTCTTATCAGTGCTTCCAGTCAATAGCTTTGTGTGAGTCTCGACGATCTCCACAATCCTAACCGCCGTCGGGCTGGGACCTATATCCATAGTTTGCCGCTTCTCTGCCGCTCCGACTTCCCCCAACGCCCCCGGATTGAAGTCGGTTACTTGTTGTGTAGTGGCAAAGATGTGCTCCAACTCGTCGATTAGCACATCGATTCCGACGTTGAGCCCGGCTGCGACACGCTCGTCCAGCATTTGCTCGAAGCGTTTCTTTTCCTTCGCAGCAGGATTGAGGAAATCATTACGATCCGTCAATCGTGCAGCTACCAGCTCTTGCTCGTAGAAAACATCAATCATCTGTTGAATCAGATCACCAATATTGACGAGCTCGAGGAAGGTGACTAGCGGTGCAACACCGTTGGATGTGTGGGCAACTTCGCGAGGGTTGTATTTTCCTAGATGCTCGACGGCCTTGTCGAAGCCTGCTTTGACGTGTCGAGGACCAAGGACTTGGAGGAGCGCAACAAAGATAGCTTCGCATTGCTCACGGCTGGTAAACAATCAGTTTCATGCAATGAGAATAACAGCGAGGAGACATACGCTTCCTCTCCAGTTTGTCCTCCAGTTTTAGCAAACACCGCAGCACGTTCCAAACTCTCCTTAGCCATGTGCACAAGCTTCAACGCTACATCGAGACTAAACAGGCCACTGATTCCCTGAAGCTTCGTATTTATGATGGCAGCTTTAGCAGCCAGTTCGGAGGTGGGCGCTACCATCACAGAGGGCGCGGGCGAAGCTCTACCGCTGAGTCCACTCGCAACAGACAATGCTCTATTCCTATTGGCGAAGTAATCCTCCGACGAATTACTTATCACCGATGCTCTATTGTTGTTGTTCGCATTCCAGTCTTGATCCGTGGCGTAAGGAGTGTCCGACACAGACCTCGAGTCGATAGTACTGATGACACTTGTCGGCCTAACATTGCCGAACGCCGAGGGTATGACCGAAACAGGCGCGAGGATAACCTTCTTAAAAGTGGTCAAAAAGTCCCGTTTTTCGGCCTCCCGGTTGACGTTACTCATGAAAAACGATTCGGTGGCTTCGTCTTGTCGCTGGATGATTTTCCCCCACGTTTCTACCTCCTCGCTGAATTTCTTTTTGCAATAGTCGAGTTCCTCCTGAAGATAGAGATCCACGTGCGCATCAAAGACTCGCATGAGAACGTTCAGCACCTCCTTCGCGGTGCCGTCGGCAGAAACCTTGCACAGAACAGGCTGCAGAGAATCCCCAAAGTCCACACTCTGCTTGAGAAGGCCCGTCACAGCCTTGAGGTACGTCTCCACATCGCGGTTGTGCGCCTCGTCGAGCACCGGAGTAACATACTCGGAAATGACATCTTCCGCAACACGCTCGACGAATGGTAGCATGACGTTGACCTCTTGGGGGAAAACCCTTTCAATGATACTCGCCTGCTTCTTCAGAACTTCCGCGAGCTTCTGCCAAAACACTTTCGCCGGTTCCAAAGAGAATGTTCCCTCCGTTGAATCACTACACATTGGATCAGCACAGTGCTTCCTTTGGCCGAGAATGGAACCTACTCGAAGCAATCCATCGGGTTTCCGAGCTCTTCCTTATTATAAAGCACCGGATGTTTCTGCACAAAAAGTTGAATGCATGCTTGCCCGCCGTTCAGCAGAATGAGCACATTCGCATATCTCTTCATGCGGCCGTCGATATCTTCGGTATCGAAGCCGCCCTCAAACTCCCTCAGTGCCGCGTTCTCAAAAACTTCCATCATAGCTTTCAGTCTATCCGTGCGTTCCGACCAGCCTACCGCAGTGTCGTACTCCGCGAACCTCTTCAGCTGTGCAAGCATCTGCGCCTGCTCCTCAGGATCCCGATACATCTGGAAGACGATCGGATCGGCATGAGTGCTAGCCATGACCAGATCCAGATACAGCGGCCCCAGAGCTCCATAAATCCTTCCGAATTCATGTCGTGCAAATCCGCGAATACTACGCACACTCTTCAGCACCGTCAACAAGCTCCCCTTATCCATGAGCGCCGGCCGTGAGATCTCCGTCCCAGACGCAGAAACGCTCATCAAGTCGAGACCAGCGGTGACCGCTGCAGTCGCCGCCGGAGCAGCAGCAGCAGTAGCAGCCGCAGCTTTCGCCTTCTCGGACTCCTCCACAGCATCAAAAACAGTAATTCCCTTTCCAGCGGCGGCAGCCGCTCTCGATTCGGCGAATTTCTTCTCCTCCGCCGCCCTCTTCGCAGCATCCGCCGCCCGTTTCTTCCACATAGCATCTTCAAAACGCTTGCGAGCTTCGGTCTCGTTCCAGACCTCCATCAGCTGCAACTTCGTTACCCAGCGGGTATCATCGTAGACCATGTCGCGCAGGCGGTGCGACACACGTGCGAACGATAACAGATCCCGCACAGGGAGGTAGTCTAGGATTGTCGCGATGATTTCTATTACGTGCGAGATAACATTTGAGCTTCATGTTTTGCTTTGCTTTTGCGAGGTTTACGACTTGAACTGGAAGGGAGAGAATGTGATGGTACCGGCAGGCAGGACGGAACGTGTCATGTTCATCCCCGGGAGGGGAGTAGCGGAGCGCCGCATCGGCGGCGGACGGAGGGATTGACGTTGTTTGGGAGGCATGATGTTCAACGGATGAGGTGTCTATCCGGCGGAGATGGTAACAATATATTCACCGGCGGAGATGGATAGATGGCTGGGAACGGAGTGCGGGGAGATGCTTGTTATGGGAGGTGAAGGCAAGGTAGGAACAAGCTCCTGCGGCTCCGGGGTTCAGTCGCCAGCCAGCCCTGTGCTACCGACTGATCCTTGTGTCACCACCAACACGCCGCGCTACAGACTCGCGGACGAACAGAAACCTGCCACGCCAAACAACCACCAACCACGACCTCTATGGCGCCCGCAGCTACCTCCACCGCAGCGCCCTCGGCGACCCTCCTGTCGTCCGCCGAGCTCTCATACCTTCACACGTCCCTCTCCATAACCCCGCCAATCCGCCCCGACGCCCGCAAACCCACGCAATTCCGCCCGCTCACGGCAGAGCTCGATATCCTCCCCTCCACGCATGGCAGCAGTCGCCTGATCTGGCCCGATGGCGGCGAATGTATTGTTGGTATCAAAGCGGAAGTTGAGAAGACACCAGTCCCCCCGCTCTCCTCTGAGGATGTCCCATCAACAACGAAACCGGATCAACGCTCGTGGACTGAAGTATCCGTCGAGGTCTCGGGGGCAAGAGACGACGATCCGCTGGTGGTGCTGCTAGCGAGCAGTGTTGGTGATCTGCTGGGACAGAAACTGGCGGGACGACTCGAGATCGGAGAGAGGTGGCATTGGAAGCTTTACATCGATGTCCCGCGCCCCCACCCCACCATTCAGACTGTGCGCTGACGAAAAGTAGATCCTGTTGTTGACACCGCCGATTTCGCATCCGGCTACACTCCTTTCCCTCGCGGTTCACCTGGCGCTCAGAGTCACGAACCTACCACGGCTTGTGTCAGCGACGGACGAGGACCCGCTTTTCGACGACGATTGGGACGCAGCGTTGCCGCTGTACCCTGCCGGCGCGGCGGCGGTGGGTGATGTGCCAGCGATCACCCTGTTAGTCGCGGCGGTAGGCGATAATGTGTTCTTTGATCCTACCAGGGAGGAGATGGCAGTGGCCGACTGCGTGTTGTCCGTTTCTGTGGATTACGATGGAAGGATCGTTGGCCTGCGGACACTAGAAAGCGGGACGGTGGGAGAGGGAGGTGTGAAGAGGAAGGTAATCAAGAGAATCGTGGAACAGTGTGGTCCTGTGGGCAAAGAAGTTTTTGAGAGCCTAGAAGCCATAGTCCAGAGCGGTTTCTAAAATCAAACTCAAAAATAGAGGGATAACAAAAATGGGTATTTTCTCAACTGCCGCACGCATGGCATCGTAGTCTCAATCAGTGATGGATATACGAATTGTATTGTACAAACAGCTCGTGTAGGGAAAAGACATACGCAAATGAAATGCTAACCATTACCAAAGAAACACAAGCAATACCTATTCGAAGCTCAAGCTCCTATCATAACATCTTCTCTCTACTGCTGCTTCTTCGCCCCCGGCCCCATCTCCTTGTCGAAGGATCCATAAGAAACACCAATGCTACTGACCGCCGACACACCCACATACAAGATTCCCAGCATCAGGAAGAAGACGATGTACCCCATGAAGATGGCAGGCGTAAAGAACTGGTACCGGTGAAACAACCCGCCTCTGACAAGCGTCGCATTCTTGGCCTCGGTCTCGAACTCGGCTGAGCGCAGCTCCAAGCTCGCCGCTTGCTCCTTCGCGGGCGTCAAGAACTTCACCGGCGCAGCAGCAACAGTCTCTCCAACCGGCGAGCTCACGTAGATGATAGTGTACTTCTTTGTCGGCAGCATTCCCATGACCGAATGCAGGAACGCATCGTTCTGTTCCACCGCCTTTGCGCGGGCCGCGCCATTAGCGGGGAGTCGGTCGAAGTCGACGCGGAAGACCTTCGGCTTTACTCCATCGAAGGTTTTGAATGTTGCAGCTGAGACACGGATTAACTTCTAGAACTCTTCGGACGGAGAGGGAGGGTGGCAGTACTCTTCGCATCAACACCCTCAACCAGCGCATCGCACGATTTCACGACCACGTCCTGCAGCGCCTCGATAACCGCAACCATATCCTTCTTCTCGTCTACGTAGACATTCTCGACGACCCAACGTCCGGACTTATCGACGCCGTCGATGAGGTCTTTCAAGTGCACTCCCGCGTTCTTGTCGATGGTGACGTCCTCGACATGGATACCGGGCTGTGAGACGAGGACGTAGGCGTCTGCCTTGCAGGAGCGGATTACTTCGCTGGTGGCGGTGAAGAATGACGAAGTGGAGAGAATACTATGTGAGTGTAGCGATTCGGGGATACTGTTGGTCTGTAGTGTTAGTGGTAAGCTAAAAGAGAACGGAGCAGCGACCGACAACATACGTGGATACAGAGGAGATCAGGAGGTAGGGCGAGGTGTCGGAGAAGGCTGAGACGTGCGTGGGGAGCGTGAAGGTCAGCGCCCCCAGAACAAGCGAGAGTAGTCGTGGCTGCATTGTTGATATGTTTGGTTGCGAGTGATGTCGTGGACTGAGAGCTTGCCGACGAGGTTGGCGTTGGTGACCTGCGCCAAGACGCGCGTGTCGCTGTTGCATCGTACGTCACTCGGACATGGCGAAAAGCTCTCAAAACTATACGGGCAAGCTTCTATGACCCCATATGGAATGTGCTATATATCTACAGAGGCGTAGGACAATCGAAAGCATACTGATTCTCTTACGGGTTTCAAAGTAAAGTTATAACAGTAATTGAGGACCGCATTCAGCAAATTCTGATGGGACCAGTGATATATAATGACAGCAGGAACTCCACTCCGATGAACATAGGAAGAAAAAAACTAGCAAGACGACACTGAAAGCAAACCCCAAAATTACAAACTGGCTTTTCAAATTCCCTATTAGCCATGCAAAACAAGCAAAGTTACAGGTAGTCATTCCAGTGACCGGAACCAGTCATAAACGAACCATCGTCGCCCAAAGTTATACACAGATCCGATAACATCACGGTCAGGTACAACAAAGCAGCTCGTTTACAGCATCGTCATGAAGAACTCCTCCTCGTCTTCGATCAAGGGACTGGGGAACTCCACGACCACGTCGTCCTCTTCCTCAATCTCAGGAACAAGAAGCATGGGGGGCAAAGTGGGATTCGCCTCGGCTTCTTCGTCCTCGCGCTGGATCCTCTCAATAGCATCCATAGTCGACTCGAGCTTGACAGTCTTCTTGACGGTCTCCCGAACCTCTCTGCCGTGGTGGTATCCAATAGTACTCTTCAAAGCAGGGTTATCGATGTTGGAGGAGACACTTCTGGGCCTGGAACGGGACCTGTTGGAAGGCGCGACAGCCGGTTTACTAGAGAAGGAAAACGGTTTCTTAGCCGCTGTAGTAGTCGACGTGGATGTCGTCCTAGCATGACGATTGAGCCTAGAATCCGGGCGAGAGTTCGACGACGACGAAGTCGGACGCTGCGAGAGCATCTGCGCCGCCTTCTTCGAGTCAGTGGTGCTAGCCATGCGCTGGTGGGAGGAGGCGGTGGGCCGTGAGATAGACACAGACGAAGGAGGGCGGGACGAGGGCCGCGACGTGTTCTGACGGGAGTTCGATGCAGAGGACCCTGGGCGGGATGTGCCAGATCGCTTGATTTCAGCTGGCTTCCTGATGATGCTCTCGGTGCGTCTGGCCTTGTTGGCCGTAATGGACCCAGACCGTGCCGTGGTATTCCTGGTCGTGGGTTCGGTCAACTTCTGCTTGGGCTTCCTAGTACCTCTCTTGAGCTGGGCCTCGAGCTCCTCCGTCTCGGCATCCAGGTCCGCGTCAAGCATACGCTGGCTGGCCTCAACGCTACGCTGCAGTTCACTCTTGCCATTCTCATCAATACCAGCCAGGTACGAGCGGTAGCATCCTCTCATATAATTCTTCTTCAGAGAGCTATAGTCGGGAGCCTCGTAATCCTCGGGTACGAAGGGGGCATCTGCACGCTGGGGTCAGCAATTCGCTCGATCATTGAAGCTAGTGGACACAAACCAGGAGGTACAGGAGCCATGTATTCGATCTCAGGAACCTCATCGTTGGTGCCGAACACGGCCGTTCCCGCTTGCTCGGTAATGACGAGTTGAGGCTTGAGCGTGCCATCGAGTTTCTTCCCGGTCTTCTGTCCACCCGAGGGTCCCTGGTTCTTTGCCTTGACATTGGTGGTCTTTCCAGCGAGAGCCTGTCTCCGTGGGCCTTGTGCGACATGTGTTAGCAGCCAATTACTAGCTCCTAGGTGTTCGGATATTTTTCTCACCGACTGGAGTAACGAAAAGAGACGGATCTCTGCCAGCAAAGATGCTCTTCTTTCCGGTCTTCGGGTGCAGGGCCGAGGCAATGTTTTCGTCGTTCAACGGGATCTTAAAGGGCGTTTTCGTGTTCAAGCCTGCAGGCTTTCCGTCCGCCTTGCCGTGCTGCGGTGCGTGGAGGACCGCATTCTCCTTGTTAAGGTGTTGAAGCATTGCTGGTTACCGGTTACGTGTTGTTGTACTTGGTCGTCTGTTGTGACCGTCTGTCTGTCGTCGTCTTCCGGATGGGAACGGTCTTTCGCGTCTCGGTCGTATCGTCAGACAGCTTTCTTTGGAAGGGGAGGGTGGACGGCAACAAAGGAAGCGGCAAGCATGACCAGAGCAGCGCACTGCACCCAAACAAACTAACGTTGTCACGACAACTGCCACCGATCAAATCAATGACAGGGATCGTCAACATCGAATGCAGCCCATTTATTGTTCACGTGACTAATCAATTCCCGTCCACCCTGTTCCATCCCCCTGCAAGCCACATGCCGCATTAGGCCGTTCACCAAACTCCTTCAACGTAAGCGCACAACGCACAGGACCCCTCACCAAACCCCACTTGACCTCCGCCCGTGCAAGTCCAAGTCCAAGTCCAACAAATCAAACTGAAGAACTCCGTGCTCCCTTCCGCCTCCGCCTCTCCCTTCCTTTCTCATTCCCTAAGTATCCGCCCTTCTACCAACTACACAAAACCATCCCTTCCCCCCCAAGTATCTCTCCATCACCTCGAACACTCAACACCCATATCCAACAACACCAACTCCAACACATCCCCCACATCTTTAGCAGCCATGGACAAGCTCAAGGAGGTGCGTTATCATCTCTATCTCTTTCATATGCGTGCCATCACCCCTCCTCCTTCGCGTGAGGGGAGAGGTTCCTGGTCGACGCGACTTTATCCCAGCAGTTGCGTCTTCGACGGCGATGCATCTATTGTCCGTGACGAAAGCTGATTCATCTTGTTGCAATCTCACAGAGAATGACCTCCCTCCGCATGGAGACCGAGGAGGCCCAGGCCCGGAACGAGGAGCTCAAGGCCCGCATAAAGGTCCTCGAGCAGGAGAATCTGACCAAAGAGCAAGAAATCAGCTCCCTCACCCACCGCAATACCCTTCTCGACGAGGAGGTCGAAAAACTCGAGAAGGCCCTCGCGGATGCCAAAAACGCCGCTGACAGCGGAGCTGCCCACAGCTCGGAGCTCGATGCTCTGCAGAGGAAGCTACAGTTGCTCGAAGATGAGGCCGAAGAGGCGGACAAGAATCTCCGGGAGACCAACGAGAAGTAAGCTCACCCTCCTCCTCCTCCCATCCCTGAACCATCACAGAGGCTGTGATTGTATGGTATCATTGGTCATCGGGCAATGGCAATCTGACGTGCTATGCTTTAGGCTCCGTCTTACCGACGTCAAGGCCGAACACTACGAACGCAAGGTTGCAACCGTCGAGTCCGAGCGAGACATGTGGGAGAAGAAGTACGAGGAGATCCAGGAGAAGTACAAGTCTTCCCAGGAGGAGCTCGACAAGATTGCCCAGCAACTCAACGACTTTTGAGTAACGACCTGTTGGCGTGATTGAAGGATCCTAGCCTTTTCCGTTTTCTCTGTACGGAGACTGCGTTTTCGAGCTAGGAGGGCTTTGTTTCTGTCTGGAGGTTCAGGGCGATAGGAGAAGGGGGGGTTTGTGGCCATGGCGATACCTTTTTTTTTGCTCTTACCCATTGTGTTCTGGAGGGCTACGGCGTGTTTGAGCGCGTCTCGAAATCTTTTAATGGATGGAATCATTGTGTTGTATCTCTGCAGCTGTGTGTTATCTGCGTCGGTAATCATGGTGTCTGCCCCTAACTCTGTTTATGAAAATTGAAGAAAGCAACTGCAATCATTTCTCCTGCAAGAGATGATGCATACGTCGTACATCCATGGTCCTACATACTCTCTGCACTGTAGATTCCTGTTCGTCTGTCTGCACGTTTAGAGTACTCGGTAAACAACCCAGAGTAGGAAGTCCTGCTGAAAGTACATGTAAACTCTAATGCTACCGAAAAATGCAAAATAAAAGGGGGTCGATCCAGCGTATGTGGAGTAACTAGAGTGCCTCGAAGCTGAAGAAAATTAGTGGGTTCACTGCCAAGCGCCGTTGAGCTACTACATGAGCCCAAAAGAATGGTACGTCCCAATTGGGGTGATCTCGGCTTAGCTCACCTCTCTCTTCGTATATCCTTTATCATTCCAGCGCTCAGCGGCACGTTTTTGCAAGAGCCGCTCTTTCAAAAGTACGACTTATTGAAGAAATTATACGTTCCTATACCTACGCTGGGCATTCCGACTTTCCTCGTTTGCATGCTGCTCTACTTTTCCAGAACTCAGAAGATGTGAATGTGGGAAGAATACGGTATGATGGGAGTGCGGGAGGCATTGGCAAGTACATAGGATGCCGTTTGGAGAACTCACAAACAAAGCATTGCCTTTACTTGCAGCTAGGTATCTATTACCAGAGGGCCATATAGTAGACTATCCCGAGACCGTCAAGCCGGTGATCACTCTGAGTATGCATACTTCGATTTTCCACGCATTCGTCCAATATAACCCCCGAGGCAAGAAACAAAGATAGTATATATGGCGGAGTTTCTGGAGAGAAAGTCAGTGGCTGATTCTTTACCTAATAGCACTGTCTCGTTCGTACATACGAGAAGAGCTATATGAACCTGGTATTGAAGATGAGCCGTATGGAGCGTGCTCGAGTATCAAAGGCACCTCTTTGGAATACCACAAGAGTGTAAAACTTCAGCACAAGTGGTGGGGTCCTCGCCCAAGATAGGTATTCATATATAGGAATAGAGAATGTTACTCCTGGTCTCGTCCACAAGCTGGGCTGATTGCTACAGCGAAAACCATGCTTTTATACCGTCAAAGTTCCAGAAGCAGAATGACGGTCTTCATTTCTTTGAAAAGTTAGAGTTTCACTGCTGTAACATCCTCCTTTACATTGGTGAATGAAACCTGAAGGGGCGGATATATCATGGATAGTATTCTTTGTTGGAGTTTGTTGCGTCAGAATATATAGAATAACTCTGTCTTTGATATCTATCCGTCCCGCAGAAGAAAAATGAAATACTGCTGGTGAGGAGTGTAGTGCTTGTAGACTCGGTGATGGTGCCTCGGTGGTGCCTCGGATTCAAATTGAATACAACCCACTATGTGAACGTACCTTTCTCACGATTTCATGTCAACATGATAACGATGCCGAGTGATATGAAATGGTGGAATGTACTGTACGCTGTATATAGACTCGGAACCTACACGCACTATATGATTGGGACCCTTATGCGCCAAGCTGCAGCAACCCAGATACAGAAAGCGGAGTCGAACATCGAGTTCGAATCCACCACGCACTTACTACTTTATCCGCCCCGCCACCCCACCGACGTCGCAGTATCATAACTTCGACACCCTTTGACCTACGACTGCTTACTTACATAACATAAAGCTCGGTACTCGCTCAGCTCAAATCTCTATACCCCAACCTCCTCCGTCCCTAATCACCTCTTGCCCCTACACACACCACACACACACACAGCAACAACCATGGCCACCCGTCGCCGCATCATGAAAGAGCTCGACGACATGTCCAAAGACCGCGGCAGCGGAATGCAAGCGGAGCTGGTGGACAGCAACAACATGATGCACCTGCGAGGGTGGTTCGCCGGACCTCCGGACTCGCCTTACAGCGGCGGTACATTCCACATCGACATCCAGCTACCCGAGAACTACCCTTTTGTCCCGCCCAAGATGAAGTTCGAGACTCGAGTGTGGCATCCGAACATTTCCTCGCAGACGGTGAGTTGTTGTTGTTGCGCGAGGGAGGGGAAGCGATGGTTGAAGGTGGGGGCTAATTTGGGGGGTGTAGGGTGCGATTTGTCTGGACACTCTATCGCAAAAGTGGTCGCCGGTTTTAAACATCAAGACGGCGCTGCTGTCGTTACAATCCCTCCTAGCAACGCCCGAGCCGAACGATCCGCAGGACGCTGAGGTGGCACGGATGATGCTGGATAATCCTGTACAATTCGAGGCGAAGGCGCGGGAGTGGGCGAAGCGGTATGCCGGTGCCGGTGGGGATGTGGTGGACGAGGCCGAGAAGAACAGGCGTGAGCTAGACGGATTCAGCGAGGAGCTTGTGGCGAATTTCACGGGAATGGGGTTTTCGACGGGATCGGTGGTTAATGCGCTGAGGGCGGTAGGCGTTAAGAGGAGCGTCGCCAGTCTGGGGGAGGAACAGGCGGGGAGAGTCGTGGATAGACTGGTTTCTGGGTTGTGAATGAGTGGGGCTGACGTTGCTTATTTGAATTTGCGCTGGAAGCGTACGATGGTTTAGAGGGGCCATGATTGATGATCATGCTATGAGATGGCGAGTTTGGTAACAACCCATAGATGACTTACGGAGTATGGATTGATATTTCATTAGTTCCTTCTTTCGGTGTTCTATCTGCATTTCCCTCAGCCTTCATGCCATGTCACTCAATCTGCTTGACTCGGAGTTCGTGCTGATGAATATGTGACATCGTTGGCAGCATTAAACCCAAACTCCGGACTTTTGTATGTACATTAACCATCCGTAAACGCCCATCTACTCCTCCATATCCTCATCCTCATCGTCGGTATCCTGTTCCTGAAGTTCATTCAACTCCTCATCGTCCCACAACTCCTCATCGTCATCGTCACTCTCCTCAACCTCCTCACCCCTCGCCTTCCTAGCCTTCTTCTCCGCCTTCTTGACCTCCAATGCCTCCTTCTTCACCTTGACGTTAGCAGCCTGTTCTTTCCGCCTTCTCTCCTTATCAGCGTTCTTCTGATTATGCCTCTGCTCCAACTCCCGTTCTTCAGCCTTGGTCTTCTGGTGATAGGCGTGCCACAACGTCTTTCCATCTGCCAGACCCTCCTCAATCTTAACCATCTCTAGCGTCATCCTCGGACCGAGCTCAGTAAGATGAATGCTTTTCTTCTCGGGCCCTCGCGTCGCGAGTTTCCGCTTCTTGCTCCCCCGGATCGCAGGATTGACGATCTCAACCTGCGCGTCCTCCTCGACCTCGCTCTCAGACGTGTACCCTCCACCACCGGCCGCAGGATCAAGCATGTAATCCGCGATGTCCTCCAACTTCCCCAAGTTCGGCAGGGCACCCTTCTTGCTGGCGAAGGTGGAGGATGCAGCGGTCGGCTTGCGGATGCGCTTCTCAGCGGCGTTGATACGTCTGATCGGGCGGGAGAGGCCCACGGCCTTGGTAGAGATCGCGTAATGGCGCACGTCGATGACATATTCGTTTGAACCCTCCTCGACGGGATGACGGTTCAGCAGCATGATGCGCCTGATCGAGTTGATGGGTGTGCGCTGTGCGGAGATCGGCGGGAAAAGGCTCTGGAACATGCTAGTGAGCAGAGCATCTTGTGGCGGCGGCTTCCCCGGTGTTCCGTCTGGGTTTTTTTGGACAGGCGTCGCAAAGTTGTTCATGACCAGCAGCGGCGGCGCAAGATACTCTTTCCCTGGGGATTTGGGATTCCGCAGGGCCTTGCGCACGTCTTTGCACAGCGAGTAGTCGTTGATCCGGAAGTGGATGGTAGGTCCGCGGGGACAACGGGCAATGCGCAGATTGGTGTGGCCGGTGTCGGAGCGGGAGAAGAGGAGGAGCTGAGTTACGCCGAGGGGCCCGGCCATAGTCACGTAGTCCTTTAGACGGTTGGATTTGCGCTCACGGAGGCGAGAAGCGGTATGCGGTTCCATCATAAGACGGGTGTCACGGACGAGGGTGGAGACGGAGGGTCCGACATCAGAGGCACCGATGCGGATTACCATGGTCTTGGGGATTTGCGAGGCGGAGGCATTGAGAGGTTGTGAGACTCCGGTAGTGGTCTGCTTTGACAGCTTAGTTGTACTGGGGTCAGGCAAGTGGGTGCGCTTTTTTGTTCTTCGGCGAGCCTGGATGGGAAAATTAGTCGGTGCAATAATTGCATAGGCGATCGTGAGAGCAAACCATTGTGAGAGTGTGGGGAGAATTGGATCGTGTGAAGTTTGCTGGTGTGGTTGGTGAACTTGATGACCGGTCTTTAACTTTTCAGATGCTTGCTCTGAAAATTTGGGGCACCCTTCCCACTGGGGACGCACGGACCAACTTGCCAAGTGATCACCTGTTCTGAGATATTCGCAGCCATTCTCACAACCGCAGCAACCGCCGCAGCTTGTCGTCAGAGAATCAACATCTCCATCCATCCAAACCCACATCTGCATCCAACCCCCGCCATCTAAACCCTCCATCCCTCCGCTATCGCTCGCCATCACCAGGACCACTCCCGATAAACCCTACCAGATTTTGCACACCACCCCGCCAAAACCCTCCTACAACACCCCGCAACCGAAAAGATGGCGTCTCTTGAAGACCTCGAAGACCTCGAGAACGAGCAGCACGACCGCAAGAAAGATGATGATGATAAGAAGAAGAAGGAGGGTGGAGATGGCGACAACAAGATGGAAGTCGATGACGAGCCCAAAAAGGACGACGAGGACGACATCGATCCCGATGTTCTGAGCGCCTCCACCAACGACATCATCAACCGGCGGCGATTACTGGAGAACGACCTGCGTGTGATGCGACAAGAGTTTCAGCGCCTCACCCACGAGAAGTCGAGCATGAAAGATAAGATTAAAGATAACCTTGAGAAGATCGAGAACAACCGGTATGTTCTGTTTGAAGCTAGCTGTTAGCTATCGAGAGAGGGAAGGAAATGGAGCTGACGGATTGTGTGTCGCAGGCAGCTACCATACCTCGTTGCCAACGTTGTCGAGTTGCTAGACTTGGACCCCACCGCCGAGGAAGCAGAGGATGGAGCCAATGTCGATTTGGATGCTACGCGGTCCGGAAAGTCTGCCGTCATCAAGACTTCGACCCGGCAAACAATCTTCTTGCCCTTGATCGGTCTCGTCGATGCGGACAAGTTGAAGCCGTCGGATTTGATCGGTGTCAATAAGGACAGTTACCTTGTGTTGGATACGCTACCGGCGGAGTACGATTCCCGTGTCAAGGCTATGGAGGTCGATGAGAAGCCGACGGAAACGTATGCGGATATCGGTGGTCTGGACAAGCAGATTGAGGAGCTCGTGGAAGCTGTCGTTATGCCGATGAAGCAAGCCGACATGTTCAAGAAGATTGGCATCAAGGCCCCCAAGGGTAAAAGCTCATTTACGATAAACCCACGATATTGAAGCTAACTGTCTAGGTGCACTGATGTATGGCCCTCCCGGAACAGGAAAGACACTGCTCGCTCGTGCTTGCGCCGCCCAGACCAACGCCACTTTCCTGAAGCTCGCCGGCCCACAGCTCGTTCAGATGTTCATTGGAGATGGAGCCAAGCTTGTTCGCGATGCCTTCGCGCTGGCCAAGGAGAAGGCACCGGCGATCATCTTCATCGATGAGTTGGACGCTGTGGGTACCAAGCGTTTCGATTCCGAGAAGTCTGGAGATCGTGAGGTGCAGCGAACCATGTTGGAGCTTCTCAACCAGCTCGACGGATTCTCGTCCGACGACCGGGTCAAGGTCCTCGCGGCCACCAACAGAGTCGACGTTCTTGATCCTGCGCTTCTGCGAAGTGGTCGGTTGGACAGGAAGATTGAGTTCCCGCTGCCGAACGAGGAGGCACGTGCAGGTATCCTCAAGATTCACAGCAGGAAGATGACGGTGGAGGAGGATGTGAATTGGATGGAGCTCGCGAGGAGTACGGATGAGTTTGGTGGTGCCCAGCTCAAGGCCGTGTGTGTGGAGGCGGGCATGATTGCGCTAAGAAGCGGCAAGACGAAGGTGGGGCACGAGCATTATGTCGATGCAATCTCGGAAGTCCAGGCGAAGAAGAAGGATACGGTGAGTTTCTCTAGCTCCGAGTGTTCGGGAGTCATTACTGACGATGTGGATGTTTGCAGGTCAACTTTTACGCATAGAAGTTGTGTCCGTATAATTGTTGGTTTCTTGCTGTGGGGAATAATAGCCGTTTACATGTCCTTTGCTACTGTTTGAGGTGATGGACGGATGGATGCGTGTTTGCAATAGAGAATCGTGAAGAGCAGTGAGCTGTAGTAGATAACCACGGACTCGTGTTTACTTTTACTATCACTCGGTATGATATTAGCCCGTACTGAATGACGATCAATCAACCCCACTTGCGTATCCATGCCGGACCTCTATCCACATCCATAGCTGTCGCATACAGGTAACAGCTACCACCGACCGCAAAACATCAAGATGTCAGAACCACTACGAACCACAACGGCAACATCAACACTCTCCACCTTCCCACTCGAAGTACCCACTCCACCACCCACTTCGCAATCTTCCAGTTAACCCACATAGCTGCTAAAACTAATCGCCTCAACCCTCCCCACCGCCCGCGATATAACAAACTTCTCTGTTGTCTCGCGCCACTTCCACGCCGCCGTCTACTCAGATCAATTCGTCTTCCGCGGGCTATTCCACGCCCTCTACGAGCCGCCGCACCCCTCCGTCCGCCGCGGGTACTCCTACACCGCCGCCGTGCGCTCGCGGCACCAGCTGCTGCACCGGATCTCTTCCGCGCTCGATGCCGTCTCTCCAGAGGAGCGGGAATCCTCGCTGCAGCTCCAATCCTCGGCGGAGGAGGACATCGTCTTCTCGATGCTACTCGACGCCCGCCCCCGGCGGCCTACGGCGCTGTCCACGCTCACCTCCCGCAACCTCGAGCTGCTAGCACACGTCCGCCCGCGTCTCCGCGCCACGCACGTCAACACACTCGCGCTCCTCTCCTCCCTGCCTAGTATCCACCGGCTGCCGCCGAGGTCCGCGGAGCTGGCGCTGCTGCTGCTGCCGCATCTGCCCCCCGTCACCCCCATGCCCCATAGTAACGCCGCGCTGAGGACGTTCACGCGCGGGCCGTTGAGGGATCAGCTCGGTGTGGCCGCGAGTATCGCGCGGGGGTTTAAGACTCATCTACTAGGCGGGGATGTGTTCTGGCAGAGGCGATTGCTGGAGAAGTGGGAGATGCCGGGGTTTTGGAAGGTGGGGAGTGAGGCGGCGGATGCGGCGGGGGCGCAAGGGTTGGGGAGGAGGTGGTTGGGTGGGTATGGTAGGTCCCCCTCCTCTCTGATAGGGATGTATGTGTGTTGACGATGGAGTAGTTTATAGAGACACCCTCCCGATGGACCAGAGCGAAGCCTTCTTCAGCGAATTCACCATTTCCCCCAGCAGCCCCACCTCATTCAGCGGGCTCGGCAAAGATTTCGCGTCGTTCCAGCTGGTGCGCGGGCACATCACTCGCAACGATCGTGGATGGGGGCAGGTGCGCTGCACAAAGGAGTACACCAATGCCAACGGCGTCGTGAGTCCCGTGTGGGAGTATGGCGGCGTTGTGACGCCCGGCGGAAACATCATTGCGGGCATGTGGTGGCAAAAGGACGTGGAGGAGCTGGGCAGGTTTGGCGTCTTCCTGTGGTGGAATATTCCTGAAGAGGCCGAGGAGCTGGGCAGGAGGGACGTTAGGCTGTCGATTGTGGTCTGAGGGTTCCCGAGGGGGTTTGTGCGGTGAATAGGATTTGGGTCTTCTTTTTTGTCCCATCATTCCGTATTATGGCCACATTCGGCCATGAGAGTTCCAAGTACCCCCGAGCCTGTCCCCCAGGCCGCCGAATACGGTGGTTAGACAGCGCTTCCTCATCCCCCGATAGAATCTAGAATATCGTCGAACGGGAGCATTGAAGTCAAAACCCGAGTGACGCGAAGTCAATAAAGTAAGGCCGTGCTCGCACCTTCCGTGGCTGAGCGTAAACGACAGTCCGTGTACGACTGCGGCATAATTTGCTCATGCGTCAAAGCGCTGAACATGCAGGCAAAGCAAGTAGGCAGGGCAAGGTTATCGGAAAGGGCTCCGCGCAAGGCAGCAGCACATCAAAGATCAGGACCAAGATCAAGTATTCCCCACGTCGGAGTCACAGCCCACCATGACGCAAAGGTATCGGAGTATAGTAGTAAACAGCGGCAAGTCATCCGTTACAATTGTATCGACATTTCCAACCGAACAGCAACAGTAGCAACAGTAGTAACAGTAGTAGTAGAAGGACAAAAAGTTCCCACCTCTCCGTGCGCACACGCAAGTTTCAAACCGAGTAGCACAACACAACCACCCAACCACCCTCCTACTCCCCCCGCACACATAACATCATCTTTCACAAATCAGACCAGTACCGGCAGTAGTAGTAAAGTACAAGTTTCTTGAAAAGACAATGCAACGCAATACCAAGAGGTTAAAAAAGGTAAGTCGGCAAGGCGCACACAAATGCAGCCCCGGCTTGCCCTTAGCAAAGCTCCCTAGAATCCGTGGATCTTGATGTGATCCTTCTGGAGAGCGTATTTGCCCATCTTGGCCTTGTCTTTATCGGTGAGAAAGTCCATCACTTTGGTGCGATGATCCCCCTGGAGCTGGATCACCTCGCCCATGTCCTTGTCTTGGATGATGGTGCCATTGCAAGCTGTGTCGCAGTTAGTGGGGGCCGATCAGGTGGATGAAGAGCGGAAGCCGAGGAGAGGAGACGAACCATATTCCTTCTTGAAGGCCTTGAGAAGAGCTTTGGGGCTGTACTCCTTGGACAATCCTTGGACAGTCGTCAACGTCTTGCGACCGTTGCGCTCTGTTCACGATACTGTTAGCGACACGTGAGGAACATGAGACGACGGCAGGGCACTAACGCTGAATACGGATATGAACGTAATTCTTGGGCTGCGTATCACCAACGTCGTCGGCGAAAGGATCTGCACATAGGAACAATCGTTAGTATCAACATCGCTATCAAAGGATGAATAGATTAACGAGCGAGCTCATCGCGTGACGAAGCTGAGCTCGAATCGAGATGAGTGGGGGGAGAGGTAAGATGTCAACCCTGAACGGGGGTGGTGATGGTGATGAAAGTGGCGCAAAGAGAGCGAGGTCGAGGAGGCAGCGATGAACGCATACGACCAAGTAGAACAGAGCACGAAGTAAGACTCACCATTAACCTTGAGATTTTCGATGGACATAAACTACGGATTCTCGGGGGGTTCGCTTGGGAAGAGGTGTAGTTGTGGATGTAGTTGTAGGAAAGACTGCGGTTCTTTTGTGTCGCTGGTAGTGTAAGTGGGTGGTGGTAGTAGTGGTGTAGAAGTAAAGTGTGGAGTTGGTGGTGGAGGTGGTTTTGTAGTCGACGATCGAAAATAGTGTGGGCTGTGAAGAAGAAGGAGGAGGCAGCTGGGATGTGATGTGATGGGGAGGGGGGGTTGGACGGGTTTGGTTGGGGGGTGGAAGGGTTTGGGGGTTGGTTTGGGTTGTCGAAGCGGCAAAAGGCGAGCAGGGGCTTTTAAAGGCAGCCAAGCAAGGGGTGGGGGGGGGCAACTGTGATGGAGGGCTGCTGACCACATCGACCACTCCCTTATTCAGCGGTGATGAGCCGCAGTGAGTGAGAATGAGAGTGCGAGTAACTTGGCCCCGCCTATGGACGCATTTACACGCCGAGAAGAAGGAAATCATCGCCACCGGTAATTGGATGGCTTTGCGTCAAGTATGTAGAATCGAACTAACTTTGACTTGATGTGGAAGAGGAGGTAAAAGAAGTGTTCTTTTGCTAGTACGAACCCTCTTCATCACGATCGACCGCGATGCGAGTGTCTTCACGGCTGCACGTCCGTGTCATTGGACGGCGAGCGGGGAGGCAAGCGAGGAGCGCGGGCGGTTACTCTACAGACAGTCCGACAAACGGAACAAGACTTGCACCGCCCGACGCCAACATGGCAAGCAAACGATCGCATTCACCCCCTCAATCCGCAGCCCGCCATCCCGACCATCAAGCGAATCAAGTAGTCTATCGATTTCATTTTGCATTCGAGTTGATATACAGCGACCGAGGCATTCCCCACCTCCACCACCATCACGGCCCAGGTCGCGACCAGTCCTCCGCCGCACCGACATCCACCACTTAATGGCCGATGTTCTTCTTCGCGGCGGGGTTGCGGGGGTCGTTCTTGAACTCGTCGGCTGCGCCCATATTAGTCCAGTCCAGCCCAGCCCCAGCGTCGCTATGACCGTGAAGGGAACGTACTGCTCGCGAGGAGATTGGCAAAGCTGTTGATGCCGTAGAAGACGACGATGCCTGTGTATGATCCATCAGCTCCCGCGTCCCCTCCCTTTCGTTACCATCCGGTGCGACATACCGGCCACAAAGAACGGTGCCATCGGCTTCACTGTTCACTATTAGCCCCCACGCTCTCCCCGCGCCGCCCCGGGAAAACGAAACGTACTGATGGGAGTATTAAACTTCTTGCCGAACATATTCTCCATGATACCCATTTTGATTGATGTTTGTGGGGGTGATTGATTCGGTGGCAGGCGAAGGGTTTGGTTGAGGTTGAGGATGCGGCGGACGGGTCGGGTAGGATTGGTGAATGAGCAAGTGGTGGTGGGTTTCGGCACAGCGGGAATTGTCGACGGTTGAGGCTCAAGCTAGCGACCGCGACAGCGACTTGGCCAAAGAGTGCGGAAATGTATCAACAGAGCATATCAGAGGCAACTACATTTTTAACGGAAAGAGGATGATTATTTGCTTCGCTTTGATACATTTTTCTTTCTAATTTCTTGTTTTCTCACCGTGGCCACGATTTCATTAACGCATCATTGATTTGCACGCGGTTTCGAGCATGCCCGCCCAGTGGTCCTTCATGTTTGAGCACCGCCGGTCTCTATTACGCTATACGTGACTAAACTACCTGCTTGCTTTCGCAAAGAATGTAGCACGTTTACCAACCACGGCAGACAGACTTTACTAGGTGCGCCCCTTCCATATGCATTGCCGCTGTTTACAGCCTACAGGTCAAACAGCTTCTTCAGCTCCTCGATCGTGTCCTCGGGCTTCGTAACCGTGTGGCCGATAGTCCTCGAGTCCTCAAAGATCTCGTAATCGTTTCCGCCTGCATTCATCAGTCACTAGTCATCCCTTCACTTGGGCGGAGGAATAAACTCACCCTGGTACGTCTTGTCTCCAAAGAAGTGGATGGTCTCAAACTCTTTCTGGACATGCTGAAGACAGTACGTCTTATCCCAGCCCTGGGGAAACACATCAAACGAGATTTGTCCACCGATGGAGTAGGTGAGGCCGTAATCCGCAAACTTCTCCTTCAGCTTCTCGACGAGCTCCTTCCGTACACCGTGAATCTTGTCGTACGCCTCGAATTCGTTCCGCTCCTGGATGCTGGCGTTGCGGCCGATGGGAGAGACGTTGATCATTCCGTTGCGGAACTCGATGAAGGTTCCACGCTTCACTGGGATGTCGAGATCTGCGATGTGGTGGAGGATGAAGTTCGCCATCACCTTGTACTTTTCTTCGCCGAGCCAGCGGACGAAGTTGTTGCTAGGAAGGGCCACACCCTGGCGGTAGGCGGTCAGGCCGTTCTCGGCGAAGCAGTAATCGAACATGTCAATGACTGGTGGAGATGTTAGCTGGGTGGGGGTTTTGTGGAGGGCGGGGCGGGGGAATACCGTTTGCGCCGTTGACACCGAGCTGCTCCTGCTGCTTCACCAGGTCACTGCCGCCGACGAAGCCAATTGCGACCTTGTTGCGCAGCTTCTGGAGGAGCGCCAGCATCTCCGGACTCACGCTCTGTCAAAGTTAATCAGCCATTGAGCTTCGTTTTGGGGAACGAGGCGATTGTACGCGGCGAGCGGGGGTAAGAGTGCCGTCGACATCGAAGAGACACACAGTGTTCTTGATGGGACGGTCATTGAGGGGAGGGTATTGATCGTGGACGGAGATGGACATTATTTTGTTGGCGGGAGGAATAAGCTTTTTGGTAGATTGAGTGACTGATTGATTGAATGCTTGATTGATTGCTTGCTTACGGATGGATGAGTGAGTGATGGAGAGGAGATGTAGAGTAGAATATGTTTTTAGGGGGGCGGGGTTTTTAACTTCGACTCCTCGAGGGAACTTCACCACGGAGGGACAGCTCTCGTCTACTTACCTCCCCTGCAGACTTCCTCTCCTCTTGATCCCTGCATACAGGGCCTTGGCGGATCCCTGGTGGGGGGTTTAATCTCACCACCTCTGCCGTCCAAAGACCGTCGGAGGGTAGATTCCTCCGGTGATCTCTCACTCTTCTGTCCCCATGTATGCCCTCCCTTCTCCCTTGCTCCCCTTGTCCGCTACCATGTCTGCCGAGGATGCCTGGCTGAAGGGTGGGGGAAGAAGAGTGAGCTTCCCTCCCTGACATATCTGATGCCCCTCCTCCAACCGTTGCGCTGCGTGTTTTCCCCGGGCGTCAATTCGACTTTATTAACTATCCAAGCGAGTGACATACATGATGACGACTCTTCCCACGATCCGCCGAGTCGCCATAGTCGGTGCAGGAGCAGGCGGCCTCGTTGCCGCGCGTGCTCTGAGGGAGGAGGGGTGTTTCACTGCCATCGACGTGTATGAGCAGCGTGGGGACGTCGGCGGGGTATGGAATTACACCCCGCAGACGAAGCCGACAGATATTCCCTCGGTGGACCCGAACGTCGTCGAACGCCCGGATGAGAGTGGGAAATATATCTCTGCGATATACGATAACCTTGGTACATTCCCCCTCCATATACGTCATTTCGATATAGCTTTCTGATCGCTCGGATTTAGAGACCAACATCCCCAAAACGTTGATGAGCTTTCCCGAGCACCCTTTTCCCTCCACCATTCCACTATTCCCCCACCACACCCAAGTCCTCTCCTACCTCCGCGCCTACGCCTCCGACCTCCACTCCTCCATCAACTTCAATACCCAAGTACTCTCCATCGTCCCATCGTCCCCGTCGCCAGGATGGACGCTCACCACCTCGCGCACCCCCACACCCACCCACTATGACGCCGTAATGGTCGCCACCGGCCACTACAACACTCCGTACATCCCGCCACTCTCGGGGCTCTCCACCTTCCCAGGCACCATCGTACACTCCCGGAACTTTCGGCTTCCGCAGGAGTTCAATGGGAAGAAGGTACTGCTCATTGGGAACTCCGCATCAGCCGTCGACATCGCCGTGCAGCTGCTTCCATGTGTTCAGGGACCACTACTGCAGGTGATCCGCTCTCCGGCCGCGTCCACCACGCCGCCTCCTGAGGGCATCAAAGTCCTCCCTGAGATATCGGCGCTGCACCCGGACGGAACTGTGTCCTTTGTGGACGGCGCCGTGGAAGCGGACGTGGACGTGATCCTCTTCGCGACGGGATATCTCTTCACGCTGCCGTTCCTCCCGGAGGAGCTGCGGTTAGTTACGCCCCGCGGTGAGCGCGTGACCGAGACGTTCCAGCATGTGTTTTGCCAGCGGGATCCTACACTGTGCTTTTTGGGGCTGCCGACGAAGGTTATCCCGTTCCCGTTGGCACAGAGTCAGGCGGCTTGGGTGGCAGGGGTTTATGCTGGACGAGTGAAATTGCCCGCGAGGGAGGAGATGGAGATGTGGGAGAAAGGGGAGGTGGAGAAGAAAGGAAGCGGCAGACCGTTTCATTATTTTGGATTTCCGTGGGATGTTGAATATCTGAATGGGATCGAGGCGATGATTGACAAAGCCGAAGGAGAGGGCGGATTGGAGCCGGCTAGGTGGAGAGAGTGGGAAAGGTGGGTGCGGGAGAAGGTGCCGAAAATCAAGAAGGCATTTGGGGAGGCCGGTAAGAAGGCATTGACTATGGAGGAGTTGGGTTTTGTGTTTGAAGATAGATATATAGAGAAGTAGACTGTACTATGTAGACCTGGATATCACTATTATTAAAGCCACACTTGATATCATAGGAACGATGCTCCTATCATAACCGCCCCTCGGCCCACCAATCCAACGCCATGAGCCGCTCTTTCGCCTGCAGGCTGATGGCCAGAGTTGCTTCCAGACGATTTACCCCTTCTTCTCTCATAAGTGCCAATGCTGCCAACCCCAAGAACGAATGCAACACGTCTTTTCTAAAATCAGCAATGCTCCTTTCTTATGAACCGATATGTGACATACCCGGAACACCCTCAGGCTCAGGCAATTTCATGAATCCGCCTATTATGTGTTTCGTCTTCTCGAGCAAGAACCTACGATTGGCATTGATATCGATCAAGTAGAGTTTCTTTAGCATCTGTTGTCCGCCCTTATCAGCCCAGCTCGCCCAGCACTCTAATCACAGCAGGCCAACTCACATCCAAACTGGCCCCAATCCAGAAGCTGTAGCAGGTATCCGCTTTCTTGTTGCACCGCCCATGAAACCCACCCCAAAGCGGTCTCCCGTCCGTCCCTAGCTCGATCTTCCGACCATCCACTTGCTCCTCCTCACTACCGCTGTCGAGGATGTCCTGCCAGTCGTCTTGATCCATCTCGTCCTTCCGCTCAAACGGCACCTGGCGGTGCACAAGCCATCGTACGAGCGGATCGATCTGTATCGAAGACTCATCGAGCCGTCCGAGCAGGCTCAGTGCCGCAACTGCACAGTAGGTCATCCCGGCTACCCACCATCAGCCTCACACCATCTGCATGTGGGGAAAAAACAACGAACAGACCATGCGACTCCCCGAACGGCTTCTCCGAGATCCCGCCATCATACGTTTGCGCCCTCTGAATATATGCCACCGTCCTCTGCACATCGATATCCGCCACATCACTACATCCCTCCCCCTCCTTCCCCCTCAAGAACCACCGCAGCGCAACCGCCATATAAAGAAACCGCATATCCCTGCCGCCGACCTGCTGCTCATCTACAATACTCTCGCAAAAACTTCCATCGTCCCTCTGCATTTCAGGCAACAAGCTCAACAGCTCCGCCCTCTTAACCCTTTCCAGATTGTCACCGAGGTTGACGAGCGTCGCGACGGCAAAGAAGCTCGCGCTGACATTTGCGGGGTCCCAGACGGCATTGCTCTCCGTGCGTAGCGGGCCGAGGTCAGTGGCCGGACTGCCGCGGAACCCGCCGGACGGCAGCTGGCAGCGGTAGATCCACTCGACCCAGCAGGCGCGGTCCTCAGGCGACGTGCGGAACGGCAGCTCACCCAGCAGGTCGATGGCGCCGACGCTGAAGCAGCCGAGCGTCATGCGGTTCAGGTCCGTCGGGATGTAGTCGGACGGCAGCGGCGTGGTCAGGCAGCGCCGCCAGTAGTCCACGTGCCGCTTCTTGTCAAGGACGGGGCGCACGGGCGTCGACATTTCGATTTCGATGGGCGGGCGGGGGAAGGTTGGCGATGTGGGAGACGTGGGTGGGCTTAGGATGGACGTTATGGCGCGGAGCATTTGCTGTGGATTGAGGTGTGGCTGTTGAGGAAACAGACCCCGCCAATGGGTAAGGCAGGGGTGTGGTCCGTGCTGCCGCTACGGTTAAGCGAGGAGATGGACGAGCTCGTCAACTCCAACTCGACTAAACGTCAATCTTCCTCACCGGAAGCCCACATAGATACCACCGTCAGCTCGAATAGGTGTTTCAAACCAACGTCAATGACAATCCACCCCATCTCATCGACTACTACGGATGCCTCAAAAATTTTGTATGCCCGTCAATGTTCTAAGACTATGCGAGTGACAAACAGTGAATACGTCTGGCTGAAGTTTACCCAGTAACTAAAAACGTACAATCATTTCAGTTCAGTGTGGATATGATCAACGAAAACATCAGCAAAAACATCAACAAAATACAATCCCGTAAACCGCAGCCGCGATCCCTACAACTGCCCGGAGTATTTCTCGAGAATTCTCCCCCGAGCAAACAGACTATCATCCTGTAACGTAACCGTAGATTAAGTACATACCAACGAATCCAGGACCGTATGAAAAGCAAATCTGGGAATATCAAATCAACAAATCAATCCGTAAGCAATAAAGGGAGCAAGTCATCAAGCTTCAGCAAATCATCAAACGCAGTACCTAAATCATCAAATTTCAGCAAACCATCAAACGCAGTAAACCATCAAACGCAGCAAGGTAAAGACCACAGTTATCCATCTAAAAATGCATCAGCACGAATCCTGCTCAACAGACACTGGCCATCCGAGCCCTCAGCCTCTGAACAGCACTCATCTGTTCATCGTGACGTTCCGCGAGCTCTCGCTTCACCCGGTCAAGGGACGGGCCCACTGTTTCCTTCTGCACAGTAACAACCAACGCTTGTCTGGTCAATTCGCACTCGGCGATGAACTTCTCTCGGAAGAGCTCTAGATTCATTTTGAAGTTATTGTATTCTTGCAAGTGCGCACTCTTGAGTTTCAAAACCACCTCGTTAGTGAGTTTCTCATACCCTTCGATGCTTTCACGGGCCTTCTCTTCGCCAGACATGAGGTAGCGAATCCAATGCTTTGGTGCTGTTAGCTATCAAAACTCCTTTACGAAGGTCTGATGCTTGCTTACTTTGGCAATCTTATCAAGCACACTGAGTGTCTTCTTGTGGTAATCCGGCAGCTCGGCACGCCAGTTGGAATCCTCGTTTGTTTCACCGGAAGAATACCTGTTAGATTCCTCGTCCGAATCGGAGTCGTCCAAATTGCTGCTGTAGCGACGCCTTGGCCCACGTTCATCGTCACCGTCATAGGATATATCTCCCCCACGGTTGCCCCGGTTTCCCACGGGCCCTCGGGTTGGGATTTTTCCTCTCACAGCAATGAAACCGGGCGATTCGAACAAACGTCTGACCCTGGTGGTGGTGGTCTGAGCTCCTGGAAGACAGTTAATATCTAAACTAAATCGGTCTTGTGGATCGACCTCACCTAGGGCTGTCGAGACGTTGCTCTGCTTCAATTCCACCTTCTTTTCTGCGATCTTCACTTCGTTATTTTGTTTCTCCTTGATTTTCGTCGTCCGCTTTGACTCTAGAATTTCCAACAGAGATGGTCCGTCTCCCAAGGCTCTCTGAGAATCCCCGTGAATAATAGTCGTCAATTTTTTGGCGGCTTTGACGGGTTTCTCCCTGTGGTGAGGACGACGAGCTGGAGTGGACGGAGTTTCCTCTACATACGATGTCAGTTTTGGATCAAAAGTAAAGAGCCCTTCTGCTAGTGACATACTCGGTGGGATTTCTTTAGCAGATTTTGCCAACTCCGCGAATTTGATCATCCTGCCACCAAACGAATGGTTTATGGCTGGCTCGGTGCGAGTCAAGTTACCAGGCCCGGGCGTCTGGATCCGGGTAGCAACTCGTAGTAGTCTTGCTATTGGCGGGCGCGAGCTCAGCTGTATCTCTGGGGATGGCGTCTCGAACGTGAGGTCAATTGCAGTCTTCCGTGAATTGCCTTCCTCTTCGATTGGACACTGCGAGCCGAACGACGACTGAGAAGAAAGGGCACGAGATCTTGCGCCCTTGGTGATCGGAAGAGACGGAGCTGGAAAGCCAGTAGGCTCCTTCTTGGCTCTCTCCATGTCATTCTGGGAGAAAATAGACTTCGGGAACGGGCTTCCAGTATCATCGACCTATACATTTTATCAGTGTTGCCCCGACGAAGCTGGAAATATATCTTACCGTTTTTGTGCGTCTATTTGCAGACTGGGCAGCCGTTGTAATATTTCCCCCCATTTCAGTATTATTGCCCATGACGATGTCTTCATCATCGCTACCCGCAACAACGAGTAACCCACGCCGGTCGGACCTGATAACATCGTCACCTAGAGCGTTATCATAAATACCCGGCTCATCCATATCGACGGACAAACGGTTCGAACCAATCTCCTCTTCAGATTTAAGCTGAGCCTCATGAGTTATATTCATGTCCGTATCCCTGGAGACCGCGGCGCCCTCTTCCAACCCTTCCATTTCATCACCAACGAAGCTAGAATGAGAGACCTTTAGCTCTTCCTCGCTGTCTCTACGGTCTATCTGGCCGATTTCCTTGATCTGTGGTTGCTGCATCCCCTGCTTCTTTGGTTCCTCGGTCTGAGTCTCTTTGACTAGCTCCTTAGGACTAATGGCCTTAATTGGAGCTTCACGCACTACTGGCGGCTTTGGTGGCGTAGGTTGCTTCTTGCTCTCAACATCCTTTACATCACGGACATTCTTGAAAGGATCAAAATGACCGTCAACCTCGATAGAAGTGGCAAGTTTAGGAACCTCTGGAGCGTCATCTTCTGCTTCCACCTTCTTTTTCCCTTTGAGGTATATGTCTCGCCCAGGGATTAACGTTCCGTCATCCGTTTCGTCCGGAACTGGTGACAGGCTGGAAGACTCGACACGCATATGGTTCCCCTCAGTTTCCTCCGGAACTGGTGACAGGCTGGACGACTCGACACGCATAGGATTCAACTTAATTTCCTCCGGAACTGGCGATAAACCGGAAGACATATGCTCAGGTAAAGCTGGTGGATGATCGTTTCCATCGATGGCACTGGTACCGGGGATGAGAGGGCTTATCGTATTTTTGTTGGCCTCTGGTTTGGGCGACCCATCTGATGTGCTCATCTGAGGTAATTTTTGGGCATTGTCGGTGATTTTTGTCTTCTTTTTGGGTGGTGTGGTATGGGGAGGAGTAGCATAAACCGTAGGCGATTTATTTGGGATGGCATTTCCGTGCTGCGGGCTTCCGACTGAATTCCCAGTTTCCAAATTCACTTTACTCTTAGAAGCAGGAGCAAGGGCTCGAGCCTCTGAGTCGCTTTCTTCCATTGCCTTTGCTGGCCGTTTTGTGGGTAACACCTTCGCCGCCACGGGAGCCTTCTTCCCCTTCGGCTGGGCTTTTGTCCGAGTTGTCGGTTTTGGTGCTGCAGCCCTAGGCTTCGCAGGGGATTTGGGCGCACTCTTCTTGGCCATGACTCTCTTCTTGGGTGCCGGCGCCTTCTCTAGCATTGGTGCTCGAGGGTTCTTCTTAAGAGGTGGCGGCGGCGGTTCAACAAGCTTTTTCTTCGGTTCTGCTGCGGGCAAATCGTAAATACTTGTCCCCGTATTCGTTTCGGACGGAAGTGCTTCTTTTTTTGGTGGTACCACAGCTCTGGTGGCAAGCTTCGCCTCAGGCTCTGAAAGATGCGTAGGCGATTGGATATCTTCAATTGACTCAACCTGCCTGGGCACCTTTGTCATTCGAGCATTGGAAGGAGCTTTTGTCGTCTTATTGACCGCCGAAGCAGCTTTATCCACTGTAGATCCGGTGTTCGGCTTGACGTTAGGTTCTTGGAGGTGCATAGAGCCTTCGGGTTCCTGGGGGTTTATATCCGCTTCTGACTCGGATGAATCTATGACGAACTCTGCAGATTTGAAAACCTTGCTCTTCTCAGGTTTTGCGGTAGCTTTCTTGGTAAAAGCTTTCTTGGCCGGAGTTCTCTTCTTGCCTCCTCTTCTCGCAGCCTTTGGCATCACTGGAAGTCTAGGCTCTTCATCCTCGGTTTCGTCCTCATCCGTTGGAAGTTCATAGATATCGATTTCGGCCTGCGTGACTGGATCTTCTGACTTTGCACTCTTAGGGGCCTTGGGCATTGACTTTTTAAGTGTAGGCGTTTGCGGTTCGGTCCTGGCAGCGGTACCTCCCATGCCGGCAATAAGCCCTGCTTTGATACTTCCTTTTGGTCGAGAAAGAGATGGGAGTTCCTCCAATAAATCGACGAATTCGGAGAACGTTCGAGGCGCCTGTTTCATACCTCGGGGAGCTGGCGGTGGTGAGAATGTAGGTGGATCTGGTTTTGTCGGCTTGGGCGAAACGGCCGGACTACGTCGCTCTTGTTCTTTAGAAACGTCCGCTGTAGCGGTGACGTGGGGATCCCCGGGAAGTTCGTACTCGGTGTCGTCGTCGGCTTGTGATCGTCCTGTTGACTGGGTTTCCCGGGGAGGTGGTGGAGTGTATGAAGTCACTAGTGGAGACCGGAAGCGTGCCCTCTTGGTTGCGATTGGGCTGGAAATATTTTCGTGGGGTTCTGAGGGCCTTCCTTTGCTCGGAGTGGTTGTAGTGGTGGTTGTAGTGATGGCTGTAGTGGTGGTTGGCTGTAATGGGACTGGAGCATCGTCGCTAGCAACTGCGTCGGCCTCGATTTGGGAACGTCGTATCTGCAGGTTAACCTCCCGGGAAGGAGAGCGTCTCTGCTCCGGAGCATCAGACCCTGGAGCCTCAGATTCCGCACCCACCCAGAGCTTCGCAGGTTGAGCATTCGGGGAATCCCATGCTCCAGATACGGAAATCCTCCCGAGTTGTTTATTTACTTTCCTGCGCTTACGTTCCTGGGCGTGAAACAGATCTCTAACAAGAAGCTCAGACTCATCGCTATAAATCCGTATGACCATTGCATCAAGCTCGTCCTTGGGTATCATGTCCAATTGGTACAAGTAGCCGTATCCCGAGTAGTCTCGAAGTCGTATATTGAGGTCGTCAAGGCGGTCGTCCTTGGCTATAGTCATTCCGGAAAATCCTATCGTTGCGGCGTCTATGTTTTCGAGATTGACGTCAATCCAATGAGGCTGTCCATCGTCGCCGCGAAACTGTATGCTGAGAATATCATCGATTGAAACATCGCATATGATACTGCCACTCTTGGAGACATATGAGCTACCGAGCTTCAGCGCCAGAGCATGGAAGCCCAAGGGAAGCCTACACACAGAACATAAGTCATTGATAAAAACTAAGCATCAAGCCCACAGGTAACTTACTTCAAGTGGCTCTGCTCACGAGCCATATCCATCTTCTCGAGATACCTGAAGACCTCATTGCTCCAAGGCTCAGCAGTAGAAGGAAAGGTCTCCCCCTTCTCGAAACCAGAAACCTCAGAAAATACATTGCGCAGGAACTCCAGTTTCTCCGTATTGTCGAAATCAGAACCCATTCGGCAGATCAGCATTGCAGATATGTGCCTCAAGATATTCAGTAGACCTCCAATCAATAGCTTGCCAATCTGCGGCAGCCAGGTGTTGAGCCTCTCAAAAGCCTTGCGGAGAATGATGCGGTTCTCGATCGCCTCTAGAAATTCGTAGAGGAGAAGGCCGGCCCAGCGTCTTGTACTCAAAGAGTTCCGGACATCCAGGAAGAAGGAAGTAAACATGGTCACCACCTTTTCTCCGGCAATCTTCTTGTATGCGGTTCTGTCGTTTCCGGCCTTTATATCTCGGAGCGAGGCGTAAAGTCGGTAGAGACCTTCATCTTTGGCTTGACACGTTTCGGCGAAGATAAAGACTAGTGAGATGGCGTCAAAACTTGAAGCTTCAAGCCAGGACCAGCGCCGATTATCGGTAACAAATGCCTCAGCCAGACATTCTGCGTCCGTTTTTGAAAACGGCACACGACCAGATATTTGGGCATCCGTTAGTATAGCTGCTAGAGCAGCCCGCATATCGGCGGGTATCCTACCGAGGAACATGTTAGTAGTCCACGAGTCAAAATGCCATGACTGCTTTTACCTGATTACAGGCGGCTTCTCTACCGCTTCCATGAGAGAATGGCCCCGTACATAGTCGGCCAATTGAGCGATAGAACCCTGAGCGGTCTGCATCTTCCTCGAACTCCTCGGCTCCGGGCTTCGTCCCCGGCTGAACAGTATTCGAGCGATGAAAGATGTGAAAAAAGAAATGATGGAATGTAGCTAAGTGGGAAATTAGGGGATGGTGGCTTGAGTGATAGCAGTAGGAGAACGAAGGGTAGGTGTGAGTGGTGAGAGGGATGGAACGGTGATGGCCCTAGAAGCAGCCTTGTATCAATGCGGCTGGACAATGATAGCCCATGCATGTCGCAGAAAGAGGTCCACACATAGCAACCGTTCAGATTGGACTGATCGAAGGGTCAATACAAGGGAGGCATCAACTTCGGATTACATACATCCAATGATGCACTGCCTCGATCAGGTATCCCACTACAGCTCACAGGCCTTTCTATTTGCTATTTAGTACGAAAATTCCACCATCTACATGACCGCCACCTGATTTTTCAAGTACTTCCCCTTCCAACACTCCTCAAATAGCAACTTCTTCGGCTTCAGGTCTTTATCCCGAATCATCAAGTTTCTGACCACACCAAAAGCACCAGTACCAATCGTCATGCTTTGTCCCAGGATGATACACTCACTCACACCCTGCACTTCGTCCTTCTTCATGTGGAACGCGGCATCGAAGAGATGGTCCGTCGTCTTCTCGAAAGATGCGAGTTGCAGAACTGAGTCTCGCATCTTGGAAAGACCGAATCGGGTGATTCCGAGAACTTCTCCCTTGAATGTCATCACGTCGCCCAAGAGCTGCATGTGTCTGGGATCAATGTCCATTCCGTGCTCGCGCATAGTGTAAGAAACTTCGCCGATGATGGATTGTCTGCTCACCGACATTAGTAAAGCAATTTTAGATGCCGGAAGAAGTCAAGAACATACCTGGCAGCCTCGATTCCAAGAACCTCCTTCATCTCCATGATGTGGTTACTCTTGGTCTCTGTACCGATAACACCGTCGGTATTCATACACTGTCTCAACCCGTATCCCTCAACCAATAGCTCGTTCTCCCCAGTCTTCTCGTTTTTCTTGACGACCGCACGGACAGCGTTGGGGTAGCCGTTAACGACGATGGTAGGGAGAGCCCGCTTGAGGGCCTGCACACGGAGGTAGACATCTCCGTCATCCTTGGGATTACGTTCCTTCGGAGCAAGTTCCCGAACGTAGATGCGAATTTTATTACCAACCACTCGCACATCTTGTCGTAGAATCTTGAGCTTGGCTTTGACGATAGCACTGATGATGTGATCCACCCCAATTTCGAGCTGCAGCGCCTCGATGGTGCGCCAGTCGATACGGACGGAGACGTAACTGTCTTCCGGAGCGCAGACGTCCTCGATATAATGAATAATCTATAAATCAACACTGTCAACACCATGCTGATTGAAGGGCCTGGTAGTAAGCCACTACTTACATCTGACAGGTAGGTCTTTTCCATTCTTCCCTTGACAACACGAGCGGCCCGCTCGTCGTCCTTGGTGACCAATTTGCAGGTGATAATCGGAGTAGAAATGATCTTGGAAGCATTGATGATCTCCTTGATACGAGGCACACCGAGAGTGACGTTCATGGACGCGACACCAGCAAAATGAAAAGTCTTCAGAGTCATCTGAGTTCCAGGCTCACCAATAGACTGCGCACCGACGGCACCAACGGCGGATCCGGGCTCGATCTTAGCACGCTTGTACTTGGTGAGACACTGCTTGAGGAACTCGTTTAGGCAATCCTTCGAGATCTTCGCAACTTGCTTGACGGCCCGAACTTTATCCTTGGGGAAGTACTCATCAAGGCCAGGGCCTCTGTGTTCTTCTGATTCGGGCATCTCGTCTCCACGAGGCAGGCCGAACTTTTCTCGCAGGTTTGCAAGCGCATCCGCCTTTGCTCGGACGTAATTCCTGATGGACTGGTAGAACGCACGCAAACTCTCGTTCTCGTCGAGGGCCATGGCAAAAGCGCGGCCAGTCAGCTTTTCCAGCTCGGCATCCGAGATGATGTTCCCCAATAAGTCCTTCCGGATCTCTTTTGCCTCCAGCGGATGAAGGACGCTATCACACAGCTCAATGAGTTCGTACGGCAGGAGTCCATCAGCCTCTTCTTTAAAGGTGATATTCTCAGAGTGGTAGAACGTGCGGTTGAAGTTCACGGGCTGAGCGTCACCCTCCATGTCCACAGGATCCAAACTGTCTCCACCATACCTGAACTGCACGATACCGGAAGAAGATGTTCGTACGGTTTCGTCGTAGTTTGCAGAGAGATCCTCCAGAGATTTCATCAGACGACGCGACATGTAACCGGTTTCGGCGGTCTTGACAGCAGTATCAACCAAACCTTCACGACCAGAAATAGCGTGGAACAAAAACTCAGTAGGTGTAAGCCCGGAAAAGAAACTGTTTCGCACGAAACCCTTGGATGGAGGCTGCTTCGAGTTTTTGGCGAAATGTGGCAACGAACGATCGTCAAATCCATCAGGAACACGTTTTCCAGCAATGACTTGCTGTCCGACACAAGCAACCATTTGGGAAACGTTGATCTTGGAACCTGCTAGACGTCAGGAATGAATCAAACCGCAGACAGACAGGTGGGCATTACCTTTGGATCCAGAGCATGCCATGATCAGAGGTGAGTTGTACTTGCTCAACTCTCTCATACAAATATCTCCCACCTTGTCACGGACGTTACTCAGGATACCTTGGACCTTATTTTCCAGGGTGGTCTCTTCGTCACATCCTGCGGCCTTCTCCAGCTTTCCCTCTTTGAACTGCAGAATCAAGTTATCACACTGCGCATAGGCGTCCTCGACCATAAGATCCTTCTCCCTCCTTAGATTGGCACCAGGAAGGACATCGTTGATTCCGATCGAGAAGCCCTTGTTCGCTAACCAACGAGCACAAAGCTTCGCCAGTCGGTTCATCGAACGCACAGCCTCGTCTGGCCCGTAATCCCTCAGAATGACATAGAAGACTGAGTCTTTCTTACCGGATCCGACAGTCGACTTGTCCATAAGTCCACACATGATCTCGCTGCCCCGAATGACCAAGAATCCATCGTTTTCGCACAAATCCGGCGCTTGTCCAGCCACAGGTTTGTAGTCTCGGCACTTCGCGTCCAGATTAACGAGCGTTGGACACTTCTTGTTCGGCTTCATCATGAGATTGAAGATCTGTTTGCCGGTCCAAAGAGCTTGTGGCTTCAAAATCGACGGAGGCGGCAGGTCGATCTGTTCGTTGCCATCCACCATGTACATGCAAATATGCCCGAATGTCTTCCGGTCGTAGAAGATTTCTTTGCTGCTCAAGAGATACGCCGCCGTGATGAAATCCTGAATAGCGGCAATGATGGGCTCTCCGTTACGTGGAGTACAGAGATTGTTCTTCACACCCATCAGCTGGATAGCCTCCGTCCTTGCTTCTTCGGTCTGCGGAACGTGGAGATTCATCTCGTCGCCATCGAAATCGGCGTTGTATGGATTGCACACACACTCGTTGAGACGGAATGTCCTCCATGGTCGAATTTTAGCCTGTGCATGGTGGTTAGTGGTAGCCCCAGCACAGCTCTACAAGAATTCACACGTACATAATGACTGAGGATACTGAGTTTGTGCAACGACGGTTGCCGATTGAATAGTACTACATCATTGTCCTCCAGATGCCTCTCCACAATATCCCCTATCTGGAGGTTTTCCGCCTGACGTTTCCTATCACCGAATTTCAGGAACATCTTGTAATCCGAGTTCTTCTTGATGATGTAGTTCGCGCCAGGCCATTCATCGGGACCAACTTCAACTAACCGGCGAAGCTTCTCGATATTATACCGCGAGACCTTTTCTGGATATGTCAAGTTCTTCGCTACGTGGATCGGAACGGCGACCTGCTCGATACTCAAGTTCGGATCCGGCGAAATGACGGTTCGCCCTGAAAAGTCGACACGCTTTCCCGAAAGATTGCCACGGAAGCGACCTTGCTTTCCCTTTAGCCGTTGGCAAAACCCGCGGATAGGTTTGATATCCGTGTAGTTCCTTGTGATCATCGGCTGACTACTGTCGATGTACATTGCGATTTGAGCTTGCATGTAGTCCCACTGCTCCACAAGCTGCTGAATTGGTTTTCCTTTTTGCAATCCAGCGCGTATTAGTGAACTCACAAAGATGATCTCTGTCAGCTTCACAGTCAAGTCGTCCTCATTACTCGCCGAATCCTGCTGGACGGAGGGCCGAATGCAGACTGGCGGCGCCGGCACATATTGCCAGATAAACATCTCTGGCCGTCCCTTTTCCGGATTCATTCCCAAGAGCTCGCAGTCTGGCGGAAGAACTTGCTTGAAGAGGTTGAGCACTTTCAGGGGGTTCAAGTCGTCCATAGCCCTTTTTACGTGCTTGTCTAGATCATTATTAGCCTTCTTTGCCTCGGCGAATGACCTGTCAAACAAGATTTTCGACTCCGGGGGTATCTTCTTGGCCGCTGTCGACGAATTGAACGCCCTGAATTTGTCGTGCGTAATTTTCAGTGGTCCACTCCTCTTGACAACACCGTTGATAGCATGGCAATGCGGGCATGTTCGCGCCTTCTTGCACTGGACATTGATCTTTTTACAGATCCCCATACGTCTCAAGTTGTCGATACCGGGCGTCCGCAGCATCTTCAAAAACTGTCGCCGTTGGTTGTCGTCCAATAATACCCGCGCGCAGTCCTTGCAAATGTTCTGAAGCATGGTGATGATCGCCTTGAAGTAACCGATGTGGAATGCTGGTAGCGCAAGCTTGACATGACCAAAATGACCATTACAGTTGGCAAGGCCTTCGCCGCAGGTTTCGCAGGTACCAGATTTCGACGAGATCCCCTATTCGAGCGCCCAGGTTTCAGCGATCGCATCCCTTCACATGGTGTGAGCCACCGGGTAGGACCCACCATGCGCGCATCAAGAGCACCGTTCTTCTTCAATGTCCGCCCTCCGTCCAAATCGTATAGCTCTCGCGTCGCGACCTCAACAACTCCCTGCTTAACCACATCCTGCGAGGACCTACAATCGTCACTGTCAGAACCGGGACGGAAGCCTTGCGGTGGTGAAGGATCATACATGACACCGAACTGGACCTCCCCAATCTTCTTCGGAACATTGTCGATGACCTGGGACTTCATTTTTGCGTTCTTTAGATGTCGGTACTCTGCGTGGGATATTGAATCGAGAGAGGATTGAGCGCGGATTGAAGTTCAAAGCCGCTAGCTCCAGTTGTTGGGCACACAAGTGGGTGTGGAGTTGTTGAATATCAATGGTGTGTCGAACTGCTGGAGGGGCAAAAGTCAGCTTTCGGATTGACTCAGGGCTTGGCGCGTTGTTGCTCATCCCATCGCGCGACTCATCACATGCCGCTTATCATTGTGGCGCACTCACACTGTGGCGCAGGTTGGCGTCCAGGTGGCTTGCCACCGACGTCATTGGCTTGCGTCTGCAGGGACAGAATGTGGGCCCTTTGCTTTGCTGTCAAGGCACCAGCTGAAGCCACTCTTCTTAACTCGCTTCTCTCCCACCAGATTTCTATTCGGCAGCCCTCGACATCTTTTACACACAGAAGCTTTACTTTGTAGCTGCAAAACTACAGATACCATGGCTCGTAAGCTACACTCACCCCACCTCTAGTTTATGTTAACCACGTAAGCTAACATTCATCTTTAGCATCAGCATCCATAGATTATTGTGCGTTGATCTTCCCGCCTACCTAGCCTACATCTAACCCGAAGCACAGACGCAGCACTCGGCATCTCGTTAACTGCAACGCCCCAGGAAATCCGCGATGCATATAAACGGTTCGGCAGCTCTCCCTCTCTTTGTCAGCCCACCTTTAACATCCGCAGTGCGGCCCTCAAGACTCACCCGGATCGGGTTTCCCACAACGATCCTACCCGCGCTGCGCGCACCAAGAAGTTCCAGCAAGTCAACGACGCCTACTACGTCCTCTCCGACCCTGTGCGGCGCCGCGACTATGACGCAACCAGGCAATACTCTTCGCCTTCGGGCAGCAGCTGGCAGGACGCTCAGTTCGGCGATGCCTTCGAGGAGATGATGCGCGAGGAGGGACTGGAGGAGGACGAACCGCCGGCACAAAACGCGGGCGGCAGCGTCTGGAGCCTTCTGGGTGGACTTTCGGGGGCTACCATCGGCTTCATTGTCGGCAACATTCCCGGACTCCTTGCGGGTGCTGTCGCTGGAAACCGCTTGGGCGCCATCCGCGACCGCAAGGGACAGAGCGTCTACCAGGTGTTCCAGGAGCTCCCACAGAATGACAAGGCAAAGGTGCTAAAGTTCTCCTTCGATGTTGGTGTTGGCGGTAGCAATGTGCGTTCGAGGGCGAGCAGAGGCTCGAGGCAAAGACGACGGACTGACTAGTGTCTTGCAGCTTCTCTCGGATCTGGCTGCCAAGGTGCTTGCACATGCCGTCAGTTAGGCACTTCCTCCCGAGTACGAGGCGATCATACACGAAACGGCAGCTGTAGGGACCGAGGCTATGAGGGGTCAGGAGCGATAAGGTACGATTACGACTGGTTTGTGTAATCGTTGAAGGGACTGGGACACAGTGGAAATGGCGTTGCGCGCTCTTGCTTTCTCTTTTCTTTCCGGCTGTCTTTCTTCTGTGATTTTACCTATTTTCTTACCAGAATATGAACCATCTTATGTCCTCCATCCTGTTGATGGGAGGATGTGATGTTTACGGTACGTGTCAAATATAAGAGCGAATGAATAACTGTTCTTAAATGCTGTCAGCCGTCGCATCTCAATCAGGCTTATCTTATCAGATCGTAAAAGTGTTGTCAACCTGTGCACCCTGGCGCTTCCGGAGGAATTTGAAAGTATTAACTACGGCTTTTGAAATCCCGTCCTCTATATAGCTGCAGCGACCTTCCATACAATTTCCATCCGTACGAAGTGCCGTGTCTGTAATCCAAAGTGAGGCTTAGGACGTTGGTAACGCAACTATGAGTTCATGCAGATCGATTGTGACACAGGGGCTGTCAAATATTTAAGGTAAGCTGAGAGTTAACCCCACCAACTTTCCACCAACTTTCCACCACCCTGCTCGCCCTTCCGAGGACACCACCACCAACTATAAACCAACTCCCACACTACGTCCGCCTTGGAATTTGCGATTCAATTCTCATAAAGCACCTTCGCCTTATACTCGATAGCTTGTCCGATATACACCCAACCGCTCCATCGGTTACATTCAACAATGGCGTCAGCGACTGCCGAGCAGACTCCGGCTCCGAACAACACAGGCGCACCCTCGGCGGGGAGAGGAGGAGGAGGGCGGAACCGAAGGGGAGGAGCCAGCGGAGGAGGCGGAGGAGACGGTGGTAGGGAAGAACGCCGTCCGAACAGAGGCCGCGGTAGAGGTGGCCGAGGTGGCGGCGATGAACCTGCGGGGACCGGAGGACGCGGGGGTCCGCGGAAGCCAAGAGGAATCGGAAGAGGTGGAGATATCAATGCGAACGCACGGAAACCAGGGGACTCGAACGGACCTGCGCAGACATTGCTAAGGGTTGCTCCGGGAGTGCCGCCAGCAGTTCAGGATAGTGACGATGCGGCCTCGGAGGGCACAGAGTCCGAAGTTTGTTTTATCTGCGCGGACCCGGTCAGGTACATCGCAGTGCCGCCTTGTAACCACCCGACCTGCCATATCTGCTCTCTTAGAATGCGTGCCTTGTATAAGAGCAAGACGTGCGCTCATTGTCGGGTATTCTTCCCCAACTTTTACTCCTGGCGATATATTCTGTACTAACCTATGATCTCAGGTGGAATCCGAATATGTCATTTTTACCAAGGAGCACGAGAAACTCTTCGAAGATTTCAAGGACTCAGAGACTATCGCCGAAAACGCTGCACTGGGCATCAAATATGACGACCAAGCGATCTGTGACGATGCCACCTTACTACTCCGTTATAACTGTCCAGAGGAAACGTGTGACCGGGCATGTCTGGGTTGGCCAGACCTCCATGGTCACGTCAAGCGCGAGCATAGCCGTGTCATGTGTGATCTTTGCACTCGCCACAAGAAGGTTTTCACCCACGAACACGAGCTTTTCACGGCTGCCGAGCTGCGACGCCACGAACGGCACGGGGACGACCAACCCGGCTCGGAAAGTCAGAGTGGTTTCAAGGGACATCCCGAGTGCCAGTTCTGTAACCAGCGCTTTTACTCGGTAGACGAGCTGTTTGTACACTGTCGGGACAAGCACGAACGCTGCCACATCTGTGAGCGCAGTCGTCCTGCTGACCAGCAACCGCAGTACTACTTCAATTACGACACCCTGGAATTGCACTTTAAAAAGGCACATTACGTCTGCCCCGAAAGCGAGTGTCTTGAGAAGAAGTTTGTGGTGTTTGAACATGAGATTGATCTCAAAGCTCACCAGCTTGAGAAACATCCCAACGGGCTTAGCAAGACTGCAATGCGAGATGCCAGACGCATCGATATGAGTAACTTCCAGGACGCGCGGTCAGTGCAGCCCCAGAACGACGGCCGACGGCGCGGTCGCGGAGGAAGAGGAGGTGACAGCGGCGGCGGCAGAGGACGTCACGAGTTAGAGGATCCTCCAATCAGGACAGTGCAGCACATGAGCCGGGCAGAAATCGCGTTTCACCGCACTCAACAGCTTGCTATCCAGAGCGCACAGTCAACTACGCCCCGGACCTTTGGAGGACAGCTGTCAGAGCCCGCATTTGCGGCCCGACCAGCGCCACAGCCCGCCAGACCTCCACAGACGCAGAGCGTAGAAGTGCCACAGTCACAGTCACAACAGCCCAGGCATGTACCAGGGAGCACACCGGCGCCACCACGCACTATCACGCCACCCACAAGCAACGCCGCATTCCCTCCGCTCGCCGCCGCCCGCCCTGCGAACCCGACACGATCCGCACAGCCCGCACAGCCTACGCAGAACCCCGCTGAAACGCGAGCTCTTCGTCATGCATCGGTGATCGACCGCGCGAGCAACATGCTGCGCAACGATGCCACAAAGATGCAGCTATTCCGCAACGACATCAGTAAATTCCGCACCGGCGCCATCTCTGGCGAGAACCTGGTGGACATGCTGTGGAGTCTATTCGACGGTAGTGCTAAGGAGCTCAACACGCTCATCAACGAAGTCGCAGAGCTCTACGAGGACGAGTCAAAGAGGAGGGAGTTCCTCAAAGCGTGGAACAACTGGAAGGCAATCGTAAGTTCCCACTCCACCCCACATCCCCTCCACCAAGCTAACGAAACCAGAACCAAGACTACCCTCCCATCGCCGGTGCCTCCTCCCAATCAGCCTCCACATCCACGAATGCCAATCGCGTGCTAAAGCTCAAATCCTCCACCGCGCGCTCCGGCCGCTCCGCTGCTGCCTCAGCCTGGGGCACCGCAGCTGTTGCTCCCACGCAGTCCGCATCATCCGCCTCCTCCGCCCTCCCCAAGCCCATCGTCAACCCCAACCGCGTGGGCAAAGGCGCCGTCAGCGCCACACCATGGGTGACAAAGCCCGCCGCGCCACCCCCACCTACGACCACCACCTACGCCTCCTCGTCATCCTCCTCCTCCGCCGCAGCGACCAGGCGCCCAGTGGGCCGAGACGAGTTCCCGAGCCTGCCGCCGAAGAAGCAGCCGGCGGGATGGACTCCGATCCCTAGCAGGAACCGCTGGGACGCGCCTGCAGCGACTGGTAATGCGTGGGTGCCTGGGAGTGCCGAGGCTGCTGCACAGGACGAGGCAGACAACTTGGGCGAGAACGGCGGCGGAAAGAAGAAGAAGGGGAAGCAAAAGCAGTTGCTGTTTCATGTTGGGTTGTAATGAAACCGTGAACGGAACGGAGAGGGAGAGAGATGAATGGAAATGGAAATGCGTAGCGTGTGGGATGAAAGGCGTATAATCTATTTGTTACTTGCGATAACTAGAGGGCGGGCTTCGGGCTTCTGTGCCAGGACATACCTACCGCTGTTTTGGCTTGTGCGGTACATTGGTTAGAATAGTATTGTACAGAGCATAGTGTCTGCGAGGTCTTAACGGAGTCTGTTCAGTCAATTTGGTACTTTCTCATCGTGTGAATCAGAATCACATGCCTCACAACCCACGGATTCTCCACAAACCGCATTTTATATTCCCTCCCTAGCAAAGATACCTGCACCCATACTTTAAAATCCAAACCCAGCCCGCTCACACAACCGCAAACCTCTGGTTCTAAACATGTACTTACAATAAATCCATATTGCTCATCATAAACCATAACCCCCCCACTTGTAACCCACAAAGAAAAGGCCATAAGATTCCATATCCCCATTGAACTATCTCTTTATAAAAACAGAAACAAAAAACATAACCACATTGTCTTCATACTATCAAAGTGTGTTTAAAACAGAACAGAACAGAACCATAGGATACGAGTCGCAAGATAAAGGATGCAAAACAGACAGGTCAGACATAGAAACAGAAATACGTCAACGATCAATTAACCACCCGCCCCACCCGAACTCCACAAGAAAAAGGGAAAGAACCAGAAAAGAAGCGCAATATAAGTAAGGATGAAAGCTGAGTTACCGGAGATACATAAACTTGAACCCATCGAATCAAGAGAACACAAATAAGAAAAGCAGGTACAGATGTTTAGTAAAGCAGTGAGTGGTAGACTACGACTTCGAGTAGGAGGAAGCCGGAGAAGGAGTACGTGAGCCCCTCTTTCCCTTAGTGCCTGATCGCGAGGAGGAAGAACGTGGGGAGGAGGGAGCAGTAGGTGCCGATGAAGGGGATGCAATCACGGCATCTCTTGGCCCAACCTCTTCTTCTTGGATCACCTTCTTCATGAACCGGTATATCGCCTCGAAGTAGCCCAACTCCGTAAATGTATCGTTGTGGGAGCCGTTGGGGAACGTTTCCCAGACTTTAGGGGAGACGCAGGAGTTGAAGAGGGTTACCATATGGTCCGGGCTAATGTTTGTTAGATATGATGAGGGGGAGAGGGGGGAAGTAGCAGGTGGGGTGGAAACTCACGGGACGAGCTCGTCCTTCAGTCCGCTCAGGAACAGTGTTGGTGTGTTCTCAATCAATGGTATGGTGGTCTCGCTGGGCCAGATCTGGTGGCATAGTCTGGCCAGGTACTTTGCCGGAGGAAAAGCACTCGGGATGAGCGTTCTCATGGAGCGGAAGGTGTTCTCAAGGATCAACCCGGAGACCTTGCCTTGATTCTTGACTGCCACCTGAATCGCGAGCGCACCGCCGAGTGACTGCCCGTACACAAAGATCTTGGTCTGGGCTGCCTCGGGGCGGTCGATGAGGTAGTCCAGTGCCGTCTGTGCGTCTATCAGGAGTCCCTTCTCTGACGGACGGCCGGTAGAGAGACCGTAGCTACAGCACGAGTTAGGTATTGTCTTTGTCCTGCCTACGGCACGGCGGTGGTAGAAGTTGCGAACCCTCGATACGACAGCATAAACACGTTGGCGCCCATATTGTCCGAGAACACTCTAGCGAGCGGTAGACGATGACCCTTTTCACACGCATCCGTCAGCATTCCCTTTGGGTACCTTCAACAGGGACGAGGGCGCACAGACGATGTTACCAGCGTTGCCGTGCATGTACAGGACCTGAGGGGATCATCATCACGCGTCAGTCCAGTCGGTGATGCACGCGCCCGGAAGGCTTAGGTTAGGTCAAGTACCGTAACGCCGGCAGGCTTGTCGGCCTTCAAGAAATACGAGTTCAACGTCTCTCCGTCCTTAGTGAAGAGCTTGACTCGTTCCCATGATTCGATCTTGTAGTCATCGGGCGTGGGGACTTCGGTTCGTGCTCCCTCGGGATGATCTCTCGGGTAGATGAGCGACCTGCAGAAAGCAATGCGCGCGTCGTGTCCGAGTTAGCCAATCGATTCATTTTGGTCGCGTGCCTTCTATCTCTGACGTCGACGGCGCGGGAAAGGAAAATGGGACGGGGTAGACGAACGATTGCTTGAAGTAAAGCAATCCCGACAGTATGATCGATATGCCGGTGGACGCCACGATTGTTCCTTTGACGATTGTGTATACGGTTGGAGATGCTGAGATGGCAGTTTCGTACAGAGACATCCGTTGTTGTGCTGAGAGAAGGAGGAGGTTGGTGGAGGAGGTGGGAGGTGGAGTGGAGCAAAAGAAGGAGGGAAGAGGAGTAAGAATGTTTCTCGAGCTTCGAAGGAGGGACTGGTATTTCTGGTATGTATTGTAATCACCGGTGTAACGGTGGTGGTGGTGGTGGTGGTGGTCGCGGAGGGGGCAATGCAACGTCGCACGCAAGGGAGGAAGGGTACTCAGCACGAACCGGTTTCGCGTGCGCGTGCAACGTTTTGGCGGAGAGGCTGTGTGAGCGAGGAAAGTGCACGAACAAAGTACCTACGCAGGAGTTTGGGAACTTCAAAGGTCGGGGTCGGTCTTGTGGACGGAAAAGGCGGGCGGCTGCAGTTGGTGGGTCGTGCTACTCGAGGGCAGTTGCTCGTTTGGGAGGATTCGAGGAATAGAATAGAGTTAGGAATAATAGGTAGTATCTGGCGAAGTCTATGCGTTCGATGCGGGACTTTGGGGAGAGTTGGACACGGTGAGCTGAAGGTGAGGTTGCTTCGTTTATAGGCTGCTAAGCTGGCCACTCATAGCCAACAGCTGCAGAGGACAGCAGGATCTACGGCAGCGAGACCAAGAGATTTTGAAAGCCGATCAGTTGACGACATGGAGATATCTCGAAGTCTGCAGAGTGGTTCGAAACAATCTACAGCTTTAGCTTCAGGCCGAGCACAGATGAAACCGTCCGGGGATCTATCTTACTCGCATGAAAACACACTATGTATTCCACACAGGCGAACACTGCCCATCACAGGGAATGACTCGTTAGTTTCATCGAGAGGGCAACGAATTCACCATCGCGATGTATTTCCAAAAGAATGAAGTGGGGCTTGTAATCATTGGATAGCAAATTCCCCGATAGAAGAGGGATAATGTTATCTCTGCGGGAAAAAAAGTGATTCGTCGCGCGCAAACATCACATTCACATTCCCTCTAACCGGTAGCGGCGGTGCATAAACCGCTCTTCTGAAACGAAACGATTGGAGGGAACCTTGCTGTTTGTCTTCTCGACTCGTCTGGTACTTCCTTCTCGATGTATTGTACATAGTAGGACTAAAACACCAAATGTCACTCACGGAGTCATTGCAGAAGCAGAGTGTTCCAAACTGCATGCAGCATACAACTCCCTTCCAGCGACCACAACACCCGACCATCGCACAAACCTCTACCCTACCGTAATGGCATCCGGTTCCAAGATTCCGCTACACGTGGAAGTCCGACTCGCAGAGGAGACAACATGCCCAGATAAACCCGCCCTCGCGGCGACAATCGATAAATGGCTGCACGAAAACTTCAAGTCACTGATTGTGGAAGAGCACATATCCTCGACCGGTTCACCGCCTCTCTTCGGTATATGTGCCCACTTCTAACTCTATGTCTAGACCAATGCGCCTTCCTCCCCACCGGCGTAGAAGACCTCTACGTCTCCGAGGCCGTCGGCATAGCCGACATCGTCCCGCTGAGCGACGTCCACTTGCACGTCCACGTATACAAGCTTCTCCACGAGCGCGAGCGCGAGTTCCGACCCGAGGATACCAGCGAAAACTCCTACCGGATCATGGATCTTCCCGCAGCTTCGCTGGACAAACTTTGGGATTCGTATGTTGCCCCAGGCAGAATGGCCAGGGGGGGGGGGGGGGGGGGGGGGGGTCTTGCTAACGAGGGGAAAGGTTGATGTTTGAGCCTGGCCTGAAGAGTAAACTGTTGAGTTTCGTGTCCACGATATGTCCGTCCCCCCCGCCTTCGCACTGGCCAGCGGAGGTTGTTAATACGAACGCAGCCTTCTTCGCCGATAAGCAGGTCGACCTGATGAGTATTGGCTTCAACCGACTGATCCTCCTTCATGGTCCTCCCGGGAGCGGAAAAACTAGTCTTGCCCGGGCGTTGGCGCAGAAGCTCTCCATCCGCCTGTCAGCCCAGTATCCGCAATGCCAGCTCTTCGAGATCAATAGTCATAATCTGTTCTCCAAGTACTTTTCGGAGTCGGCTACGTTGGTGGGACAGATGTTTGATCGGATTCTGAAGCTTTTGGAGGATGGGCGAGTGTTTATTGTTTTGTTGATTGGTGAGTGAAGGATTTAGATGGTTGGGGAGGAGAGAATGAGAAGTGCTGACTGGGTGTTGGCGGAATAGATGAGGTTGAGACATTACTGCCGTCGAGAATGAAGGCTATTGGTGGTGGGGAGCCGAATGACGGAATCAGGGTGAGAGCTTTGAATATGAGAAACGGGCCCGAAGACGAATACTGAGGAGAAAAGGTTGTGAACGCCCTCCTGACCGCGTTGGACAAGCTACGGACCAAGAACAATGTCCTCCAATCCCCCGTTACCAGACATGCGTAGCCACTGACCAGGCCTAGGTGATCGTGTTGACGACCTCGAACCTCCTACAATCCATGGATCCCGCATTCCTGGACCGCGCCGGTATCTCCCATTCCCATTCCACCAATACTCTATCTCCGTCATTGACTCCCTATCCATTCAGATATGAAACAGTTCATTGACACCCCCTCCACCCCCGCAATCTACAGCATTCTTCGCACCGGACTGCACGAACTAATCCGGGCTGGAATCATCATCTCCCCATCCCCGATCCCCTGCGCAACCGAAGCCTCCCTGAGCCTCTTCCGTCTCCCCGACGCTCCGTCCACGAGACTGTGGAACTGCGCGAAAAACTGTGTCGGCATGAGTGGTAGGGAGCTGGGGAAGACCATCATTCTGATGCATGCAAATTATATCCAGAGGAGTAGGTGTATGCTGGAGGAAGCATTGAATGCATTGGAAAAGAGTGTGGGGGATCGGAGGGATGAGAGGGGGAAGAGGGATAGTGATAGCAGGATTGGCCGCGAGACGGCGGGCCTGGACGGGGGCAGCGGGAGGAGTCTGTAGGAGTCTGTGAAAATATGTGGGAAGTACATACCTCTTAGACTACATACCTTCGTCCCACATTCTTGTATCTCTGGAATAATAACTACGCCATGTGCTCTCTACATACTCAACGCCCATTATTCTCCCCCGACCGGTTGTATTAAACGAGTGAGCATCCATGAGCGATAGCCAGGGTCCCAGACCCCCGCTAAAAAGCGCAACCCAAAAATCTAGTGCCCCACCTGCACTCCCTCAAAGTCAAGTTCAAGTTCAACCTCACACCTTCCCAACCCTCACCAATAATCCTCAAGATGGTACTGCCCCCCCTCCCCACCCACACAGCGCGTACTAACAACTCCAGGGCCGCGCCACAATCCGCACGAAAAAGAGCCACCCGTCCTCCTCTTCGGGAGCAGGAGCAGCGACATCCTCGCTCACGCCCTCGGCGGGAGCGTTGACGTCGCGCAACCCGAAGAAATCCGTGCGGCTCGCACGACACGCGGACTTCATCTCACGGATCGAGAAGAAAGCGGCGCCGAGCAAGATCATGAAGCGGCGGCGACCCAAGACCAACACCGCGCTGCTGGGGAGCATCGACTCGCTTGCTGCCGCGCTGCCCGAGGCGCTGGCTGGCGCCGAGGATGCTGGCACCGAGGGCGCAATGCGTGAGCGTAAGGGCGGAATGGGCAGTAAGGCGATCAAGTCACGTCCTGGCGCTATGGTGCGCAAGGAGAGGTTGCTCAAGAGTGAGTGTGAGCGGTTTGGCAAGAATTTGGCGATTCTGGAGGGCGAGAAGGGGCAGAAGAAGGAGGGTGTTGTCGGCGGCAGTTGGGCGACGCTGAGGCAGTTTATTGGCGCGACGTTGGAGAAGAAGGAGGAGTTTGTGGAGATGGAGATGAAGGCTGCGGAGAAAGCGGCGGGCACTGCGGCGATGGAGGTTGAGGTGTAGGGGAGGGAGAGAGCAGCTTGGGTTTCATCTGGAGTTTGGAGTGCCTCTTTTTCTTTCTTTGGGTCGACTTAATGTTGTGTCACTGGGTTCTGCTACGAGAATGAAGTGGTCCTGGCACATTGATATGTGCAGTCTTGCGCGATAAAAATAGTCCACTTAAACACCATGTCTATAGTATAGTAACGCTGATGATCTTGATATCTTCCTCGGGCTTGTCTTTGAACGCTCTTACGTTCTCAATCTTATGGATGACATCCAGTCCTTGTGTCGCACGTCCAAAGATGGTATGTTTGTTATCGAGCCACGGCTACACATCTCGTCAGTATTTTCGACTTCCACATCACTTGGGGGGCAAACTAACTGTCTTCTCGGTGGTGATGAAGAATTGACTACCATTCGTATTCGGTCCGTAATTGGCACTGCTGAGAGTATATGGCTTATCGTGTCTGAGTGAGCCAAACTCATCCTCAAATTCCCCACCCCAGATACTCTCTCCACCCGTGCCGTCACCCAGCGGGTCGCCTCCCTGGATCATAAACTTCTTTATCACACGGTGGAATATCGTGCCGTTGTAGTACCCGTTTCTGGCATGGGTAACAAAGTTCTCAACCGTCTTGGGTGCGGCTTCAGGGAACAGCCGGAGGTGGATATCACCCATCGAAGTGTGCAGGATTGCCGCAGCACCTGTATCCCCCGGCCGGCGCTCGAGTGATTTCGATGAAGCCGAGACACCCTCCTTGAGTGGGTTCTCGTTGAAGACATCGCGCTCGGACTTTGACGCCGCATTGTCGTTGCTGAACATGTAGAACCGCGGTTTCTGCGCGGCGGTGCAGAAGATCATCGGATCGCGGACATTTGCTTCTTCGAGCAGCGGGTTGGATGAGGCCGCCATTTCCACGGTCATCACACTCTTCTTGGAGGGCGCGCCTTGGTACACGGCAATGTTCATGGGACGGATGGCCTCGTCCCTACCAAGGGTACGCACGAGCCTGTTGGTGGACAGATTTAGGATTTTGATCCCCGCGAGAGTGCCGAAGATTATGAAGTTGCCCGTTTCATCGAAGATGATGTTTGCCTTCCGGAGTGCCGCCGAGTCCAGTGATGACTCGAGGGCCATTCGCCGGCCAAACTCGATATCCGGTAGCTTGTTGGTTGCGGATGAGGCTTGTTGCAGTGTTGCTAGGGTGGTGAGGGATTCATCATAGGTACGGGAGAGCTTCGCGGAGGGGAAATCAAACACCCGGATGAGCCTGTCCGGGTGTGAGAAGGTAGCGAACGACTCCTGGGTTGGAGACATGATGATGGAGGTGGGAACCGATTTCGACTTCTTGAACTCGAACAGCCCAGTGCCAGCCTTGTACTCAAAGACGGAATCCGGCTTCTCAAACTCGCGCTCGGGGCGCGGTGCCCAGTATTCCACCATGCCGCTTTCATCGCACGAGACCACGCAGTTGTACTTGTCGTTGAACGCCATCAGATGGACTATGCTTCGGTGTAGGTTGGTGAGCCTGTGGAGAGGCGCAGGATTCTGGTTCTCGCCTCGGCCGTCATAGATGGATATCACCGGCGATACAGTGTCGGAGATGGCGAGCATGGGCAGCGGCGAGCCTCGGCGGTGGACCCAGCATATCGCCCGCGGAGTATTTTCGATCGTGATTGTCGCCAGCAAGTCTACCATCAGTCAGCTATCCGTCCCATCCGCAAAGCTCTCCAGCGAGTCCGAGAAATACCAAACGTAACCACATCGAAAATAACGACCTTCTTGTCCACTCCCGCGCTGGCGAAGCTTCTTCCATCACTGCTCACGCCCACAGCGACAATCTCGCCCTGATGGGCGCGGAACATCTTGACGAACTCGATACCGCTTGCCATCTTCTTCCAGAACTTGACCACGCCATCGACGCTCGTCGTGATCAAAAAGTCCGTTAGCGGCGTGATGGTCACGAACGCGAGGATGTCCCGGTGCATCAACGATTTGCTGTATCTCGCGGCGGTGGGGAGCGCTGAAAGGTACTGTTTCTCGAGCACTTTGGGGAGCGTCCGTCGCTTCTTCTTCTTTTGTGCTCCGCCGAAGGGAGGGAGGGATGGGCCAAAGTCATCGTCCGAGGAAGAGCTCTCTGGGAGACGTTAGCACGGACTACCGAATTAACCTGTGGAGAGGTTCGCGTACATACCGCCATCGTCGGGAGTCTCTTGTGCGGGCCGCTTCGTCCCGGCCATTACTGTGTCGTCGTTGTCGGACATCGTTGCGTATGTGGTTCAATGGGTATTGAGTTGTGGTGTTGGGAGACGCGAAGAACTCTTTACGTCGACAAGGTACCTAGGAGCTGTGGCTGAAGTTATTCAGCCTCTTCACATGCGCGGTGGCCAGGATAGGTAGCATAAACCCAATCATCTCATTGACGGAGCACGTTCTCAACTTCACCAGGAAATACAATCCCAGGCCAAACAAATCTTCTACACATTATCCACTGAGTACTTATGTAAACTCGTATTGCCATTCACTTGAGCGGCTCAAGGTCTTCATCATAGTACATCACTCACCTCACAGTATCAGAGCCAGCCGGAGTCTTCCCGGGCATCTGCACAAGTATTTCCCCTAACCTACCCTCCTCCGCAGAACCGAAACTTGCTTGTTGGCGAGTTACCCCGACTATAATGGCGCATCACCGACATATGTACATTTACATCTGCGATTTTTTGCAATGGGCTACCTAGTGCGTGAACCGCGGGGTGATCTGGTGGAGCTCTAGACCGGAGCTTAAGCTCCACGACCTCTTACGTACCTTCACAGCTTCTCTGTTAACGATTCCTGTCTTCGAGAGGCTCCCCCAGCAGAGTTCCTCCTTCATCATCTCCTATTCCCTTCCACGGCGGGCTACGTTAATCCATATGGACCCCCGAACCCCCTCAAACGTGTGTTGACCCAACGAACTCACCAGGTCAACATTGCACTTTGCGCAGACTTCGCAGCCGTAGTGAGTACATAAGTCAACTGTGCCACGGGCCCGGAATGAGCTCAAGCATCTTTCTGCTATGTATGATAGGTACATGCGTCCTCGGACACGGCCGATTCACATCATTCAGATACCTACGCATGCAGCCAACGTTAAAGAACATATTTACATACCTACAGAGGAAGTATCTGGAACGCATGCTGGGAGGATGCCGGTACCGTGAGTTGGAAGGATGCCGGTACTGTGGTTTCGGCTTGACACAATGTAGCATGGATTGACCGCAGGTCTGCAGTACGAGCTCGCCGCCTTGCAGCGCATCATCGGTGGGCTGTAGCTGTGGTATATGCCGGCCGTGAGCGATAAGATTGCTTGGGAAGAACAGATGGACGTGGGTAAAGGGCCCGTCCTTTCCTTCCTTAATGCGAGTTTGCCGCTGGTCTAAGTAATGTACATACTGCAGAACAGCTGATCCCGTTGGTCGCTCATCATATACTTACTCTCATGGCTACTTGTTACTGGGCGACAAGGCTCGAGTTCGAATGCTGGTTGATGAGAGAGGTGGCATGTGATGAGGGGTATCCATCCATCCACATACTACATCTTATCCCTATTATCTCATGTTGCATATAGTACCTACTGTAGTTGAACTGCCCAGCCTCTTTCTTCACGTGCGTGGTGGTGGTGGTGGTAGTTAGTAGTAGTGCCAGTGGCCAGGGTTACCAAACCCACCTATTGGTACGGTAACGTAGGTAAACTCAATCGCCAACGAAACACCGCCTCCATCACCTCCATCCCCTCCATCGTTCGTCGATCCCGGGTCCAAACATCTGCCCGGTAACTGTGTATCTGGTGTGTATCTGGTACCAAGTATGTAGAGTACACGATCTGGAACTATCTGCTGCCCACCCAGGTCCCAGCGCAGCTACATAGTAGGATGGTAATGTCCATACCTCACTGCATCACTCGCCTCACTCGCCCCCAGGCCCACCTCACCTCACCATATGTGTGTATGTGTGTAACACAACCACCCGGCATCCACCCACGGCATCTGTTTCCCCACAACCCACAACCCGCTTCCACCCGCAGTCTTCAGGCTTCCTCGCTCTCGCGATCGATCACTACTGTACAAACAATGTATATAGAGTACTTACCAACCCCCCGGCCCATGCACAATAAATAAAACACCTCTACCTTACCCACCTTACCTACCTCACCGATATATACTAGCAGGTAGTAGGTTTCCCCTCCACCATCGACGCTCCACCATCAACGCATGAAACGCAAGGTATGTAACGCGACGCACGCATGCACATACATTCGCACGTAAGGCCAGGGGAGGCGGTGTGGAGGGAAGTGAAGGATCCAGTCATACCGACAGCGAGAGCAAGCGCCAGGTGTCCTGAAGTTTCCCACCGCCCCCCCTCCCCTCGTGGCCCCGCCCCGCCACCGCCCACGGATGGAAGTCCGGTCCGTTGCGGGTTGCGGGTGCGGGGTATGTAAGCGCAGACGCCATGCCCCCCCCCCCCAGTGCGTATGATATGTTGTGCATTATCGATACTGCCTGCTCATGGATCGATAATGGAGCGAACTGGAATCCGAGTAGATACGCACGTAGTCTCCGTCGATGCGAATATTGTGGGCCAAGGATCTGAAACGTCACGAAGGTTCAAGGAAGACAGGAAGTCAAGAAGGAAGGAAGGAAGTTTTGGAATTTGGAACTGCTATGTATCGTAGTGAAAAAGGTATTCCCATTCCCACCCCGCCTGCCACCCACCCACCACCCAGCACCACCCTCAATCCTCCAAATCATCCTCATACATTCAGCCCCAATAGTTAGAGGCCATACATAATATATCCCCATCCAACGACATCCCAACGACATCCACGCTATGCCCCATGCCTACCTATGCTACAATAACCTATGAAAACTGCCTATGAAAAAAATAAAAATGAAAAAAAATAAATCAAAATGGGCTACATCATAATCATCATCACTCCCATGGTCGTGTCTCCTCCCGTACATATCCATATCCATAGCCATAGCTACATCATCATTCGAATTGTCAAATCAATCCCTTCATCCTTCATCCTTCATCGTCTCGTCCCTCCATCCATCCATCCATCCATCAATCCGACCCCTAGACACAAACTCCCGCGATAACAAAGAAAGCCAAAGAAAGCCAAAGAAAGCCAAAGAAAGCCAAAGAAAGCCAAAGAAAAGCAATGTTAATATCAACCAACCAATCAATCAATCAATCACCAATGAACAAAATAGAAAAAAACAAAAGCTGTCAATGTCGAATCAAAAATGGTATAAGAAAAAGAGAAGACAAGAAACACCCGGCCGGAAAACCCCCCTATCAATGGTTACAGGAAATGAAAATAAAGAAAAACGATCGCAATAGTGAGAGAATGAGAATTATGTCGATTTCGGTTCGGTTCGTTTTAGTGGTGGCGGCCGTCTTCTTGAGTGTATGCGGACACATCATCATCATCATCACGTTGCGGTGCTTAGTCGTGGAACTCGTATCATGCTCTGCGTCGTTCGTTCGGTTACCCGAGAAACTCCCCGTTCACAATCTCCCACCATGCTACACGTTCACGCCACACCCTTTCCATGAGGAGTCTGGCATGTTTGACCTGGAAGAACCGATTCGTTAGCAATAGTAAATTTTGGATCTTAGGGAGACAGCCATACCTGAGTCAAGCCAGTCTTTTCCACCTCGAGCATTCGCCGTAGCGTGTACTCGCGGTGCTCGTAGTTGATAGCTTCGCAGCCGGCGGTGAAGAGCGGGAACAGCAGACAATTCTCTGCGGTTCCACCTTGCTTGACTTTGTGCATGGCATCGACAATGAGACCAACGGCATCTTGGACGTCGGGGTGGTCGGATTCGTAACCGAGTACCCGTCGGTAAAGATGAATCTCGGCAGCCCAGTGGAAGGCGTCGTTGGTGGCCAATAGCTCCTCCTCATCGAAGTCCTCGCCGGTGTCACTCCCGTTGTGGAAATGTGCGTATCCATTGTCGTGGGCGTGGGTGCATCGACCCAACGACCGCTCCCTGGAATCCCGCAGTTCTTCGCGTATTCTCAGAGCATTCCTCAGGGTATCCTTGGTTGGTTTCCAGATTATATCGCCTCCCCGGCTACCACGGCGCATCATCTTTCGTTCTTGCTCGCACTGTCTCGCCAATTCCCCAATCTTGTGGAGGATCGCAACGCAACGGGTAGTGAATCCAAAGAAACAATCCACTGAAAACTCTGCCAGGGGGTCCTCGTTGTCGTTGGTCCAGTATTTCCCGCTGTCACTCAGTACCGGCTCGTCAATTTCCCGACCGCTCAGCCGTCCCAGGAGATCCAGGTACGCGAACCACCGCACGAGGAAATACGAAACGGTATCTCCGCTGTGCATGCCTTGGGCACCTCCGCGGGACACGATAATTCTTCGGGCAGCATCCAGATGCGTCTGCCAGGTAAGCCCGCTGGATGCGAACGGATTCGGCGACACGATCTGGTACGATGCGAGCATGATTGCTGTAGCAAGACTTGCATCGCTCGTGGCCCCTTCGGGATGGTTCAGTGCGACACCCAGACTTCGCACCGTTTCGTCTATGAAGCCGCCTATTCGCTCCGTGGGTTCAGGGTGGTTGAGTAGCCGGGCTTGATGGCTAGCCGAGTATGCAAGCAGCAGGTTCATGAGGTGGTCGGTCTCGACGGCCACTAGGACGAAGAAGACAACTGTTAGCGAGGTGCATGACTTAACGCGGGGTAGATAACCAGGGCTACACACTTTGCGGCAGGATGTGCTTGAACGGATTCTCCGAGCAATCGTGAGGTACCAGCAACCTGGCTGTGTGCTTCAGGTAATGGTGGAAGTACATCTTGTTCTGTTCATTGGACAGTAGCCACTGCGGGAGAGGATCCAGCCTCCTGGGAATAGACATCTGGTCCGGATAAGCCGCGTTCATTTTGAAGAAGTGTCGGGCATGGTTCACCTGCATGTGGAAGTTGTGGTCCTCATAGTCCATGGCGTGGCGAGGAATTTCCTCGATGTCGTTGTCTTCCATATCCTGACCGTCGGAAGTATATGGATCCGGCCCTTCCGTCTTGAAACTCATGTCGTACCCGCCGTGGTGATATCCGTTGTAGCCCCCGTGAACTAAAGGATCCGACAACAGGTTCTCAACCGACACTCTGCGCATCACCGTATTGTTGCCATTGCTGATTCCAGTGGTGACGGGCATGCCGATCATAGCCCCGGACATGTTATTCATGGGTGCCATGGAGGCCGGAGTATGCATGTAGTCAATCGCCTCCGCCAACGAGGCCGTAAGCTGTGGCGCTTGACTCATGGGATGTCTTCCGTATATGAACGGAGACATTGGCGGTGGTTGTGTTGGCGATGTACTGGTCCTGGCTTTCTTTGTAGGCGATCCTATGATCGATGGTGCGGGATGATAATTCTTATGGTGAGGTGAGTTAATTGGCTGTGAATACGAGATATCGGGGCTGGATGAGTGTCCTGGCGGGCTGTGGTAGTTCCCCACTGGCGACGACGTATGTGTCGGGGAGAACGGTCCAGTGGTTGAGTATGTCGGACTGAAGTACGACCGATCCTGGTGGTGTCCATTTCGCATCTGATTCTCATCGAACGGAGATGCGAGCGACTGCGGTGCGGTGGTAGTGGTCGGTGTCAAGTTTTGCTGCCATGCGTAGGCGTCATCACGACGGCTCATCCGCTGCACGCCACTACGGTCTGGCAGATGTGTTTGTTGTGTCTGCGCGAGCGGGATTTGCACGCTCAGCTGAGGATCAAGCGGAGCCGTGGAGGTGATCGGTGTCACCCGTGACATTGTAGATGGTGGCGCCGGTGGTTGGGGTGGCGTCACCGCGGAAGATTGCCCGCCGCCGCCGACAGGTAAATCGGGCATGTTTTCACCGACCGCGAATACCGTCTGGTAGCCGGACATGCTCGTCTTCTTCCCGCTGCCAGCCCGGGGAACCGGTGGCTTCCTGGCCGCGCCGTTGGGTGGCGTCGCTTGGATGAAGGTCTGCGGACTCGGGAAGTGCTGGTTGAGCGAGAATTGGCCGGCGCCGGGAATGAACTGGGATTGATCATCGCCATTTGGATCGTGGCCGTTTCCTCCATTCTCCTGTAGTTTCTTCTTCAGCGGTCGACCGCCCCAAGACAGCCGGATCTTGTAGTCGCAATCCTCGTCGAGACGCTCGCAGTTGCTGCATCGCGGTTTCTCCTCGCCGCACTTGACCTTTCGCGCCTTGCAGTTCCTGAGGCGAACGAACAAAGAAAGTCAGCCCAGACCATCCAGAGATCCGCACGCCCACACCACTTCACTTCACACCACACCACCCCACGGGCATCGACAATAACAACACGACTCCGGACTCGGACTCGAGTTCGGAGGTTTCGGAGCCATCCGTGGGGCATCACTACAAAAAAACAAAATGCTAGAGTTTTTTTTGGGTTTACCAGCAGCCATTCCGACTCCGTCGGCGAATTTCCCGTCCCGCAACCGGTGCTCGAGGCATTGGAAGAAAAGATAAGGGCTGTGGATCGGGGCGCTTTTCCCAGTGTCCGTCGTCGCCGTCTTCGCGGATACTACGTTTCTGGCGTCGAGGATTGTTTGGATTTAACGTGACCACAGCGCGCGGATGGATGGGAAGTCGAGTCGAGTCCCGTGGGTGGGGGGGGGGGGCGTCGGCGACGAGGCCTCCTCTCGCTCTCGGACGGCTGCTTGAGCGAAAACGGCTAGGAACGAGTGGCCCGCGAAAATAGTTGGGCGTGTGAGATCCTTAAGTCCACCACAATAGAAACCGAACAAGCAAAGCAAAGCACGCAAGCAAGCGTGTGGAAAAAATGACGGAGAGGAATAAACGGTAGAGATTCGAGATGACAGGAAACGAGGGGTAGATGTGGGATGGATGGGGAAAACGGCTCAAGAAAGAAATGCGACGCGGTGGTGGCAGCGGCAGTGTAAGTCCTCGGCGGATGTTGAGGGGGGTGGGAGGATTATCAGCGGGGATGGGGATGGCTAGTGGGCATTGACAGTGTACCAAGCGTCATTCGTACGGCCGTGGTGGCGGCTACTCCTCCTTCAGCGTACAGACACTAGACTCTACAGTGTGAGCAGGGCGTTTTTTTTTGTATGTGTGTACTGGAGGCTTTGGTTACGGCGAACCACGCACCACGCCGAGGGACAGAGATAAGTAAGGCAAAGGCAAAGTGCTCTGCTAGGTAAAGTGCTCTGCTAACTTCCGGGGGGGGGGGGGAAGGACGAGTGCTACTCTGGCGACGAGTATATAGTACTATTTACATACTAGTAGGTACACGAGTCCATTGGATTGGACGAACAGAAGAAGGCCCTTTTTCTACGATGGGGCTGGATAGGTCACTCCACTAGACTTCCCTTACTCCAGATAAAACAAGAGGGGGTTGTTTTCTATTAGGCAGAGAAGAAGCAGCCCCCTCACCAGCCAGGCTATCCAGGCCTACTACTACATACATTAGGACTCCAGGGAAGGAAAGAGAATGAATAAAACGGAGTTCGGTGAAAGGCAGGAGATATGCCTGTGGGAGGGGGGCACCATCACCTCCACCTCCACCTCCACTTCTGGCTGGAGCTTGCGGGGAAGACGAAGAGGATCGAGGACGGCACGCAGAGTGTCCGCGCAAGGCAAACTGTTCTGTCTTGTCCGTCTATATGGACCAGTGGTAGTGGGTGTGTATTGTACATGTGAGCTTGTATCTCTGGCGTCAAAGTGAGTGACTGAAGTGATATCTATCCTGCCTGTCGGACAACCATCAGTTCGAGGCAGCTAGCTGAGAGGCGGGCAAAGCGTTCGCATTTGCGCGGATTGTGGGGTAGAAATATATCAAAGTCTACCATAGAGTAGGGTGTGGAGGCAAACATCCGCAAAGAGGTCTGTCTGGACTTTTTGTTCTGTTCTGTTTCGTCCTGTCACTCTGGTCTGTTTTGTTTTGTTCTATTCCGTCCTTCTGTTCTATTCTGTTCTGTTCCGCTCAGATACCACCGCCGCCGCCCCAGCCACCGGGAGGAACTACGTCTGCGATCTCAACCTCGGAAGTCCGCAAGAAGTTCATTGCTCATCTCTCCCGGGTGGTGGTGGAGGTGGAGGAGGTGGTGGCGAGGGACAGCACAGAAAGTCAAATCTCATCCGTCTGCCTGGCCTGCCTGCAACTCCTCGCCCACACAAAACTGGGAATTTGGCGGGGTCGGTGTCCGAAGGGTCGAGCCCGGCCAGCAACAGCAGAAGCGGTGGTGGTCTTGGTGGTGGTGGTCTTGGTCATGGTCATGTCCGGCTGGTGGGTGTGTCTGGAGGCAGCGATCCGCCGGTTCAAATGGATGGTGGGCGGGGGGCAGAAGGCGATATCTGCAGCAGGGATCGCTGAAGCTGCACGGAGTCCACACTCGCATGCACTCCGTTACTTGCTGGCGGGAATTATTGGCTGGCTTCCGAACTGCCGAGCGAACAAACACCAGGTCCCAATCACCATCTCTCCACCCATCGCATCTGTCGGAACGAGGGAAGAATCGGCGTCCGGTAGACACGATTGTTGGCTGGTGGTTTGCCCACACTCCCCTCACCTCGCCTCACCGCCAGCCAGCCAGCCCGGACGGCTCCTCCTCGGACATCCGCTCTTCCTCTTCGTCCGTCGTCTTCTCCCGTCGTCTGTCGTCTTCCTCAGACCTCTGGCACTGGTACATAGGCCTCCGCCGATACGTACCTAGAGCACTTAGTCCGCTTTGGAGAACACGGACTTCTCGTTAGCTTCCGGTCTCACGTTAAAGGTCCCTAATGCACGTCTTGAGGCTATCCGCTCTGTGCATTGCCAGATCGTGATTCGGACACTGGTAGGTATTTATGTATGAGAGTAAGGACTCGTACTTGCTTGGTTAACCCATACGGAGGAGACCATCATCTCCCGGAAACCGTGCTCCATCGACACTAGAGTATCATAGTAGAGTGCCGCAAACGGCGGTGCGCTGCGTCGTCTCGTCGCCCCTGTCGTCGTACATAGTCGTTGTCTTCCTGAGGGAAATGAAATGAATCGGCTCCCCAATACGCGCCATGTACATACCGGTATCCTACATAGCATACACATGATATCTGCTTTCAACTCAACCCACGATCACGGCTTGCCTCCAGACAGACAGACAGCCGCAGAGGCCCGGTGCCATGGCCCGCAACGTATCCAGAGTGGTGAAACCAGCCTGCATTCGTACCGTATCTTAGCCCCCGCCGCTCCATGTCGATAGTTAGAGTAGTGTACATACAGAAATACAAGGACTCTAGAGCACATTAGGTATTCCCTTAGTTATCAGCCTACCTCCGTTCCTCTCCCCCGCCGGCCGCTCCGCCATTTGGCTCTGGTTAGCACGTAGTGTAAGATATGTGTCCGTAGATATGTGTCCGTAGATATGTGTCCGTAGATATGTGTCCGTAGATAGAGTGCATCCATCGTCCTCCCTCTCTTCCGCATCTATCCAAGCCTCTCGCTTGGGAGCGTTTCGCGGCACGATGCTGTGTGCAATCCCTTTTTTTTTACTCGATACCCGCTCCTGCCACGGCCCCCCGATGCTAGTCGAAAAATAGCATCACAAGCTGGGTACATACCAGTAAGCAGTAGGCACGGTAGGCACTTCGTGTACGCACTCACTCACTCCACTGTTGCCCACAGCATATCATGGAATCGCACGGATGCCCTGTAGAGGGTAGATTCACTGGAGTTTGGCAGAGTACATGACCGCAGCCTGGATTTGAATTCCCCCTTCCCTTGCCTTCAAACGCCGTCGAGCGGATGGCGACGAAGACGAAGACGACGACCATCAGCACCAACCACCACGTGCACCACCAGCATCATCACCAACCGCCACCACGGCTGCAGTGGGTGTTCACGCGCATACAATAGTGCAGATGTTTGCGAGCGCTTGAGGGCACAAACATCCTTCCGGGCCGCCAAACAATGACAGACGCAGCTGAGACGCCTCCGTGCGGGTCAACTAGCTCTGCGACGATACATACTCCACATACGATGGCATGTATGTATGATGTATGTACCATATAGAGCCAGGCAATAAAGTCATCAAGCTTGTGGCAGCCTGGTATGGGCACGATTTTGACACAACCCGCATGAAAATATTTATACTTATATTTGTATAAATTCTCAATAAGCTTATTCGTAAAAAAAAATGCTTGGTCGGGGTTTTCAGATTCCAGGGCATTTTATTGTATAATCCTTCCTCAATCCTGGCGCTGTGAAAATGATTCGCGACTCCAAAGCTTTCTGCAAGGCTTACTCACTGCAAACCTTGTGAGCTCATAAGGCTCTATAAGGATGCCATAAGGCATTACAATAAATAATCGATAGTAAGGCTTATACGCTCATAAGGACTTTTTCTGCATCAAGCTTTACGCCATGCAATACTTCTCACTTATCAATGCTCTTCACTTGGCGGTACTCTTCACTTGATAACGCGGTTCAATTGATGATGCTCTTCTTCCGTACCCTTATATACCTAAACTACTTTCCTTCCCCGCTCCCCCCGTCTCCCCTTCCCATACTCTCCCCCGCTGCTCACCAGCTCACCTTAAGGTTGTACGCATAGATTCACAGATGCTTTTAGTGGGGGTGTGGCGGATTGATGGAGCAGCTGTCTGTGAGAGGAGATTCTATCAGTGAGAGGAGGAAGTGATGAAGAAGCTGTCGGCGATGAGAAGCTGTCGGCGACGAGGAGCTAGCAGCGAGGAGGACTTGTCAGCGAGGAGGACTTGTCAGTGACAGGAGGAAGTGATGAAGAAGCTGTCGGCGATGAGGAGCTAGCAGCGAGGAGGATTTGTCAGCGAGGAGGACTTGTCAGCGAGGAGGACTTGTCAGCGAGGAAGACTTGTCAGCGAGGAAGACTTATCAGCGAGGTGAGGAAGTACTGGGGGAGCTGTCTGTGGGGGAGGAGCTGTCAGCGAGATGATGAAGTAATGGGGGAGCTGTCAGCGAGGGAAGGAGTCGTCTGCAAAAGTGGTGGTGTTGTCGTTGGAAGGTGGGGTTGTAGTGGGGGTAGTGTAGTGGGGAGGGGGGGGGGGCTGTGGAGGGTCAACGGCATGAGAAAGTTGAGAGTAGACTCAGTGGGCAGGGCACAACATCTCTGTTGCAGAGCGGTGGGAGAGCTGTCGGCAGAAGGGGGGCAGCACCAGCGATGAGGGGTCCAGCGGGGGGGTCCAGCGGTGCTGTGTGCTCTCTTAGCCGTCTGCGTCTGCTTCTTCAGCTTCTGGCTCTCGGAGTGCCAGTGCTAGATGAACATACGGCCGATGTAAGAATTTCCGTGTCAAGCAGTCTGATTTTCGCATATGCGCCATGGATCCGTAAAGGCGATAGAACCCATGGTTTCGAATAAGGCTCATTAAGCGCATATATCATGCTTGTGAAGAAATCAAGCCTGTGGCGCTCGAAGGGTTTTATTGTATGAGGCCGAGATATCTTATAATGCTTCACAAAACTTGCCAGTCTCACAGTCATTATCGTACGTCAGGGCTGGACATGTCAACAACGACCTCATATCCCTTAGGACGGCCTAAGTCTCACAAGGTGAGAAGGCTGATTTATGAACGGTGGTTTCTGTTGGGCCGGCAATATGTAGGAGCCATGGGAATTCTAGGGTTATGGGAACATATGCCTTATTTTGGCATTCCCCTTATAGAAACCTTACGGGGTTGCACGTGCTTATGACTGGCTTATAGAAGAATTATCTGAATACCTCCCTTATGATAAGGACGACATAATCTTGGTGACTTTGTTGCGTGCCTCTATATGGTATGTATCAGAGCGCATTTTCTGCGGAACATTGCCTGCCCGCGTTTCAGTCCAGCACTAAATAGGCGGGAATACCTGGTGGCCGCATGTTGGAGTGTCCGTGCAGGTCTCGCTGCTGATCTGATCGGACGCACGCACTGAGTCTGCAAGTGATGTATAGGCATGAGGTGGAAATGTATGTAGGTGCACTTCCTGGCGGGGAGGCCGGTCAGCCTTTCGTGTCCGTTTGACCGTGCGTGTTCGGAAACGACGTAGGCGCATCCAGAGTATTCCAGGTATATGCCGTATGTATCGATTCGTTGGTTTGGCTGGCTGTCCGTGGCATGTCCCCGTAAGGCTGTGGCGGATGCCGGTAACCAAGCACCTTCACAGCTGACAGTAGGGAAGGTACCCAACCTACACCCACCCACTTAGCCAGCCAGCCAGCCAGATATTCCCAACAGAGCAAGTTTGGCCTGCCCACGAAGGATGTCTTGGAGTGCTCACAGTCAGTCAGTAGATGTTGGTGAAACGCAGAAACGCAATCAGCAGTTGGATGTCGGTGAAACGCAATCAGTACTCTACCCACTTGGGTAGATGTCGGCGAAACGCAGCCAGCCCACAGTGCACACAGCGCCTCATCTGTGGATGTTGTGCTCCCCTGCTGGCATCGATCGGACTTACGAGATATACCCAGCTACCATGCGCCTCCTGTGTGTGGTGAAAAAGCAACCGTCTCGCTCTGTCTCTGTCTCTCTCCCACTCTCTCTCTGTCTCGTCTCTCGTGTGGCGGTTGCACGACGATTTCCACGCTAGGGCCCGGCCACATGCACCCTTCAACCTCCCCGTTCCAATTCGCGAATGCTCGTCGCCGACTCGCCGCACATACATAACAAGCATCCAATCCCCCGCCGCAACTCCAATTGTCGGTGAGAGCTCCAGGGTCTAGAATCAAAGCCGAAAGAAAGAAAAGAAAGTAGACCATCTACGGAGCGGTGGTTAGGAGAGACGGGGACTGACATCTGCACATAAGACGGCAGCAGCCTACCTTCCTACTACACACGCAACGGGAAGGTCCAACCCTAATAAGCGACGCATGGTTGGGAGGGGGAGGGCCCGGAGGGGCGGGGGAGAGAGTGGGCCCTAAATTCAGATGAATTTAAATGTCTGGGGAGTTCCAACGAGTGACAACGCATCAAGACTCTATCGTGGTGGTGGTGGTGGTGGTGGTGTGTGGACCGACAGATAGCGGACCACCACCACAACCACACACGCTCTTCGCTCTCACACACAGCCCGTTAGTGAGGTAGTCCGCATGGGCTGGCTGGGGGCTGCACTGCGTTCGCCGCTGAGCTGTGGTCAGTCAGTCTGCCTGCCTTGGAACTACGCGTTCGTCCTGGCCGGTAGCCGTGGCCGGCCGGCATCCCCCACTGCCCATCGTGAGTGAGTGCTGGCTGGTGAACCAGTGGGCCGCCAGAGCCGACAACTGGATACGTCTCTTGCAGCCGTGATCATGGGCTACCTACGAGCCTACGAAAAACTGCTGGGCTGGGTAATGGGCATCGGCCATTTCCCCCCCAGCCACGATCGTAGATTCGCAATAGAAAACTACCTAAGTCCACCGGCCACGGGAACAGCTGATTTGCACTCTCCGGTACCACTCTGGAATCCACCCAGGTCCTCCCTAGGTCCATATGTACTCTGGATACACCTGCAACGCAAAATAATCATCGCAAAATACCTTTTCCGGACCTCCGTAGGTACTTATTCACCAGACCAACATCCTGACCAGACCTGCAGTGCCTGTCTGCAGCCTGAATTGAAGCCCCCCCCTCCCTCGGCCCCCCGTCACAAGGGAAAGCAAAACAGGTAAGGGACATCCCAACAACCCCCCATTGCCCCCAAGGACCAAAACCCTTTCTATACACAGGGAATAAGCAGGCTCTTCTTGGTTATGGTCCGCTCAGCTCATCGAGGGATCGGCAGTGTGCGCGCTCTTCCTGATATTCCGCTGCGTTGTCGGTGGCCCTAGGGTTATGGCGTACATACCTGCTTACCTACAGCCCGTACCCACCTGGATACTTTGTAGCTCAATGTAAGTCTCACTCGTCCCCCCAGCGTCATCTCGGATCCGGAGTTGGGGGTTGTGCACTCTACTCGTACATAGTGCGGACATTAGTGCCCGCCGTCGCCTCCGATGCCGCCGTAGTTCGGCATGCCGATCAACCCATTCATCCCATGGACGCAGCCAAACCGGTAGCTGTCATACCGGTTCCCGATGATCGTCACCGACTCACCGTCGAGCAACGGAAAAAAATGGTGAATGGTGATCTTCAGCGCCGCCTGACGATCACCCGCATGGGAATGACGACGACGACGACGGCGCGGCACCGGTCCGGTCCGTGCTCTAGTGGTGGTGGTGGTGGTGGTGGTGGTGGTGGTGGTGGTGGTGGTTGTGTTGGGTCGGGATCGAGATCAAAAGACCTCTTCGCTGTTGATCAGTCTCGCCACAATGTCACGGTGCGTGGCTAGCCGTGTGTACCTACTACCTAGTATGGACCGGTAGGTAATCATCGAGGGATACGGTACGGTACGTCCGCCACCATAACCAACACCACCACAGCGGCCAGCCTTGCCATTGCCATCCCAGGCCGGAGCATATATACGGTGGCTAACGGCCAGCCTTGCCATCCCAAGCCTTGCCATTCCAAGCCGGAGCCCACCTACGCATATAGGTATACCTAGCTAACAGCGTCTGGGACCACTCTTCTATACCTACCTATCCCATAAGCTTTCAAAAACCTTTCCGTACTCACTGCGTAGGTACATACCTGATCCGGGGTGAGCTTGAAGTGGCGATTTGCGTCGCTCTTCGTGTGTGGTCGACAGATTCTAGAATGTTGAAGCCGCGGGTAGTAGGTAGCGAATGGGAGTTGCCTCCGACGGCGGCGGCGGCGGTAACATAACTTGTGACGAGGGAGAGGGTGCGCTCCGTACTTATGCAATGCCCGCTACGATCTTCCAAGATGTGCTCCAGCGTACATATAGGCTGCCGGTAGTAGAGGCCTCCAGGCCAAGGACACTTGAATCTTGGAGGCTACACTTTCAGTCAGTCAATCAGTCAGTTAACGAAAGCATTTTTGTTTCCCAAATAAAATCATACGTGATCACTCGCGCATGTTTGATTTCTCTTTTCTCTGTATACTAGTGTCAACGCACTACCTATACGAACGAGTGAGTGCCTGTGGTAGCTAGATAACCCTGCTGTCAGCTTGTGTTCAATGTATGTACAACGAGAACCAATGGCCCCTCGAGCTATACATTTTCTGCATAGGTATTCCAAGCGCTCCCTGTGCTAACTATCACTCGCTGCTCCCTACCAACTACATAAGCTGCAAATTCTGGAATCTGTACGGCAATACCGCTAGGTCGTGGGGCAGCTTGGAATAGGCAGGCAGGCAGGGCAGTTTGCTGCTTTCCAAGGCGTACCGTAGACTGCAGTGAGAGAACGATTCTGTGAAGTGGCAACGACAATGACAACGGCAATGACAACGGCAACGACAACGGCAACGACAACGGCAACCACTCATCATTCACCTCATCAGCAACAACCCCACTCCATCCCATCTCAGCCCTCGGCGGTTTGCAAAGGTGCGAGCCGGATTTCCACTAACCAAAAAAAACCCCGGATAGGTATCTGCAAGATCTTGGACAAGTTATGTAGAAATACCTAATGCTGTCCTCGACTCCTCGCATGGAGCTACCTACTCCTATGTACCGTGTGGACTCGTCAATCAGAGAGAGCTCCGAGCTCGCACCGCCAGTATCCATTGTTGTTTATCGGATACCGTACTTCCTGTATACATGCAGCTTCCAGAAACCGACCGGATATCGCTTACTCCACGGTGTCGGAGTAGAGTACAATATACCTCAACGATTTGCCTCCGATCCGTCTGCCGTAAAAGCACGTGCACGGGCTTCACTGCGTTTAGGCTGCGATGCCTAGGTAGACCTGGAGGCTGGATCTGGAGACTAGACCACTTGTCAACACAGCCCTACATGTATGGAGGCGGAGCTGAACGCCCATCGGCATGCTACCGCACTACTCAAAGTCGTCCACGTACTCTACCTACGCACCTACCAGCGGAACGAAGGGGGCGGACGGACTGACTGGCTAAGCACTAAGCATTACAGCAGGAGTGGTCTCGCACTGCGGATTCTTCTAGATAGATATTCGGAGGGCTAACTACCAGACTACTAGTAATGTGGGTTGTCCTCGGTGTCGGAGGCAGTTGAAACCTAGAACCCCCCCCCCCCATCTTTCGGGTGTTTCCCGACCTGACAGCTTTGATTGGCGCACACTCAATCTTAACCTCTACGTCCCTATCACGCTCCTGAACACCAAGTACGTCGGTCGTAACTCGGCTTGCTACCGGGCTTGCTCACCGCTCGACATCTCGATTCTTGCCCCCGTTCTCACTCATCCACCACACCGGCGAAGGATTGTAGTTGCCATACCGTAGCATTGCTACGGTACCTACCAGACTGCCACATTGCTGCGGGACCAGGCTTGGGTCTACCTACCGTGAGTACTCGCCTGGTCTCCACGGTCGACTCCCGACTCCCGATGCTGCAGTTGTTCTCGAAGTACCTACCAAGTATGCAGTGTTTACCGTGGAGAGTCCGGCAGACAGACAGCTACCAAGTACTGTACAAACTCTCCCCTCGATGCCTAATACTAGGTAGGTTAGAAGGTATCCCGAGGTACGTATGGACCCGTCGTCATCCGCGCCCCTTCCTTCCTTCCTTCCTTCTCTCTTCAAAGCTTATCCCCCCTGGTCTTCTCGAAACTACATACTGTACCTATTCCTGTAGCTTCCTACCACCTGTAGGTTTTTTGGCTTTATTGACAAACCACAAACTCCAAGGGCTAGGACGTTTCCTAGCACTCAGTGGTAGCAGAGTTCGAACTTCATGTAGTTAATGACCGTACGGTATCGATCCACAAATGCTCCCGCGGCCGCTCGCAAGGCAGGATGGATGTCGAAGGCTCGAAGGCTCCAGAGTCCAAAGGTCTTGCAGTTGCAGCGTCAATGAGGCGGGTAGATGCAGCTACCTATAGGTGGTACCTACGTCATTCTTCACGTGCAGGCTTCATTTAACTCACGAGTCACGAGCAGGTCCCCAGGCCCCAGGGGAGGGGCAGTCATAGATGGCCTGGCGATTTCGGGGCAGTTTAGGCATGTCGCTGGGTGGAAACTCTGGCTTCCATCTGTTACCGTAAAGTGTATGTACAAGGCCAAAGCGGAGTATTACGATTCTTCGCAGCGCCCCATGGAGGAGGCGGAGGAGGAGGAGGATCGCACCTTGTTCAGTGAAGCCCAGCCGACCATCCTTCTCACCATGACACCGTCAACACCGATCGCCTCACCGAATGCAGTGAGGAACGAGGAGATTGGATCCCTCGTGTGGGCGGTGACCGTGCGGTGACCGTGAGAGCGTGGGGGATTGAATGCCGGACCCAGGGGACGGAGTACCATGTCTCCAGCTTTGGAGCTCTGACTTCAATGACGATGTCCAAGTCGCCATTCGCCACCACAACCACAACCACCAGCAGCAGCAACTCAAGCAACTTAAGCACGGTCCTCGGATCTACCCTTTGTATGCAGCAGACGGCATGGAAAATATCCCCTCGCACTCCGTACAGAGGAGTTTCCAAGGCTTGCTACCTACTGAGTACTGGTAAATACTTATATACCGGCTAGGTAGGTAACAACACGTATGTGATTGTTGCACGTAGTGCGCACCAGGCACCAGGCACCAGCCCAGCGCCGAAACCCCTCCAGCGGGGCAGAAGCAGTTCTCGACTCCGTGCGCGAACTGCGAAGACCCACCTAGACCCCGAGCCGGGTGCACTTCCAAATCCGCGATCCAAATCGACTCGACTCGGACAAGACAAGACAAGACCAGTAGACCAGCCGGTGGATGATCATGGCCACTTCTGCCACTTCTTTGGACCGGTGCCAGCCTCCTAGCCTGCTAGGAGTAGAAGGGAATAGTTTTGTTGGAGTAGGTCCGCAGAAGTGCAATAAGATATGCGGACCGAGAGATCACCGCGGCGATGGACGTGCATATATGGCCGATGAACCTCCGATATCTGGCCGGCGGCCGGCGGGAAAGCGGCAGGAAAGCGGCGGCGGGTCGGAGCGGCAGATTTCCTGTATCATAGCCGCTTCATCGGCGGCTATACTCTCATCATGGCATACCTACACAACGAATGGTCGGAATAGAACGGTTTGTATTTGATATCTTCCAGCGGTGGAGTGGACAAGTACCGTAGATTGTGGACCTCATAGTATAGTAGCACCTTCACATGTAACTTTATGTAGATTTGGCACGGTCCGTACGGTCCGTACGAGCATGGTAATGACAGCAATCCCACCGACTACATGCTTTGTAGCTGCTTGATTCAAGAAACCAAAACCAAAACCAAAACCAAAACCAAAAAAGTGTACACGTCCGTCTCCACGACTGCTATATACACCCTCACACCCTCTCCGCTTCCCCATCATTCTCCGCTTCCCCATCCCCCGCGGCCCGCACAACCACAACCACAACCACAATCTGCCGCCGCCGCCGCCGCTGCCCGCCGCCCAAGTCAAAACAAAAAGAGCGCCAAACCTAAGAAAAACAGCAATAACAACGGTACACCGAATGGAACAAATGGAACAACAAACAAAGACATGCATCCACCACCATCGAGGTGCAGGGGGGAAGGAGGAGGAGGAGACAGGGTGGAAGACGGACAGGAAAGACACACGAAGACAGACAGACAGGTCAGGTAAGCGAGTACCTAGGATGACAACAATAAAACACAATCATGATGTAGAGAGCAGAGCGTATGATAGGTAGGAGACAAAGAAAGTTAGAAAGGAAACAAGTGAGAAAAAGTAAAAGCAAAGTAAAGCAAAGCAAAGCAAATTCATAGCGCCTTATGCCCCACCCCGGAAGTAAGTACCAGTATCCCATCCCCCCGCCCATTGTCATCAGCCCGCCCACCCCCTTCCATCGATCACTGCAGGAAAGAGGAATCCATTCACACAATCCGATCCATTCACTGCAAAGCAAATATCCAAAAACCGAACTTGTACAAACAGTAAAATATGAAAAAAAATCCAACTGATTACACCCCCGTACATGGGAAGGCGAAGGAAAGCTTAGATAGGCAAGGGATCATACAGGCTGCTGTAGCGAGCCGGGAGAGGAGTCCGGCGCCGTGGGGGCGACTTCTTCGGCTTTATACATGTTGGTTGCGAGAACTTTGTTCATCGTGCTGGGTGTTGTTAGTGGAGAGACCCGGAGGAGGCCGGGGAACGGTAGACGTACAACATATGGACTTTGTCGCCAAACACAGGCTTCAAGCTGTCATCGCAGATGATGTAGCGGCGGTCGGTGGGATCCTGGAGGTTGTTCAACTTGACATAGGCCCAGATCTTCTTGACGACCTCGGGACGGGACATCTGTCGGGGACAATCAGTCAGGCGCTCCTGTGTCACGTAGATATCCACAAGGGCATACCTGAGGCTCGCCAATAAACGCAGCCAGCGGCGCCGAGAGCACGAGCGGCCTCATGAACGCATTGTTCGGATTCGCCTTCCGCTTCTTCTTGACGGGTTCCTCGGCGCCGGAAAGGTCACTATCCACGATGTCCTTGGACTTCTTCTTCGCATTGGCCCGCTTCCCCTTGACAGCACTCGCCTTCTTCGGCTTCGCAGCGCCTCCACGGACCGGACGTCCGCCATTCAGCTCTGCGTGGAGCTCCGCCGCTAACCTGGCATCCTCGTCCACCGACGAGCTCTTGCGCTTCATGTCCGGCGGCGACATGCCCTCCTCGGTCTCTTCTTCCTTCACCTCCGGTTTGACACGGACATCTGCGCCATTACTGTCGCCGTCCGGAAGCTGGCCGATGTGTTGGAGCGGGACTTGTTCCGCAACCGGAAGTGCGGGCGGGTTGTCGCGTTCCGCGAGGAGGATGTCGAAGCGGTCCGTGATCAAGGGGTCGATTGCTTTCTGTTTGTGTTGTGGGTGGGGGAGCGGTTAGTTTGCGCGTTCACACAGAGCTATATAGAAAGCTAGATAGCGGAGGGGGAACGAATCTCGTACCTTGATCGACGTGAAGTCCACACCGGTAGCGCCCGACAGGCGGGTGCGCACCTGCTTTATCGAGATAGTAGACAGATCGGAGGCCTTAAGGATCCCATCGATCACCGGGATATACTGCACGCGCGGGGGAGCAGCTTTGTTAGCAGGCCGAGCTTGTCGTGTGAGTGGGGGGAGGGGGGTGGTGGTGGTGGATGAGAGTGATGGTTCGTGAGCGACGAGCTTACCTTCGCCTTATCTTCTTCGGTAACTGTACCGAGCACAGGGGAGGGCTGTTCAGCGGACAGTTGGACGGACGGGGGGGAGAGGGGAAGATGGCGCGCAAGGAACTTACGGGCTGACATGTTTGTTGTTTTCTCTGGGGGTTGCTACGGGGAGCACTGATGCATCTAACTGCTAGGTAACCGGGAGCTCGTAGGATCGGACGGTGAGACGTGTTCGAACGCGGGGGTCGACAGCTGACGCGAAAACAGGTGGACGGTGACGAGAGAGAGAGAGAGCGCGAGAAGAGAGGGAGGAGGAGGAGGAGGACGGGGAGGAGAGGGAGGTTGGGAGGAGAGGGTAGTGGTGGTGGTGGTGGTGGTGGTGGTGGTGATGGTGATGGTTGTTTGTGAGTTTTGGTCTACGGCGGTTCCTCTCTCTTCTTTTGGCCGCGGGAATGGAAACTGTTTGTTGGTGGTAGAGATGGTGATGGTTGCGGTGGTGTTCGACTGCTGATCTTTTGGCCAGGGACGAACGATCAATGAAAGATGAACCGATCAATCAATAGAACAATAGAGCATCAATCAATTAACGCAATCAGGATATGAAACCAAGCGAGGAGCCCTCCTAGACTCTTCTCTTCTCTTCACCAGAACAAGATGAACCGCACCGCGCGACCACCCGCGCTCGGGAAGCGCGGGTAACAAGGGCAGGCCGGATTAAGAGAGTCTTGGCAGCCGCCGTTGGGCTGGAAGAAATCTAGAAGCGGCGGCAACGTGAGAGATCTCTTGTTGAGGTCTACGGTGGGAAAAAGTACATGTGAACGGCAACCACCTCGCGAGAAGACAAAAGAATCCCCACGATGCTACGCTCGCTCGCCCCCAGAGCTCCTCGGCCACTTTGCCGATACACTGCCGCCGCCGCTGCCACACGAATACTACGAAGAGGATTGATAACTACCACCACACGAGTATGTCCGATGCTCTGACACTCCCGAAGACCCACACCACTGACCCCACCATTACTAGGACGTCGCCGAGTTGGATGCGGTCACCACACTTCCCAATGGCATCCAAGTCGCTACGGAGGCGCTGCCAGGACACTTCTCCGCTCTAGGAGTCTACGTCGATGCCGGTTCGAGATACGAGAACGAGCGGCTGCGCGGCGTGTCGCACATCGTCGACCGTCTCGCCTTCAAGGTGCGCCGGCCATACTACCCCTCCCTCCTCCTCCTCCGGCCAACCAACCATACTGACATCCATCGTCCCGCCCTGTAGAGCACATCCACCCGCTCCGCCAGCGACATGCTGGAGGCGCTCGAAACCCTCGGCGGGAATATGCAGTGCGCCTCGTCACGGGAGAGCATAATGTACCAGACCTCAGTCTTCAACAAGGACGTACCGACGATGATGGGGATTCTCGCGGAGACGGTGCGGGACGCGCTGATCACCGACGAAGAGGTATCGCAGCAGCTCGAGACAGCCGAATACGAGATCAACGAGATCTGGGCGAAGCCCGAGCTGATCCTGCCGGAGCTGATCCACACCGCGGCATTTCAGGGAAACACGCTCGGAAACCCGTTGTTGTGCCCGGAGGACCGCCTGGACCAGATCAACAAGCAAGTGATCGAGGAGTACCGCAGTGTTTTCTTCCGCCCGGAGCGGCTGGTCGTCGCCTTCGCCGGCGTCGAACATACCACCGCCGTCAAGTTGGCGGAAAAATATTTCGGCGACATGACCGCCACCCCTCCCAAGACGAACACCGAACCCGCCGCCCCCAGCCTGTTCAGCAAGTTTCTCTCCAAGCCCGCCGCGCCCTCCCCCGACCCCTTCCCCCTCGGCACCACCCCGCCATCGCACTACACCGGCGGCCTCCTGTCGCTCGAGCCATCCAGCGCGCCCACGCACTTGCCGCAATACTGCCACCTTCACATCGCGTTCGAAGGGCTTCCGATCAGCGATCCGGACATCTACGCGCTCGCCACTTTACAAACTCTCCTCGGCGGCGGCGGCTCCTTTTCCGCGGGCGGACCAGGCAAGGGGATGTACTCACGTCTGTACACCAACGTGCTGAACCAATACGGCTGGATCGAGTCAGCGGTGGCATTCAACCACTCCTACACTGACAGCGGGCTATTCGGGATCGCAGCCTCTTGCCACCCGGAGGCCGGGCACGCCCTCGTCGGCGTCGTCCTCAAGGAGCTGCAGAACACCTTTGCGACTGGATACGCCGGGCTGCAGGCCGACGAGGTCAACCGCGCAAAGAACCAGCTCCGCTCAAGCCTCCTTATGAACCTCGAGAGTAGAATGGTAGAGCTCGAGGACCTCGGGAGACAGGTCCAGGTCTATGGCAAGAAAATCAGCGCGCTCGAGATGAGCGCGAAGATTGAGGCCCTCACTGTCGCCGATATCAGGCGTGTTGCGCAGAGAGTGCTGCAGGGCAAGGTGGAGAATCCGGGCAAGGGAGAGGGCGGCGCGACGATTGTGGTCCAGGCGGGCGAACGACAGGTCGTCGCTATGGGAGATCTGATGGCGCAGGTCAAGAAATTCAAGCTGGGGAGGTAGGGCGTGTGTGTGATTTACTTTTGGTGGGGTTTGTTTGTAAGATAGACGTCGCCGCTCTGGTTCTGCGGTAGGTAGGTAGGTAGGTAGGTAGGTAGACGATGATGGGTGTACATAGACGGAGGAACACTACGCCATATCCATATCCTTTTCCTTCACGAGCTTTTACCTCTGTGCATGTGGTGTATTCATGGTAATCACATCCATCATTAATCACACCCATCATCCGCAAGTTCCAACCAGCCAATCATTCCAGGTAGATCCAAAACAAAACAAAAAGCCATACAGATTATCACTCGCCCGCGCTCTATATATATATGTTCGACAATCGCAGTAAACAAAAACCGTAAACAAGATTACCTCACCCACCATAAGCAACAACCTACGCTCTGAGCGGCAGCAAATGCTGCACCAGCGCCGCCTGCCTGCACAGCGGACATTCCGGCTTATTCCTGCACCACTCGCCGATGCAGCTCCAGCAGAAGACGTGACCGCAAGCTGTCGCGGTCGGATCCTTCATATTTTCCAGACAGAGGGTGCATTTCCTCGCCATCTCTCCCTTTAGGAACGCCATCCGTCCGTCATCCTCCAGATCCACCGCGGGCTCGACTCTACCCGTGTCCTCGTCGTGGCGGGGGTTCCTATTATCCGCGGCGCCGAGGAGGCTGACCGCCGACTCCTCCGGCAGTATCGCGGCGCTATTACTCCACGTAGATGTTGCGTGAAAGTACGCCTGGGTACCGAGCTGGGCGAGCAGCAGCACGCCGAGCACCTCGTAGCCCTGCCGCTGCTCGTGCGGCGCCAGGCGCTTAGTGAAGATGTAGCGCAGCCCCCACAGCCGCTTCGACAGGTGATAGTACGCGCCCGTGAAGTAGAACAGTCCCAGGTGCACCGCCAGCACGTTGTCCGCGCTCGTCAGCGTGTCTAGGTGCTGCAGGAGGTAGGCTTTGATCGCGGAGACGAGGGTCGGCTTCGCGTTCGGGCGCGGCGCGAGGATGATCCGCAGCTTGCTGCGCAGCTTCGGCAGCGACTTGGAAAGGATGTACGGCACTAGCACTGTCGTGAGGATGAATCCCGCTCTCCTCTAGCATCATATCCCCATTAGCCCTCTTCCCCCCAAGTTCCCCCATCCCCCCTCCATTCCTAAAGTCCCCCCCGTCTCACTTACCTCCAACACAGGCGCCTCCTGCCCCTTCCCGACATAGAGAATATCGCAATACTCCTCTCCCAGCGTCCGCGAGCCCTGCAGGGTGGTGAGCGCGAGATATAGCAGCTCCGCGCCCGCCTTCGCCTCGAGACTGTACTTGTGCAGTATCCGCGCGCCATAGGCGTTGCGCAGGATCGTCGAGAGCTTCTCGAATAGGATTCCTTGGTAGTAGGAGTCCTTTTGGTTTGAGCGGACTGTGAGGGCGCGCGGGTTAGCAGGGACGAGGGGGGACGGGGGATCGGGGGCGGGGAGGGGATGGGGGGACGGAGGAGGGACGGGGGGAGGGTAGGAGGGACGAACTGATGTCCGGCGCCGCGGCGAAGGGGTACGTGAATGAGACTGGCGAGGCGGTGGACTCGGAGGAGGAGGTGGGCGTGGGTGTGAGTGCGGCGTCGGCCATTGTGTTTGTAGGCGGCGGCGGTGTGGTTGTTTGCGTTGTTGTTTGTGTGGTTGTATGTGTGCTGGAAGAAGACGCGGTTGTCACTGCTGTATCACTACTGCATACCGTAGTTACCTAGAGCACCGGCTGGGGGTGCATTGACACTGGACGCTGGACTGGACAGAGCTCGGCTAATTGCACGTGCGTGAAACGAGCTCGGCTTCGGCGGCGGGAGTACTACTGGTAACTAACTCTGAGCTTGTTTCTCCAGAAGCTACTGGGGATAAACAATTCCAATCCATGAGCCTCTCCAGTTCCCATTCTGTTTGAACTTCGGTGCACCCACCCATTGTGGCGACACATCCATCGGACGTCACTCGTGCTCAATCCTCAATCCAACAGCTGGTCAGCACGTTTCGTCCGCGTCTCTGGAGGCTGCAGCTCCGACCGTTGTCTCCGCAGAGTATAAGAAGGTCGGCCTCAATTCTTCGCTCAATGCATCCAACGCCGCACTCTTCCAAATTCTAATCACAGCAGAACCGCAGCGGAACCACAGCTGCATCACAGCAACCTCCCCAAAGCTTCATCATCATCATCGAAGCATTTGGTATTTGGTATTCGTTCATTCATTCATGACACCCCCAACCCATCCGCCCCGAACCCATCCGCCCCGCATCCCCTTATCCCCATCCCCATCCCCATCCCCATCCCTTCCCGCTCGCAAAAACCACAGTAAACACAATAAACACAGTAAACACAAAAAATGATTCCCAACCAAAACGCCCCCAAGGAAAGAAAAAGAAAAACGAATGACGAAAGAACAAGAAAAAAAAGAAGCACCGCATTTTTCCAAAACGAAGGAAGGAAGGGGGGGGAGGAGAGGGATATATATACAAAAAGTAGAACTCCTGAAACATGAGAAACATGAGAAACAAGAGAAAAACAGCAAAATCAAAGCTAAAGCTAAATAATGACATAGCAATATCATCCACAGTAAAGAGTAAAGAAGGACCCCCCTACCCCTCAAGTTAAGAAGAACGCAAGGAGATAGCCACCACCGCAGACAAAGCAAAGCAAAGAAAATTCCCAAATCCAATTCCAGTCCGTCCGAAAGGTCCAAGGCCAGCCGAGACGAGACGGGAAGACCACATGCAATAGATAACAGCTCCCAAAGGAAAAATGAAGATGAAATGAGATGCGAAGAAAGAAAAACCACCCTAAAAGTTCGCCGTGAAAAACTTCTTAAACCGTGACTCCTGGTCAAGATCCGCGCGCATGACCACCTCGTAGGTGTACATGAGCAGGTGCTCGAATCTGCTGCTAAAGTACCTAAGGAATAATTCCGGCGGTTCTCCAACGGCCTGTTGTGCTGCCGGACTCATGTCGAGGAAATGGTGCTTCTATACGCAATCGTTAGCAAACTGCCTCCCGTTTACATTTGGGCAGAACATACCTTGTTCCGAATGACTCGTAACAAGTCCAAAATCTTCGAACCATCGTACCCCCTCCGCTTGGGGTTGCCCACGAGCTCGAAACGCAGCGCAGGATCCAGCTTCTGTAACCAGTCCGGACCGACCACACGGGGTGCTCCCTGCTCTAGCAAAGGAATGTAGTGGGACACATATGACCCCGGCGGTTTGCTGTTCTTCTCCTTATCCTTCTCGAGCTCGAACCGATCCGACATCGCCAAGAGGAAGTCCAATCGTTTCTCGTCGTCCCAAAAGTACGGATGCATGCTAACCCTAGCCGTGTCCGGTCTACCCATTTCGTTAGCTTCCTGACCACACACCCACGTTTACTGGTAAATACCGTTTCTTTGGATCCGGTTCGAGCATGTTCCCAATGAGGTCCAAAGCTTCAAGGTTGCCATCTCTCGAAAGACGCTCGATCGCAGCCAGCTTATTCCCTTTAACAATGTTGAGTTCCCGCTCCCACCGATGCCCAAACGGATGCGATCCGCGCGTGAGCACAAAGTAGAAGACGCAGCCCATGGCAAAGATATCGATTGCCCTGGTAGCTCTCCGCTTCGTCATGTGATCCACTACAATATCCGTCCCCGTGCCCGACCCTGACCCTGAGTTCTCGTTCGGAGAGAACCCCTCTAATGAGTTGGCACAGTCCGTCAGAAGTTCAGGTGCACGCCATCCAATCGTCCCCGCATTCTGTGTCGTGGTAGCACCGAACGAGTACTCATCCTGGTGCAACTTCTTGCACAGACCAAAATCCGAGATCAAGTATCGTGGACGCTTGGACCGAGGATTTGGCGGTGCAACGAGAATGTTCTGCGGCTTGATGTCCCGGTGGACGATCTTGAGGGTGTGTAAGTGATGCAGGCCATTCAACATCTGCCCCAGCGCATCGACGGGATCCAGCAAATCGTGGTATTCTCGGTGTTGCTCGACTTTGGTGACGACATCAAAGACCGATGCTACACACAATTCCAGAGCGATGTAAAGGAACTGGTTCTGCTGTTGCTGGCAGAAGTACCGAACGATGTTTGGATGAAAGTCGGCATCTTGTAAAGTTTTTACCTCTCTTGATGCAAGATCAACGTGGTGTGTGAGCATCCGCTTGACAGCAACAGCCTTGCCCTCCCAGCATCCTCGGTGGACTGTAGTTCCCTGACTTCCAGTACCTGCACAGCGTTAGTGACAAAATACACACAACGCAAGAACAAACAAACCTAACAGCTCATCCTCCCAAATCTCCAAACTATTCAAAATATGGTAACCACCGCTCGCATCTGGTTCTACCCTGCCGGTCGAAAGTACCGTCACCTGCCCTCCCCTACTAACCACCGCAGCATTCTCAGTCACAGTCTCGAGCGGCCCCCCATTGCCGTTGGCCCCGTCATCCAACTGATTTGTTTGATCTTTGTTGGACTTTTTCTTCCCTCCCCGTCGTCCACGCTTATAGGGCTTTTTCCTTGGCGTCGTCGGTACAGCTTCCACTTCAACATTATCATCTGCAACGGCAACAACCCCCGGGTTCGCTTCTTCGACGTTTTCGGGCTCTCGGAACCTGACTGCCTTTGTCCCGTCCGCGTTCAATTCCACGTCCCCCTGCACAGCATCTGCAATTGGGCTTTCATCGGGCTTCAATTCAACGGGCTTCAATTCCTCCGGCGCTTGTTCGTCTTCGGAAGCCTTTTCTTCCCCTAAAGGTTTCTGGTCCGCCACCACAAGCTTCTGTTCCTCTAGCTGTTCCTCCACGACCTTGACTTCGGCCTTAACTTCGACCGGCTCCGGAACCTCAATGATCTCTATCGGCTCTTGTACCTTTGGTGGCGATGGTTCAGGAATTGACTCGAGCAATGGCTGATCCTCGGGGAACAGCCAAGGGTGGTCCGACTTAAATCCTTTCGGCAGAACCGAAGTAGTCTTAGCCTTGACCAAGTTGCGAACATTTGCCGGAGCAGCGTAGATCAGGACCGGGATCAGTGCCAGTATCATGATGAGGCATGTGAGCAATGTTGCCGAGTTGTGCGTAATTGTGGGTGGAAGCGTGTGGATGGACGGTTGCGGGGGTGTCGGTGAATGGTTGCCATCGAGAGCCTTGGGCGGAGGTGCCGGAAGCCGCGGCTGGTAATGCTCTTGGTGATTGATAGAGTGCACCTTGTGGATGCCAACCAAAGACTGCTCCCGCTCCGGTATTGGTAGACTCTTCCACGCACGTCCCTCTTTGTAGCAATCGGCATCGGAGGCTTGTCGTGTGACATATGGGAAGTTGGTTTCCGACAATGCATACCATCCACCGTTCTGAGTGCACCCCACAAAGGTATTACCTTCACTTGCTTCTTCATCTTTCTTCGTCCGGATCGATGGCTGTGGGAGGATTAAAAGATCGTAGGACGCCGGGTTAGAGAGCGGCCGGACAACATCGAATATCCGGACTACGGGGGACTCAAGCATTGCGTGATACTTCGGAGGTCTCACGCCGGTCGAATCTAATTCTCGTCAACATCTAGTCGGCTAGGTAGTCCAATACGAGCGAGACTCCTCACCTGCGTCATCGAAGCCAAAAATCGTGCCGTCGTGCTGGCTGTAGATATAGCGATTATCGAGTGGACGTTGATATTGTGCTCTCAGGTCAAGATCGCTATTATTGGGGCTCCATTCGTTAAATTTGATAGTCCACAAGAGCTCGGCGGTAGACCAGCGTTGAATCCTGATGGTGTATTCTGGCGGTAATTGTTAGAACGTCGTACTCATATGATCCTACACAGCACCATACCAGTTCTTCCGAGCATGATGATCTTATCGGCACCCTCTGTCGAATCGCATTCGTCATCCATGTCCGATAGCTTCGTCGTGGTCTTGCATTTCCTGTCGTTGACGACACCCGACACACCGCCAGTGCTGAACACCCGTTGGATAACACCGGTCCTAGCATTGATCGCATACGTCGTAGTGTTCTTCGCGCCGTTGTAGACCGTATCGGCGCCGGGGGGCATATAAGGAGTGGAATGAATGATGTCCTTGACAGTTATCTCTAGCTTCTACAATGGCGGGCATGCACGTCAGCATATTTTTTTCTCGTCGGAGATAAATCCCCGCGAAATCCCGAGCTAGCGGGCGAGCATCCGGGCAATACCTCCAATCCGCCTTCGGGCGTGTAGAAAAACAATTCGCCGTCCTCCGACGGTTCCACAATCCAAGTCATAGCATCCTCCTGCTCCGTCGTGTTTGCGCGATGGTTGATAGTCTGCACAGCCGCGTCCTCGGTATGGATCTGCCATCGCTCCTTGCCCGTCTTCCTGTCCCGAGCACTGAGGGTGCCGTTCACAGTCGACATCAGGACGAAATCCTCAACCTCGTAATCATCCAAGCTCCGGTGCTTTCCCAGATAACTCCCGACCATGCTACCCCTCGCGCGAATTCCGCCATAACCGGGGACATAATCGTTACTACTACCACCGTCGCCGCGTCGAGCAGTGACGACAGCTAGCTCCTTGGGAGGTTGTGTACCGAGGGCACGAGGCTCGGTTGCGCCCGAATTCTCGACACGCGATGAGGATCGGTGGTCGGCACCTTTGGCATACGAGATTGTGGAGAAAAAGCATAACAGTGCGAGCAGGTACGAGAGGACATGACCGGACTCACGAGCGCCAGGCCGGAGCTGGCGCATGTTGCGAGCTGATCGTGTGGACCGGGTAATAGTGGTATTGAGGGGGGGCGGTATCTCTCCTGTCCAGGACAGTCGCAGGCCGCGAAAAGTCGACTACAAAACACCGTTCTGGGTGGGGGGTGATGTGCTCTGTGAAGGAGTGCTGTCGGGTGGTGGTAGTAGTACCTGGTAGTGGTAGTTAAGCAAGCGCCGAGCGAGTTGTCGAAAGAATGGTGACTGTCGTCGTCGTCGGTGGTGGAGGTGGAGGTGGTAGTGGAGGTGGTGGTAGAGGTGGGTGGTGGTGGTAACAGTAGCGTAAGTGGTAGTAGTTGTGGGTTCTGGTGGTGGTGGTCGATGGTTCGATGGGCGATCGAGTTTATGGTGGTGTGGGCGAGGGTCGGGGTGGTGGTGTGTGGGCAGCAGGCTGGACAGATGCTTGCAGGTGTGAGAGCAACTTGGCTGCGCGGCGTTGCTTTGCTCTGCTTTGCTCTGCTTTGCTCTGCTTACCTTTTTCCACTTCATCCATTCCGCCTCTTCTTCCACGCCAGCGGCCAGCACCTCCGGAGCAAGAAATCAAGCTGGATGGATGGCAGGAATGGTATGGGGTGGGCCATCCAACTTCTGATTGGCTATTCCCACCCCCGAAACGAACCTGGACCTTTTTTTCTTCGCTTCGCTCCAAACGAGCGGAGCTGTCGAAGTTCTCTCTCCGTTCCTGAAGAAACTACGCCTACTTGCATGAACCCGTCTCTGCTGTTCGCTCTAAAAAAATATTTAACTCCACACTCTGTTCGTCTAGACTCCCGTCGAATCCCGAGTTTCAACTCTCGTCTATATATTACTCGTCTCCGTCTATGGTTGGATCTGAGAATGAGAACTGGAAGGGGGGGAAAAAAGAAGAAGGGAAGAAAGCAGGAAAGAAAGAAGAAGAAGAAAAAAAATCATCATCACCCTGTACATCTTAGGTACCCCACAAAGCACAAATCACAAAGCACTTCACTTTACTTTACTTTACTCTCATACCACCAGCTTTTTTTTCCATGAGCTGTAACTGTAGTACGCACTCAGCTCTTCCCACCTCGACAGAGCGCAAGCAAAGCAGAATACCCACCCGTCGGTGACGTGCCGCAGTCCATCGTCGGTCCAGTGAGAATGCGCGTATTGTGCTTCCGGGCAGTGGGCGGCATGCTCCACAAGTTGTTGGGCGCCCTTCCTGATCTAGATGCCCAACGTAACGCACATGTGTGGTAACGTAACTTTCTTGCACGTGATTTTGCCATCCGCATCCCTTCCTTTTCGCATCCATCCCTTCTATCCATCCGCATCCCTTCCATCCCTTCCATTCCCTTGCCAGGAAGGAGGGAGTGAGTGAGTGCCTATGACGCAGCCTATGTACTGGGTAGGTTACAGGTATCTAGCCGATCGATCCTTCCACCGGCAAATTCGGATCGAAGTGGAACCGTACGTACGTGATTCTTGATCATGCTCGAAGGCTTAAGGACACCCTATGTACAAGCGAGTTCCGATTTTGCCGTATGTAACCTTCGGATTACAGAGGGTCGTCACACGACTGGTGCATACTTTGGGTGTATAATTCATGGGCGCTGCTACCGAACTGCGGAGTATGTGGAAAACGGTTCTTGCTCTGGAATTTACAGAGCTGGCGAACGTATTGATTGGAGATCTCGGCTTTTCCGCGGGTGCGGCTCCGATCTCTACGATGTCTGCGTAAGTCAAGATCAAACGCCCCGGTGGTAAATATCCGGATGTTTCTACAAACAGTTGTAGCGTGTGCCAGATAGATATACCCATTTCTCCTTCATTAGCCGATCACATGATGCCACCCAAAGGCATTGAGTGTGTACCTGTCGTCATGTTTCTGTTCACGACCGCATGTTTCAATGACGGGTGGGTCCTCGACTGTCTCCACACCGCAATTTTCATAGAGAGCACAGGTAATACCCATTGCCCATTGCCCAAGTTTGCCATGCATACTTTTTATGTATCGGCGTTGCACCAATCATAGTACTTGCACTACCAGTATACGTACAGTACAGCTGCTTCACAGCGTCCTAGCAAAGTGAAGTACAATACATATCATACCAGCGAAACAAAAAAAAAACCAACTTTCAATCCAGAAAAAACGCAACAGCCAGCGCGGCCCCCAAACCAACCCAATCCGAAGTACGAGTAATGATGCAGCAGTCCCCCCCGCCCCCCGCCATCCAAGAAAAATCCAAGGAAAGAAAAAAGAAAGAAAGAAATCACTGACTACATTTGGTAAAAGAAGAATTATCGAACGTAAACGCACCCACTCTTCTCGCGAGAAAAGGAAAAAGTAAAAGGAAAAGAAACTAGAAAAAAGCAAACCGAATGAAAAAAAGGGACCCTAGTGACCGCTGCCCGCATCATCATCGTCAGACTCGTAGGAGCCGTGGTCGAGAGTATTGTGGCGTGAATCCCATCGAGCCTCCTCATCCTCGTAATTGTTTGGGTCCCGCAGGTTACCCGCTTCGTCCTCGTCCTCCTGTGTAACATCGGGTTGACCGTATCCATATCCACACTCCGTTACTGTATCGTCATCGTCGTCCTCGTCAATTTCTTCAAAGGGGATGGGAGGCTCGAAGATGGGGGGGTCGAGAAAGGGTCCGTTGGCTACGCTGCTGGGTGAAGGAGCATTGCTACTGGAGCTCTCGACAAAACCACCAACACCGACGCTTGTCGATAACCACATTAAGGGAGCTTCACTCTCGCTGCCACTATCGTCGGTGCTGCTATCGCTACTGTTGGAGAGGCCATTGTCGCCACCAACAATGTCGCTGTCGCCGAGGTCGCTGAGGTCGCTCTCGCTATCGCTGAGGTCCTCTTCGCTGTCGGTGTCGATACCGAAGTGCGGGCCCCAATACGCCTGGTACAAGTCGTCATCGGGGTCAGGATTGCATATTGCACACCAGCCTTCTTCACCATCAAGGGGCTCTGGCTCGTCGGTACGTTTGCCCGTCAGGAAAGCACTCCATTCCGCCAATTCGATGTTGGATATGTGCGTGTGGTCCGTGTCACCCGAGCCGAGATTTATTAGGTACACGTGTTCCAGCGGCTTTTTGCGGAGTGCCGCGATGGTGCGGAGAACGTGCTGCCAGGTCTGCCTCTCTGGCCGGATTGATGGGTCTGATTCTTCGTCCGGAAGAGGGGACGAGGCGGAGTGAAGGTGGTGAGGACACGGGATAATGTCAGTTGGCTTGAGGAAACAGTTGTCGATTCTCAATGTCCGTAAGGTCGGATGGTACTGCATAAACTCTGTCAGGAGTGCAGGCGTGAAAATGAACTCGCATATCGACAACGATGTCAGCTCCGGCCAGCGGACGATCGGAGGCGGGTTTATTCCCCGCGCTTTGCACGACATGTCCACCTTTGCCGGCGAGACGAAGGACCGCAAAAGTAGGTTGGGTACTCCGTCACTAATATTGCCTATCCGCTGTAGGTCGATGCTCCGCAGCTGTTTCGCGCTCTGTATGAACCGGCCGAGCAGCGTCGTCGCAGACTCGCTCATGCCCCCGATTGAAATCTTGATGCCATGTAACGTCTCGAACCCGCGTAGCGCAGCCTGCACCGTCGACGGGGGCATTAGAAAACACTCACTCGTCAACCCCTCGAGTCCCAAATGGCGGATCGGCTGTACGCCGCTCTGCGTCCGACGCTCCCCGAGAGCTCGCAAAAACGCCTGCACCATTGCCGGGACCCAGCGACAGCAACGCGACGGCAGGTCCGAGACATGTGAAGCACCGAGCGGGCCAATTGAGAGGCTCAGCCGGTCCAAGTTGGGGAGCTTCGGGAAAGCGTCCAAGTGGCCGCGCGCCACCTCGCCACTGCGCTCAAACTCGAGCTGGGCAGCGTAATGCGCGATTCTATTGCGTATGTCGTTCCCAACATCTAGGCGGTCATAGCCCTGTTCCTTTAGCTCATCGGGCAGAGACTCGATGTAGAGGTACTCCTGCTGCAGGGATTGTGGGAAGCCCTCGCGCCAGAAAGAGTACTCATAGCTTTTAACGTAATGGCGCAGGTTCTGGTCATTGGAAATGAGGGTCAGGCGTTTCAGCGATGCCTCCATGCTCCCGATCAGAACGTGGCCGAAGGCGAAGGGCGTGATGATGGAGCTCCATGTACGGCAGACGAGACGCAGAGCGAGGTAGGAGCGGTGGGTGGCGTAGTAAGGGTTCGTCGGCCGTGAGTAGAGAGGGACCGATGGATTAACCGGCGGGGTGACCACGCGACGTTCCGGATTCGGATCTGCGGAGAGGATCATTCGCAGGAGCTCCGGTGGCAGTGAGTCGATAGATATAGGTGACATCGTGGAGATGGTTGAAGCTGTGAAGTAGTAGAAACCTCCGAGGCACTTAGTTGTCGGTAGAACGTAGGTGCTGAGTGAGGTGATGGCTGCTCAGCGGAGAGGGTTTTCTGATCAAGGCCGGGGAACGCGTGGGAACGGTTTACCAGGCAAGAAACTCCAGCTTCTCCGGTCGGGGCGGTTGATGTCGGGTTAAAGTTGGAGGAAGGCGAGTAGATAGCAGAGAAAAGGGATGAGAGTTTGAACGAAGAAGAAGAGGCTTCTTCTCTTCCCTTCTCCTTGATCTAGAGGTGGTGGTGGTGGTGGTGGTGGTGGTGGTGGTGGTGGTGATAGTAGTGGTTGTGGTGTGTGGTCGTTCGCAGAAGGGGGGTCGAGGGGTCAGAACGCGTCCCAACTCGAAGACAGGGCAATGTTCTCGTGGGGGGGTTGGCGGTTGCAATTAACGACAGGATAGTGAGTTGTTATTGGCCGAGGGGTCACGTTTAACGCGGGGGAGAAGAAGGTGAGACTTGTGCTCACCATAAAGTGTTGCATCTGCATATCCCGCTAGCTGGGCCCCACTTTGAATATGATTGATTAGATGCTGCCGGACGATCAGATTATTCAGTGCTTACTTAGCCTCATGGGGGGTTCAAGACCCATCCAGGCACCGAATAGCACTCGTCCATGCCACCTGATGGCCACTACTCGAGTAGACCTCTGACCTGAACACACCGGGGAGAGGAGAGAGGTAGTGGAATCTCATACGGATCTTACCCACAAAATTTCCTCAAGAAATTATCGCTTCGGAGAAACCAAACTCCGTTCCGGCCCATGGCTGAAGTCGTTATCGCGCGGCAGCTACTAGTACCTAGGTGCAGCTCCAGCCGCCCCCGGCATATAGTAGCTACCCCAGCCAACCTGATACTTCCCTCGAGAAACCTCACCACTTCCAAAAGGCGACGATAATGGATTCGGAAAAGCTCATCCCCACCGCCGCCTCGTCTTCACGATCGCGACGCCCATCAGTTACTACTTGGCGGATCATTCTTCCGGTTCTCTTCTTCGGCGTCTTCCTTTACACAGTGGTATCTCTCAGGTCCACGCCTGCAACCTCGGCAGCGACTCCCATAGATGTAGCTCCTCCGGCATACGCGATCCTCCGCGAAGCCTGCCATCTGCGGTTCTGGAAACTTAGGGCTCTCCCATATTGTGAGCGGGCTACAGCCACTTCCTGGACCGAGGGGGAGGAGCAGGAGGCCGAGAGGGCGCCGTTGGAGGTGTTTCAGGTGCACACGCCGCCGCGGGCGACGGCAAAGCTGCTGGTCGGTACGCCTGAAGAACGGGCGGCGGTAGCAGCGAAAGGTAGTGGGGAGAAGAAGGAGGATTGCCGAAGCGTGTTGATGCAACATACCTTTGGATGGAGCTATGGGAAGCCGTTTATTGGTGGGTGCTGGTAGATCGTATCTTGTGGCCGGTGGTGTACTGATGTCTCGTAGGAGAATATACGCCACCGAGAGACTGTGAATGGAAGAATGTCATCTTCAAATTAACCATGACGTCGAAGGGTCGCCAGTTTGATCGGCTGGGACACTTGTATCTGGGAGATATCGAAGTGTGGCGGACATCGACTGCAGAACCAACGTGGTTCGGAATTGTGTCTAGGTATGGGAGTATCGAGACTGCTTGCAACAGAGCTCCACTAATATTCAGTAGCTATTCCAAGGACATGACACATCTGACAGCGCTCCTGCGGCAGCCTCAGAAGATTATCTTCGACCTGGGCAATCTCGTCAACGACGTCTATACTGGCTCGTTTAACGTGACTCTGACAGCCACCTACTATTCGCCGGCCCCATTATCGCCTCTTCAGCCAGCAGATGTAATTCTCCCAATTTCCGCTCGGCGTAGTGGCCAGGATCAGCCTTCCCACTTTTTTCTCCCGCAAGAAAAAGCCATTTCCACACCTGTTATCCCAGCCAACGCAATCCGTGTTGTAGCTTCCATCTCTGCCTCCGGCAACGCGGACGAGGAGTTCTGGTACACAAACGTGCCCAATGAATACACGCACACATTCCCAGATAATGGACTTTCTGGTCATGGTCCCTTCCGAGAGCTACAGCTCCTGATCGATGGCTCCCTCGCCGGCTTCGTCTGGCCAGCCATCACCGTCTTCACTGGCGGCATCGTTCCCTCACTCTGGCGGCCAATCGTAGCACCAGGCTCCTTCGACCTCCCAGAGTACGAAATCGATATTTCGCCCTTCCTCCCAGTACTGCTGGATGGCCAGAACCATACGATCGAACTTGCAATGTTCACCCACTCCTCCACCGCCGCTGGCAAAATCTCCCGTTCTCTCGGCAACGACTGGCTCGTCTCCGCCCGCCTACACATCTGGACCGATCCTGTCCCCTCCTGGAAAACCACCGGAACACTGCACCAGCATTACACCTCAGACTTGGCGATTTACATGAACCCACAGCTGGTTCAAGACCCCAACAACGGCAGCAATTCCACCCTGCTTCTCACCCATCGCGCGGCCAGAAACGTTATCGCGGTCTCTACGCTTACCACCTCAGCTGGAAACACCACATCCACCTGGATCCAAGGCGCACACTACGACTCGCTCATGCGCCTAACTGCCGGAGGTAATATACAATTCGTTTCCACCTCCACCAGTGGATCCGAGACCACGGCACACCACGGCGCGAGGAGTTACCGCCATCACCCGTTCATATTGGAGACCACTTTTATTCCCAGTAAGGATTACTTTGCCCTGGAGGCGACGATCCGCCTCGGAGAGAGTACCGCTGGGGACGGTAAGTGGACTGACGGTGTGGCCATTGGGAGTGGTGGAAAGATGGGGACTGTTGTCGAGGGGAATGCGAAGTGGAGGAGTAATGGTGGTGCAGAGGGCACTACTGAGCAGGTGTTTGCTGAGCTCAGGGGTTTGAGGGATACGGAGGCCGTTGCGAGCTATGGACGGAGGGTTGTTGCAACTGGTGGTGAGGTGGTGGAAGATTGGGAGAAGATCAATGGGGTGCCGGTGGCGGGGATGTCGGTGCAATGGAAGAGGATGACCGGGGACAGTGGAATGGAGTTTTAGAAGGGGATTGGACGTGTGTTTGATGGTCAAGTTCATGATCCATAAATGTAGGTAGATCCAAACCCAGAGCCGGGCAAGTACAGTGGTATAATCAATTCATTGTAAATTATCATACATGCTAGAGGAAACGCCTTTTGGTATTGATTATTCGAGGTAAATCTACTCGTTATCGTTATCGCTCTCCTCATCACTACTCTCCTCCTCCTCCCCTTCGCCAGCCTCTCCCATCTCTTCATCCTCTTGCTCCTCCTCGCCACCCTCCTGCATAAGCATGGCGGTCATACACGTAATCCTCCTCGCCGTCTCATACATACCCACCAATTTGCCCACTTGTCTATCCCCCTTCTTCTCTTCCAATCCCTCCGTCTTCGCCTTCTTTTCGGCACCGCCTTCGGCCTCATCCTCCTCCACCACCTCGATCCCGCTTCCCTCGCCACAGAGATCAAACACACGGACCACACCATCGCTTCCGGCGGTTATAACGAATATCCTGCCCTCGGCGCGCATAACGATGAAGTCCTTGACGCGACCGGGCATGCCCATACTCCTTCCGCCCAGAGTTCCCAGCAAGATGGGGGAATCCAATTCCTCGGCGGTAGTAGAGTAAAATAGCATCCGTCCATCCTCCGTGGAGAGGGCCAGGACTTCCTCTGTCTCCTGCCCAAGCAGTCCCTTGGGGACCTGGACAAATCGCATCATGTGGATCTTGCTTTTCCCACTAGTCTCAATCCGCACCCTCGGCTTAGAGTCCATTCCGAAGACGATGACACCACGGTCAAAGGCGACAGCATACGATTCACCATCGGCCGCCCACTCAACCCGCATCCCCTCTTTCCCGATCCTCGGTGGTAGCACTTCCTTTCCAAAGGCAAGGACACCCGCCTTGCGTCCCGTCATAAGATTCCACATACGCACTGCCCTCTCTCCAGCGCCCACAGATAGTAAAATCTTTTGTGACGGGTGAAGGGCGATATCATTTACTGCGCCGCTGCCACCGCCGTATCCCTCGCTACCGAAGGCGTCGATGCGCGGGCCATAGCCCTCGCCGTAGTCCTTGACGTAATTTACGGGCTTCGCCTTGGGCTTGGGGACTTTCAGCGTGGAGAGCACGCCCCAATCCCGGGTGCGCAGGATCTGTATTTGACCATCGGCGCCGGCGCTGAGGAACTTGTTACGGTTCGGCGTGAAGATGAGGGATGTCGGGGTGTTGAGGTGGTTGTGGAGGGTTCCAAGGTGGCGATTGCGCCCGGAGAGCGGCTTGAGAAGGGAGTTGGACGAGACGGGCGGGAGGCGTGTCGAGAGTGTGTAAAGGTTTATCCGCTCGTCGGCGGAAGAGGTAGCGAGGATGCGCTTTTTGGTGTTGGGGCCTGCGGGAGAAATGGCGAGCGTGCGCAGCGGCGAGGTGTGTGCGGCGAAGAGGAAGGTGTCGGTGAAGGTGGCGGGGAGGGCGATGTCGTCGCTGGTAGTTGTGCCAGTGGCAGGAGTGCTGGTGGGAGGTGGAATGTTTACAATGAAGCCATGGAGAGTCTTTTCGTAGGTTCCTGTGACGATCTGAAGGTGAACGGTTGCGCTGGCCGAAGTTGTAGTTTCCGTGTTGGTGGAGACTGCTTCCGTTGCAGCAGCAGGCGTCGCCGTAGCAGTAGCAGGGGCAATATCTCTCTTTCTCTTAACCATTGTGATGTGTGATGTAAATTGTGAGCTGTGAAGAATTGACGGACGATGTCGAGGCGAGTTTTGAGTTACATGCAATTCCAAACTTTTTCTCGAAGACCGTAGCCCGCATATAGCTAGGCTACGAAATTGGGCAGAGTAGGCCCGATGGAGTCTGCAGCACGTGCACGGCAGCAGATGATATGATCGGATAAGATCACCAAGCCCAAGCTCAGCTCAGCTCGTATTCGCGATCCCTGATCCGTGTTATCGCCCCCAACCCTAGGTTATCACATCCATCGTCACGTGTCCCATTGTCGTACTCGCATTCCGCCCCCTCAACACCAGCGCCCCCAACTCACCTTCGCACCCAACCCACTCCGCCGCAAACAAGCCCCTCTTCGAACTCTCAGCCGGCGGCTCTTCAGTCCTTCCACTCACAACTCAGCTACGAACCCTAACCCTCATCCGAAACGTCACCGTTCCCCCGCTCCTTCGCCCGCCCGCCCGCCCTCAACCAAAACCTCGTTGCCCACGAAAATACCACCTGTGAGTCGCTCCGACGTGCCCCCTCTGCCCATCGCCCTCGAAATCACGATGGCTTTCGGCGTCGTGGTGCCTCTGTTGCTGATATATCTGTTCTTTTCAGGGGGGCGAACTTCTGCCTCGCTTAGCGACCATAGCGACCGACCGCCATAGCGACATAGCGACACTGAGAGCGACATAGCGACCAGCACCGACACTTCTACCCAACAACTCACGCTCTCTTCTTCACTCTCTTCGTCGCGTGTACCCACCCCAATTTCCGTGCGCATATAATTTTTTCTGAAAAGGCGTACAAAAAAGCACACCGGGCTTTCGTGCACACAAGTCGGAAATCTACCGCAACCAACCAACCACAACACCAAAAAATAAGGAAAAGATCAGAAGAAGAAAAAAAGATCGATTTTTAATAATTGATTTTCTTTTTTTTCTTTTCTGTTTCTCTTTCCTTTTCTCTTTCTCAACCTGCCAGAGTCTCGGAGGATTCTTGATGTGTCTCGCTGCCTCGCGGAGAGGGTCTTGATGGAATCTGTGTCGATTGAGACTTTGCGCGCTGAGGCTGTTGCGGCGCGTCATGATGAGCTTGGGTATGTGTTGTCGCCTCCGCCCGCCCAAAAATCCGATTTCTTGACTCCCCACGGTCGCGTTTCACCACACGCGACTGTATGCGTTTGATATTTTGGCACGCGATTCTTTAGTCGATGACTAGGCTAATTGCGAGCTTCGGATTTTTTTTATAGACGGTTAGTACAGTCGCGGAAACGAAAGCTCCAGGAGCTCTACTCCGTGTCGTGCCACCTCGGCCGGGCAAAACCGCTTCCTAGCTTCGATGCAGTGTCAAAATGGGGCACGCGCGATGGTGCTGCGGACGAGGATGAGAGAAGATTCTTGGAGGAGAATGATTTGGAGAAGTATGACCAATGCCTGGGTCCTTTTATGGTCGTTTGACTTGTCGGAGGGCCGCCTGCTGACGGAACAAACGTGCAGATCGTTGACGTTTAATGAATCTTCACTGTTTTCGGTTGCGCTCCGTCCTTCAGAGACTGCGATCAGGGAGGGAAGCGCAACGAGTAGAACTTCGACGCCATCTACTACGAGGACGTCGTCGCCGTCGAAAACGTTGCGTTCGCAGACTCCTCGTGCCCCACCACCTCCACCACCTCCTACCACTACTACAGCGCCAATAGTTCCCGTCGCCCCGCTCGAGTCTGTCCCTTCTCCCCCCTCCTCGCCCACCTATCGCACGATCGCGACGCCGCCAGTCATCCCACCCACAACAATTGCAGGACGTCACGTTACACCCACAGCGACACTCGAGGTTCGGACGAATGGCCATACACAGGAAGCCGCGACAGAGCAACAGCGCGAACCAACGCCGGAAGAGTCGCGCACAATTCCATCAACTCCTTCACCGATCTCGCTGTCGCAGTCGACTTCCATAACCCCACTAGCACCGGAGAAGGAGGAGGAGGAAGACAAAGATGTGGCTGCTCCAGTGGTGGAGATCGGTGGCGTACCAGTTGTCCAGGAATCCAGCACTGCGGTTCCGAACGAGCGCGAGAAAGCCGCCGGCGTCCACCCTCCTCCGATCCCACCAGAGCTCGACGAGGTTGACACGCACATGTCTGACGCCAAAACAGAAGCCCCACCGAAACCATTGGTCTGGAAGAAGAGGAAGGCAGCTCCCAAGAAAACGAAGGTGAAACGGCAGTCTCCTCGTCCGCTGGAAATTCCAGATTCGCAGGAATCACTACCACCAGCAAAGAATGCATCCACTTCGCCTTCGTCGCTCGAAACTCCACCTACCCCTCCTCAAACCGGTCCGCTTCCACTGCTCGCACCACCACTAGCAATTGTTACAGATCACCCCGGCAAGAGTGTCGTGCCTATAAATGAATCCTCGCAACCGGAGGTGTCCTCGCCGGCCTCTTCGGTCGAGGGCGATGCCTCTACACCTGGAAACAACATTTCCTCTGCAACGAGTCCTGATCCACACCACATCCCCGAACCTTCAAAGTCTGGGGTTGCTGTTGTTGAGAATGGTGAAGTGGAAACTGTTGAGGAGGCGATTGAGGTGGATACACTCCGGCAGAACGAAGAGGATGAGGTGAAGGAAACGCTGGTTGAACAGAGTGTGGACAAAGGCGTGGAGAAACCGGTCGAGCCGACGCTACCTTCTGTGGAAATTGCAGATGACATAGTGGAGGACGAGAATGAGGTTGCGATTCATTTACCGACTGTTCCGTCAAATGAGTTGCCACCAGACACTTCGGCAAGAGCAGAAGAGGAGCGGAAGGAGCGTGAGCTTCCGGTGCCCATGGAAGTTGAAGCCGAGGCCGAAGAGCCGGAAACTGAGGCTCCCCAGCCATCGACACCAAAACCGGTGGACGTTGGATCCCCAGTGTCTCCAGATCCATCTGCTCAGCTCAGACTCGAGAACCAGTTGGCGAATGGAGTCGTCCGTGCCTTGCCTCCTGTTATTGAGGAGCATGCAGTGGTAGAACAGCAGAAGTCATCCGCGCCGTCGCCGAAACAGGCTCCATCCGCTCATCCACTACCACCTGTTTCTGTTCCGTCTTCGCCGGTACGGGAACAAGCTCTGGATGACGAGGAGGATGAGGAGGATGTGGAGGAGGATGTGGAGGAGGATGAAGAGGAAGGAGGAAAGGAAGAGGAGAAGGAAGAAGTTGAAGAGGAGGAAGAGGAAGAAGAACGTGCGCAGCCGGTCCCAAGTGCTGAGTCCAGCATCGTCGACAAAGCTCCCTCGCCAGCTGCGGTTCCCACTTCCGAAACAGCCCTCGAATTAAAACCAACTGAAGCCTTTGAGGAGTCAGCAGCTGCTGTGGAGAAATCGCGGGAGCCGGAGCCAGAGCCAGAAGAAGTTAAGGAACCCGAGGTGTCACCCCCTCCGCAACCACAACCAGTTGATGAAGAAACGCCCAACGAACCGGTCCAGCCCGGAAAACCGGAACCGGAGACTATTGAGACTGCTGTTGAAGCACCACCGCATGCGCGCGCGCTCTCTCCAGCTAAGAGTCTTCCCGATTCTGTGATGATACCCGTCGACCAGGATTCGGAACCTGAAGAGGATGAGGAAGACACCCTCATGGAGGATGTTGCACCGAAACCTGCTGCGACACTGGTAGCCGTAGAGACGCAAGCTAAAGGTCCAGATCCTGAAAAATCTAATACAGAGGCCGAGAGCGATATTACGACCGCCAAGGCGAAAAGTGTTGACCGCGCACTCGGTGTGGATGAACAATCTGATATCGACGACGACCAGAATGCCGCAGACACTATTGAAGGCATCTCTTTGCCAGAGAATTTGCCTGAAGAAATTCAGAATAGTCATGAGTCCATGGCACCAGAAATTGCAACGTCCGTATCAGAACACAAGCAGCCAACCGGGGAGGAAGTGGACGATTCTACTCAAGCTGTACCTTCTGCCGAAGCTGAAGATACTCAATTCGTCACTCCCGCGCTCTTTTCCACACGATCTTCCTCAAGACCGAAACGGCCAACTCCTCGCGCGAAAGCGCAGCTGTCCAAAGTCGTCATATCATCTGCCCATCATGCTGCTGCCGCTGCCGAGGCCGAGGCGAAGAGATTGCGCGAAGATCAAGAGCAGCAAGGCTTGATAGTCATGGCGCGCCGAAGAACCCAACAGGCTGCTGCTGGTGCTGCAAGAGGCCGACCTTCTGCATTTCCACCTGGCAGTAAGTTGGAGGCACTCGCACGATACGGCGTCGACGACGATGCTCAAAAGGAGTTTAAAGTTCCAGATTACTTCGAGCCGTGGTGTACCGTTAAGAGCATGCCCACCCCGGTGAACGAGCTCCTTATGAAATCTTCGAAGACGGTTTCAACGGCGGATCATAACATCAGCCGTCAGGATGCGACCATCGTGAAGATCTCCAAGAGGATTCATGAGCTGCAGGAACAAGGATTGTGGAGCTTGCAACAGATTCAAAAGGCCCCCGAGCCGCGGCGGAGAATGGCCCATTGGGACTATCTGGTCAATGAAATGAAGTGGCTTTCAACCGACTTCAGGGAAGAGAGGAAGTTGAAGATCGCTCAAGCTCAACAGCTAGCGTACATGTGCAAGGACTTTTACGATAGTTCCGTTGAGCAGAAGAATGAGTTACAGGTTGACCGCAAGACCATGGGGAGGGTACCGAAAGGCATCCGGGAAGAGCGCAAGTTGCGGACGATGCGTGAGGGCTCTGACCACCCGACGCCTGAGCTTGTTGCAAGTGGCGGCACACCAGACGATGAGGGCAGCGAAGATTACTTTGTGAAGGAAGAAGTACATGAAGATGCCGTCATGGATCTGGGTGATGATATAGGAATGTACGACCACCTCCGGGACCCCCCGCCAGCTACCTTGTTCTCGCTCAAGCCGGGCGAAACTGTGTTCTTCATGCCTCCAACCAAGGCGGCCCAGGAACTACTCGACCAGCTGCCTTTGTACGCACCACCCGCTCCTCCAACCCAGGGACGACCCGAATACGCTGAAGAGAAATGGAAAAGGAACTCCGTCATTCCCGTGAGCAAGTACTCGCAAGGCCGAATGGTATTTGTTGATGAAGACCGTCCTCTCAGGAAGCGCGGAAGGTACGAATACGAGCCCAACTTTGACATGTATGCGGATGAGTCGGACGAAGAGGGCGAGGTGGTCAATGGTGATACCTTGGATGCCTATGGACGACCGCGCAATCACGACAAGACTAATAAGCCGATTCCGCTTCATCCCGAGCAAAACAATGTTGCGCTCTTCCGACCCGAATTCAAGCCCACGCTTCAAAGGATCAGAAGCCACCTCTTCCGACCGCCTATGGATCAACCGCCATCCGGTTTCTTCGAGAACCGTGCCCCGAGTCTGTGGACTCCGGAGGACGACGAGAAACTGCGGTTACTCACGAAAGAGTACAGCTACAACTGGCAATTGGTTAGCGTGTACATGGAGGTTGAAGGCGACTTCCACTCCGGCGCCGACAGAAGAAGCGCCTGGGAATGCTTTGAGCGATGGCTTGCAATCGATAACATCCCCCAGGACTTCACCAAATCGCCATGGTACAAGGGTGTCCAACAACGTCTTGAGATTGCACAGCGGGCCAGCCAACAGCAGATCAATAACGCCGCAAATGGCACTCAGCACGTTAACCAGCTCAAGAGGCGTGGAACTTTGCCTACGAAGATTGATAGGAGGAGGAACACTAGGACGTTCACCCAATTGGAAGCGATGCGTAAATTGTGCAAGAAGCGGGAAACAACTATGAGCAAACAAGCGCAGAGCAATAGAGGTTGGTTCCCCTTTTCCACCGCGACCTACAGCCGGCAGCGTACTAACATTCCACTTCCCGCAGCTGCTCAAGTTGCTGCGATGCGCAAACAGGCCGCCAGTCCCAACACCACTCAATTACGAACTCCACAGTACTTTTCGACCATGAAGCATGAGAAGGATCTCAAGGCTTTGGAACAAAAGCAGCTGATGGCGCAAATGGGGCGCACTCCTGCTGCCGGTGGTGTAAGCAGCCCCTCCTTTGTTACCAGTGCATTAACAACACTAACGTCATCACCCAGCAACCCACTCAGCCTGGTCGTCTTCCAAATGGCGTTCCGATTCCTGGGCAAGCCGGTCGAGGTGTCGCCGCCCCCGTTCCTATGGCTGGCGGGGCTGCCCTTCCCAACGGCCTCGCTGTTCCCCCTGCCGCTGGCCGCTCGCCAAACATGCAGCACCCGCTGCACCCGCAATACGCCGGTGCGATGCGGCACCCAGCAGCCGGTATGCAGCCCAACACGAACCGGCAGTACACCGCGCAGGAGTTGCAAACTATGAGGATTCAAGCCTTGCAACGCCAAGCCCAACAGCAGCAGCAGCAGCAGCAGCAGCAGCCGGTGCACCAGTTGCCGTCACAGGCCGAGATGGTTGCACGCGTCCAGCACTTAAACCCGATGCTCACTCCCGAGCAAGCCCAGGTCCAAGCTGCAAAGCAGCTGGCGCTCTACCACGCTCAACTGAGCTCGAACATGGCGGCCCAAGTTCGGCGTCCTGGAGTTGGCCCCATCCGTGCGGGGACAGGAGGCACAGGCGTTCTTATTGGCGCCAACGGCCCGATTGGGCCTGGAGCTGCCGCTGCCGTGGCTGCCGCTGCCGCTCAACAGCAACAGCAGCAGCAGCAGCAGCAGCAGCAGCAACAGAGCAGGAGTGCTACACCGGTGGGAATGGTGCAAAGTCCTAGGATGGGTCAGATGCCGCCGCAGCAATTGCAGCAACAACAGGTGTCGCAACAGCAGGTGCAGCAACAGCAGATGCAACAACAGCAGGTGCACCAACAGCAGGCACAGCAACAGCAGGCACAGCAACATCAGGCACAGCAACAGCAGGCACAGCAACAGCAGGCACAGCAGGCACAGCAGGCACAGCAACAACAGCAGGCACAGCAACAGCAGGCACAGCAACAGCAGGCACAGCAACAGCAGGCACAGCAACAGCAGGCACAGCAACAGCATGCACAGCATGCACAGCAGCAGCAGGCACAACAAGCACAACAGGCCCAGCAGGCACAGCAGGCACAACAGGCACAACAGGCACAGCAGGCACAGCAGGCACAGCAGGCACAGCAGGCACAGCAGGCACAGCAGGCACAGCAGGCACAGCAGGCACAGCAGCAGCAGCTTATGGGCGGCGGACTGCAGAGTCCTAGGACTCCGCAGCAGGTCATTGGTCTTGGTGTACAGATGCCTCAGCAACAGTCACCGACGCAGCAGCAGTAGTAGCATCATAGGATGGAAGGGAGGCTGGTGTTCGTTTTCTTTAGGGGTTTTCCCAGTGTTTTTCGTGTTTTCTTTTTCAGGGTCAATTACTACGGGGGTCAATCTTCTTTTTTCGTATTGTTCCATATCTTTTTCTTTGGGGGTTTCGGTCGCGGGCTTTTTTACGTACTTCTTAGTAAAGGGTGGCTTTTGCTTGTTTTTGTTGGCATTTTCCTTGTATGGTAGCGGGCTGTTTGTGTGCTGTGTGCCTTTTGTTTCCCGCAATATGTTTTCCCAATTCACCAATCAGGCTAGGGGGCAGATGGGAATGCTGTGTTTTACTATTAGAGTTACGATAGGCTGTGATAAAGTGCTTCTCTACATCTCTACATTACTATCGGGGAATCGTTTTTTTTCTTCTTTCTGGTTGGCTAACTAAAGGATGTGTTTACGCACATAGGGGGTTCTGTTTGGTTTTGGTGTCTACTATAGGGAATAGGGGAATACGCTCCGCTTTTCAGATAATCGATTTGCGCTGATGAGTGCTGTCTTCCGCGATCAATGACGAGTGATAGGAAATGGGTGAGTTACTGAATGGCTTGGATGGGGTTGTTGTGCAGTACCGACGATCTCCTCTCAATAATAGCTGATACCATGGGCAGTCACCATCCACATACATCCAAGGATCCTCAACACTCCAATCCTTAAACATAATCCATCGCCTCATCCTCCACCAGCCCCGCCCTTCTCCCCACGTCCTCGCCCCAATTCCAGCTCCAAAACTCCCTCCCCTTCGCACCGATACGACATCCACACGGCAGTCTCTTGGGCCGCCGCTTATTCCTCCGCGCCCACGCGCCCGCACACTTCCAGTGCACGTGGCACGCGCACTCGTGCTTCTCCTCGGGGACGTTGTGGTGTAATATATGTTCGGGCCGGCCGAGGACTAGGCGGACTTCGCGGACGGAATCGCGGTGCGGGCAGGGAGACACGCACGAGCAGGGAGACACGCACGAGCACGGATAGGTCCGCCGCATGGGGACGCGCGGCGTGTGCACGCTGATCAGTGCGCGTTTGCGTTTGGATTTGGGGGCCATTGCTGCTGCTGCTGCTGGAGGGGACGTAAAGGTGGTGCTGGTGGTTCTGGGAGTAATGGTGACTGAAGGGGAGGGGGGGGCACTGCTGTTATACCTACCCACCTGCTCCTGCCACGCGGAAGGGGGGAGGCGGGATATGGCACCTTGATGCCGAGGGGTATAACGCCGGTTGGGATGAAACACTGGGCTTTGTTCGTGAATTGAATGGCAACGGCTGTCGGTGGCTGTAGTACATACCTAATGTACATACGACAATCGAGTTCAACTTTTGTGGACCCAGTCAAAGTGGCTGCTGTAGTTGTGTATTGACCGAACGGACTGGAAATTTACTCTCTGGATCGAACGGACGCCCAGCTGGTGTGATAACTACAGCTGAGCGGTTTTGAGGGCGAGTGCTATCCTATGGGCCTACACTTACTGAGGCGTGTCGGCAGAGCTTTGGAGCACGTGATACCGAAAGCCAACGGGCCGAGAGTTCACGGCGAAGGTTCGGCACACCTTCGGGATGGAAAGTTTGTACTCTAACATTCCAAGAGCTGGTGGCACTCCAAGGCTTGGCTCCCACGGCAATAAAGTTTGGGAGCTCGCAACCTTATGTGCTCACGCAGCTGAGAATTCTCTGATTGACCCTAATGAAGCCTGGTAAGGGAAGAAGCTGAGTTGGTTAGGTATTCTGGTGACAGCTGTCCGGCTGTCTAGATACACGTTCGGTTGCATGAAAAGGGAAAACCGCAAGCACGTGAAACCCCTTGTTCACGGTTCAAAAAGTCGTAACGCCATAGCCATACGTACATCAAAGAAGCTGCCTCCCCTCGTCTGTATGTACCTTCTCGACAACCTGTCCATTAAACCACACCGTCATTTTGTACACTGCGTTGGAGACTTGATGTCCTGGGAGGCGGCAGCTCACATGAAACCGCCCAGTGATGCCGCCTCACATCCAACCAGAAACCGTCCAGAACGAGCGCAGTACTGAGGAGCTTGGAAAGAGCCCGAACCCAGTATTTCCCAATCAATGGGTGTCCTCAAGCCTCGGATGGAATGGAAAAATGGAATGGGTTGCGCGAGTCCATCTGTATGGAGTATTTTGAGGAGCCCGGGTGGAATGGCGGGTGGGTTGCCAGGTGGAATCTGGATTGGTTAGTGGTGAGGAGCAGAGGGAGATGCAGAGGGAGGAGCAGAGGGGGGTGGCGGCCAAGGCGACCGGGAGTCTCGCGGATTTACTTGGTCGTTCCTACTCGGTGACTGGAGCCATTCATGCTCATTGACTCTAACTGTGTGGGTTCATTGACTCTTGTAATGCTTCCCGGACGATTGCCAATAGTTCAAGGAATCACTTGGAAACCTTTCACTAAAATAGAGTAGCAGCTAGCTCATCCCATTCACGTTAATATCTAAGACGACGATACGAAACCCTCTCCGTACATACCGGAATTAGTAGTGGTGGTGATACCTTTCGTCCCGCTTTTGCAACTTTTGTCTGCCGTCGAGTCCAGCAAGAATGAGGCTGCTCGTTTGAGGTCTAGTGAGCACTGAGTCTCCCCATTCACACTCTCATCATAATCACTGACTCGCTTCTTCTAGCCCATCGGGCTGGCGTAGTGGTTTTCTTGTTGGGACCTGGGAGTTCCCTTCCATTCACTACTTTCAATGACGGACATGAGGTCAAGAAATTCGTTGCAATTCCAAGTGCAAATGGCAAGCACCGAGTGATATTAAAAGCATCCAGCGCTGGAGTCCACTGTGCTTGGTTGGATGCCTTTGATATCATTCGGCTCGTGTAACAGCGGTACCGTAGTGAGAACGCTAGAGTAGGTACCCGTAATTGATGCAAGCTCGGATTCTCCAGGTCGAGTCCTCGCCGGACAAAGAGATGCGTGGCTAAGAAGGCAAATTGTGTGTATTGTATGTAGCCCCCCGTAATCCCTTATACGCGAATAGTCATACCCGACACCGATAAGTTGTAAGTTGTAACGATGATGTCGAGTGGAAACCATGATCGTCGTCATGTCACGCCTATCCACGCTACCACATGATCACTGAAATACCTAGGTGGGTAGAGTAGCTAGCACCGTAATCCTCATCCCTGATTCTCGTACACCACCGTCACCCACTACCCCTCCGCCCCCTCCTCCCGCAACATGCATTCCGATGTCCTCGCCCGAAGTCGACGTGGAAGTACTCGTGCACATCGCGGCGCCCACCACTGCCGGCTATGATAACGTGTACCGTGCACAAGCGGCGGCGACGCTGGATTTCGTGCCGGTTCGGAGGATCGATGTTGGACGCGTTACATGGCCGAGTAGGAGGTTGTTTTTGGTGGAGGGGGAGGAGGAGCTGGCAAGGTTTAGAGAGCGCATAGGGGAGGCGGTCAAGAGGCGGGCTGATGTCGAGGAGGAGGAGGAGGAGGAGGCGAGGCCAACGAAAAGGGCGTGTCGAGGTGGGTTGAATCTGCGATGGGAAGGGAGGGGAGAGGATGCTGATGACGATGGACAGTCCCGATTCCGACTCCGACATCTTCCAGGCGGTTCCAGAGTAGCAGTCGCTGCTCACAGGTCTCTACTACTTCCAGCGCAAATGAGCATTCCTCTTCCCAAGAACCGTCACTGCGACTATCACCCGTCCGTGCGATCCAACTCCGGACACCACGTAAGTCCTCACAACTCCACTCGGAGATCCTCGTACCGCAAGCGATAGACCGATCACCATGCCTACCACGGAACCCGCAAGAAGAGGAGGAGTACAGGAGCCTATCTCACGCCTTCGACTCGTTCTGTTCGGACTTGAGCATCCCCGACTCGCTCTCGCAGGTGGCCCCCTCGGTCGTGCCCAGGACCCCATGGTTTGAGATGAGAGCGGATTTGCTATCACCGTTGGGAGATCATGAGCCATCACAGCAGTTGATACTAGAGTCTCAGCTGAGTCAAAATACACCTTCACAGCAGATACGACGTAGCCAGCGGCTTTGCGAGCGTCACCTGCAGTCCACGCCAGAGCTACCCTCGGCCGCCAGCAGCCAAATCCAGGTCCCGTCTACTCCCCATCCCACGCCCATATCCTACATATCCGCCTTCAGCCGGCAGATCAAAGGGCCGGTGTTAACATTTGCCACGCCCGCGCCCGACGCATCCTCGCTGGTGATCCCAGCACACTTCTCGCCCGTCCCCGCGTCCGAAATCAGCGGCGTGCACTCCTCGCCCGCCCAACCGCCGCCGTTCGACTGCGTGTGCCCGCTGCCCACACTCGTCGAGCCGCCTTACGTCATCATCGCACCCTTGGCCGACACCTCCTCGTCCCCGCCACAGGTCTCCAACAGCCTCTACGATCTGGTCAAAACGCAGATGCCGAGCAAGTTCCACTCGCGCGTCAGCGCCATCACCCGTCCGCTATGCCGCTGGGAGCGCGGCCACTGGCTGGTCGACATGAGCATCTGGGGCGACCCGCTGCAGAAAGTGCGCTTCTGGCGCGCCGTCAAGGACGGCATCCTTAAGGGGCGCATGGGCTGCGCGACCATGGCGCTCGAGACCGAGGAGTTCGCCGACACCACTGAGATGTGGGTGCAGGGACGGGAGTGGGAGGCGCCCGGCAGGAGGGAGATGGAGAGACGGGGGAATACCGTTAAGGTCTATTGCTGGGGTGCGACGGCCGAGATTGTATGGTGTGTTCTGTATATTTTTGGGTACCATGGTATTGATGGAGCCGTGTGGGTGGATGCGGCGGGGAAGGTGGTGGTTAGGATGGTTTGATCATGGATGGACGGTTTGAATTTTTTGGTGTTTGGATGGCGCATTCTGGACTGCTTAACTGTTTGCCATTTTGGTTGATGGGGAGCGTGCTACATAAGATCGAATGAGATACCCTTTTGGTACAGTACTATACAATCGTGATGTCGAGCCTACCTAGCGGCGGAGTGCATTCACTTGAAGATGGACGGAACAGCGGGAACCGAATGAAGACTTATGTCTCATTGATTGATGCGATTGCTTCTCATTTCTTCTCATGCTTCTCATTGTCGGCGTGAATATAAAGCTCCCCATCCACCCCCACCCACTTATCATCACACCGTCTTCCCCCCCTTCTCCTTCTCGACAGCGCCCTTAATATCCCAACCATTCAGAAACCCCACACCCGCGGTAAGATACGCCGCAAACCCCAACCAGGCGATATACGGGATCATCAATCTGCCAGCCATCCCATCCACTTTGGCAAACTGATACGCCGTCCCGCCGGCAACCCCCATGAGCACGACGATATCCAGCATTGCGGCCTTCACCCTCCGCGCGCCAAAGAATAGCGGCATCCACGCGAAGTTCAGGCCGAGTTGCAGGGAGTACAGGCCGAGTGCCCGCGGGGTAGAGGGTGAGGGGGTGAGGGACACACGGTGCGCTGCGTAGCCCATTCCTGCGTACAACAGGGTCCACGCGGGCGCGAAGAGCCAGGAGGGAGGGCGGAAGGGGGGCTGGGAAAGCCTGTTGTAGACGGTCTTGGTGTCCGCGAGTCGGTTGGTCGAGTACCCGATCAGCCCGCCTGTGATGACGGGGAATAGGATTGATGCCGCCGGGGAGTGGAGGAGGAAGGGCGGGAGAGAGAGCGAGTGCAGGCCGAGGTTAGACATGTTGGGCGTGAGATTGGGTTGGGGGATGGAGGGAGGTGGGCGCGTTTTATGGGGGAGGGATGGAGGTGGAGACGCGGATGGCGTGGTGTGGGGAGAGGCGGGAGGTGGGGGAGGTGGTGAAGTAGAGGAGGTCGGGGTGGACTCTGGAGGGGTGGGATGCCGGCGGGGACGCAGATCGCCGGGAGGAATGGATGACGTACGACCATTGAATACTCTACATACCGTAGTCGGGAGAAGGATGAGAGTGAGAGAGAGAGAGGACATCAGTTCGTTGTCGCATATGGGCTGTCTATCCTACTGAGTAGGCCATGGAAATTGGTGACTACGAACCCGGCGGGCGAAGGATGAGAGAGAATGAAGCTGCGAGCCCTGCATGCGCGCATTGAGTCTCGATTGGCGAGTGATAGATTGTGAAGATCGTTTGCGGGATGCGGCTTGTCCCCGGCGCCGGCGGTCATTCCACATGGCAACACTTTTGCTGAGGGGCCGCAGTCAGTCATCACGGAGTCTCAGGATGTGAGTGAGAAGAGCCGTTCAGCTTCTCACGTCAACCTTCTCATTCTCATTCACCGTCAAAGCCACCACGCTGCCCAGCACACTGCCCACAAAAAACAAAACCATCAAATCAACACCATCCGCGTCCTCCGCCGATCAACCCGCCCAATTACCTCGACCGGAGATAACTCGTCAGCGATCAGATCACAAAGCAATCGAGCATTTCCGATCGAATAATAAAGTCACAGAGCCTAACTTATCTACCTATTTTACCTACAACTTGGACTACTTTTTTCTTTCGCCACAGCTGGTCTGGGCAGGCTGTATGCGAAACAAATTGATGGTCTCGCGTTTCTCCAGACTCCATGTCCGTCTTCGCTTAGACAGCACCGTGCACTTGCTGACATTGCACATTGCACATCACAGTCAAGTCTCAGGCCTCCCGCACGTGCACCGCATGCACAAAAGAATAGGCAAGTCATAGGTGCTTGGTTAGGTGCCCACTAGAGGAGTAATTATGTGGGCAGATGAAGGTGTATGAATGCACATCATACATACGGTATGTATCAGCAGCGAAACTTTTCGTCGGTGAAGAAGCACTAGCACTTACGTATTTACCGGTATGATGTAGGGGTAAAATGCTACTGCTCGGTAGGGCTGCGCTGCGGTACCTAGGAATGTACGGTACTTGCCGGGGGACGGATGACAGGAGGGAATGTTGCGGATGTTTATTCGGGACTGCGCGGCTTCTGCGAGAGGTTGTGTTCTTCTTCTTACGACTTATTCTTCTTTTCGGCGTCTCGGAGTCTCGGCGTCTCTCATGTGAAATTCCTCAGACGAGACTGCCGAGCCCGTGAAAACAGCTTGGAAACTACTAGTATTGTTCTCGCTCACAGCTCACAGCTCTCCCAAGCTCACGCGCGCGCCACAGTCTAGTGAATGCACACGAGCAAGCAAGCGAACCGGCACTGGCACACTGCACCCCAGCTTCTATTTACAGCTTACTCCCACTGCCCAGTGCCCAGGAGCCAGGACAGGCCAATCCTTCGAATCCCAAGGCTGAGTAGGGGCTCATCCAATGTGGGGAGGAGGGGAGATTGAATCGATCAGACTGCAAAAAGGAAATAAGTCTGGCTGAGGTAGAGGTACAAGAAGGACCGCCTTACCTGAACGTGGGTGGAGAGAGACGTAGAAAGACCGGTCATAAGCCCGCCATCCTCATCCTCATCCATTCATTCATTCATTCAGACAATCATCAACCCAGACGGCCAGCCATAACGAACCGATATCTACCTCCCACATACATCCTCATCTGCCCTGCTAGTTATCGCGTATCGTATCGCATCAGCTGCTCTGCCACCTATTCACACACACACCTTAGCCCACCCCACCCCCACCCCACGCGTCGTCCCAAACATGCCGCTCAAAGACATATTCAAGCATCATCACCACCACCTCCACCGCGGCGACAAGGAGAAGGGCGATCGCCGGGGGAGCGCGGACGACTCGCCGCCACAGTCACCCGCCTCCGCCGCGCCGCCGCCTATAGTCACGTCTGCACCGCCGGTCCCAGAATTCAAATTCATCCGTAGCGACACCGTACTGCCCCCCTCCGTCCTGGTTTCTATTTACGTAGGAGATGTGGCTGGCCGGCTGACAGACAACCCCAGAATTCGCACGACGTGATCCACCCGCCGACAGGCTTCAGCACGCACGACCACAGCGCGACCAGCGCAGACGCCTACAACGACCTGGGGGGGCCGCTATCACCAACGTCGCCGACATCACCGACGAGCGGGGGGCGGGCGCGGTCCAGCAGCAACGCCAGTCGGTTCCGCGAGACGCTATCATTCTCGCACCGGCGCAACCGGTCGAGCTCGAACCACAGCACGCACATCCCCGCCGACCTGCCGATGATCTCCGACTCCGCCGTTGACAAGGAGACGCAGTGGGAGAAGCGCGCCACGATTCTGGTGGGCACCCCCGTGGTGCCTGTGCACCCCGCCCTACCCGCGGAGGATCCCCAGGCGGATGAAAATATCCAGGAGGCTATACGGTTGCATGAGGAGGGCGAGCTCGAAAAGAGCACGGCTATGTTTGGCCGCCTGGCAGACGCAGATAATCCCCTCTCCCAGGTGCTGTATGGTCTGGCGCTCAGGCATGGCTGGGGTTGCACCATGAATAAGAGCAAGGGCCTCGAGTATCTGAGGAAGGCGGCGAGCAATAGTGCCGCCGTCGAGCAGGAGGCGCTTAAGGCCGGGATAAAGAAGGGCGGGAGCGCGAAGGGAGAGCTCGTTTTAGCCATTTACGAAGTACTTCATCCCACCGTTCCATTCCCCCGGAACAAGCACTGACTTTGACAGCTGGGAAATTCCTACCGCAACGGCTGGGGCGTAACCAAAGACCCTGCGGCGGCCCGAGAATACTACGAGACAGCCGCGAACCTGGGCGATCCGGATGCGCAGAACGAGGTGGCCTGGTGCTACCTCGAGGGCTTCGGCTGCAAGAAGGATCGCTTCAAGGCGGCGAAATTCTATCGCATGGCTGAGAAGCAGGGGAATAAAACTCTGGGGAATTCATGGTATGTCACCCGTACACTGCCGACTGGTAACGGGATTGACTGACTGACTGATTGGCGGGAGATAGGATCTGGAAGGATAAATACAACGAGGATGATGGAGAAAAGGGAGAAAAGGGTAAGAAGAAGTGATCCAATCCAAGCAGATGGAGTGTTTGTGTTTTGGGCTTTTGGGGCTGTTTCTTGAGTTGTTTTACTTTTGGTTGTTTTTGGTTGGAGTGAACAATACCATTGCTTGCTTGAAGCTTTTCGTTTTCGTTTTGTTACGAAGTCTACGACTATTCCCTACTCTACTCTGTCTCTGTCTCTTTGTTCAAGAATGTACTTATTCATTATAATCAATCATCCATCCTTCTCGATCATTGGGAACTGTCTTGCAGGCAATGGCTACCGTATGTCATCGTCATGAATAATTCACAGGCAGAGAGTACGGGGATATTCTTCGCAACGGATGGGACTAGATAGCCACTCTGACTTATGTTTTGCTACACAAATGTACCGGACAGACTCCAGAGTACGCACACTCGGAAATATCACGGCGCAACTCCCCACTCTCACGAGTCACATCCCATGACCGCCAAGCAGCTGCTAACTACCATACCGTAGTAACATGCAGCTCTTATCAACGGATCTAATCTGTACGTCAGTGGCCAGGTAGGTACCTCCAAGCATCCCATCAAGCTGTCCTCAACGCCCCTCCAAAAAATCCCAAAAATGCCATCCCACAGCAAGCCCCCAATTTCGACCGACATCCGGGTACAAGACTACCTAAACGACAAATTCCAGACGTTGGCAGACCTGTCATCGCTTGACTCCCTTCTGTCCTCTGTACAAACACAGCAATCGCAGCTGCGCACGCAGCTCCAAACCGCAGACCGCAAGGCCACCACCTCGCGCGCCGATCTCGCCGCACACTCCACGCACCTCCGCGGCGAAATCGATGCATTCACGCAGAAACAGGAGGCGATCGACCGGCGCCTGCTAGCGACGACGACGGCCGACACGGCGATCGATGCGGCCGCGCGCTTCGAGGCGACGATGGAGCGGCTGCAGCGGCTGGATGTAGCGACTGGATATGTTGACCTCCTGCGACGCGTGCAGGTGCTCGATGAGCAGGCGGCGGGCCTCGTGGATAGGGGGGATCCGGAGGCTGCGCTGCGGCCGTATACGCTGCTGCAGGAGCTAGCGAGGGGGCTGAAGGAGAGGAATGAGGCTGCTGAGGGCGCCGCCGTGCATTTGGTGGATTATGTGGAGGGCGCCACGGAACAGCTGTGGCGGAGAATGAGGGAAAGACTGGCGAGGGGGCTGGAAGAGGTGCTCATGAAGCTCAAGTGGCCTGCGGAGAAGGTTGTTATGACGAAGGAAGTGGCGGAGGAGTTTAGGAGCGCGTTTGAGAAGTTGCTGGTGCTGCAGGGGCCGTGAGTTGATCGCTGGTAGTCGTGGGTGGTGCGGGGTGCTGATGGAATGTAGCGATCTGGAGAGCGCGAAGGGTACGGCGACGCCGTTGCTGCCGCTTGAGGTTCTGGTGAAGCCTCTGGCCTTGCGGTTCCGATACCATTTCGATGGGGATAGGGCTACCAACCGCATCGACAAGCCGGAGTGGTTCCTGGCGCACATAACGGGCTTGGTGACTACATACACCGATTTCCTCCGGGAGATCGTCCAGCCTATCCTGTCGGAATCGGCGAATCCCCTCAACCAGCGCGATGCGGTCAATGAGTTCATCACGGCGCTCCTGCCGATCGTCATGAGGAAAACGAAGAATTTGCTGCCGCAGATATTGGACCAGGCGCAGTTGCTAAGCCACTTCATACATGAGATGATCAAGTTTGATGCCGAACTGCGGGAGGAGTTCTATTACACTCCGTTTGGTTGCGATGGCCCGTGGAAGGGCATGACACATGAGGTTTTGGTCGTGGAGAACGGTTTTGCGGACTGGCTCCACGTCGAGAAAGAATGCAAGTCACCATCTCCAGCTTGTAGGCGGATCTCTAACCGGGGGTGTAGTCGCACTGTCTCGCTACCATACCATTCTTGCTGCCCCAGACGCTTGGGTCTTGGATTATGACAGCGTTGAACCGACGGATTCCAAGCCTACGAAGTCGGCGATACGTCTGAAGGACCTCATCGAAACAGTCACCGATAGCTACCGGCCGCTGATCTCCTTCAGCCAGCGTCTCCGCTTTCTAATCGACATCCAGATCGCAATACTGGACCAGTACCACGACCGCCTCAACGGCAGCGTAGAGGCGTTCCGAGTCCTTTCCTCGTCGATCGCGCGAGCGGTCCAGGGCACAAGTAAAGAGGAGGTAGAGTCACTCACCGGCCTTGCCGGTCTCGAGCGACTGTGCAAAGCGTACGGCTCGGCGGTGTTTATGGAGAGCTGTATGCGAGACTGGGGCGAGGACATCTTCTTCCTGGAACTATGGGAAGATCTGCAATCGCGCGCGTCAAAGGCAAGTCCCAACAAGAACCTTGCGGGTAATATGAACATCCGCGACGTAGCTTCGGTGACCAGCAACGCGCTCGTGTCGGGCGATGACGACGACGACGGCGCGCTCTTCGATGAGACGGCCGGATCGTATAAGGATCTGAGACGTAAGACTGAGGAGACTATGGTTGACCACCTCGTGAGCCTGCTGAAGAACGAACTCAAGGCGTACATCAAGATGTATTCTCCCCCGCCCCCCGTTTCGACATTGTGCACTAACACGACCAGAAACAACTGGTCCTCGCTCGACCCATCCCACTCCGCCTCGTCGATATCCCCGGAACTCGTCTCTGCGCTCTCCACGCTCTCCACGCACCTCTCCTTCCTCTCGCGCGCTCTCGCGCCTGTCGTGTACCACCGGATCATCCGTGCCGTAGCCGCCGCGCTGCAAACGTACATCTGGGACTACGTTTTGACGCGCAACACGTTCTCGCTCGCCGGCGCACGGCAGTTCGCCAGCGACATGACGGATCTGTCGAATTCCTGCGGTGGCTGGCGCGAGATGGTACGGCTCCGCGAGGCGTGCACGCTGCTCACTCTGCCGCTGGTGAGGCTGGAGGAAGATGAGGAGGGAACGCAGTTGCTCCTGAAGGATGTTGTCAGGCCGGTCTTTGAGGATAATAATAAGGCGAGAGCGGTTATGATGAAGCTCGCTCTGGAGAATTTGCAGGTCGGTGAGGTCAGGATGGTGCTGCAGAAACGCGTGGAGGCGTTTGGAAGTGCGTAAGTAGAAACGTCTTTTTTTCTTGTAGGATGTATATACTCCGAGTGCGAGATGGTGATTCCACTCGTGAAGTTGAGATGCATGCATCAGAGTGAATTAAAATGCACGCGGACGATGAATCAGCACCTTTCTTCCTCAAATTACATAATTACATAATTCGCATTCGCTCACCCAGCGAGCTCCCTTACTTGTCCGCATCGGCAGTCCAAATGCACGCGCCCGGAGCAATTACCCCATCCCTATAGCCAGCCGAGCAGAGCACCAGCCGAGCAGAGTCGACCGCCGAATCCCGGGCCGCTCCCGGGGGACAACACAGAGCGCGGGAGGGAGGGGGGGTAAAGGTCCGGTTTTCTCCGAGTACATACAAGCATGTACGGTATGCACACCGGAGCTTTCACCGCACCGCCGTGTCTAAGGCCGTAACGGTGTCTTAGTGACAGGTACATGTAGGGGTATCTCAGTGACAGATACATGTAGGTAAGTACCGCGGATGGGCTGGACTGGGCGGACAACACTTCACTTTACTTCACCACGCCGCACTTCATTACGCCTCACGTCGTCTCGCACCTAACCAACCGACACAACAGCTATCAGCCGGAGTAGTAGTAGGAGCACTGGTAAGTGCAGGTAAAATCACTCGACAGCGAGCCTCGCAACAACAAGTCTTGGAGCAGCAAGTCTTGGAGCAGCAAGTCTTGGGACCACCAAGCGCAAGAGCAACGTCGAGGGGGGGTTCATCAATCCCGCCAGCGGGATCGCCAGCGGGGCGGCGGCCGGGCGCTCTAGATCTACTCTACATACATAGACTCTAGGCTCTACGTAGACTGCGTAGACCTGTAGACCCATATCCTGCGTAGAGTGGTAGAGTGTACAGTACTGCAGGGGCGCTACGCGCAGGGGCGTACATAGGTATCCCAACAGATCACGGGTATCACTCGCTCTCCCATCATCCCCGCTTCCTCTCTGTCTGAGCCTCTGTCACTCTCTGCACCCTCCGGGGACTGCATGCGATGACGTCCACCAGGCTCCGCTCCTTCACATTCACCTTCACCTCAACCTGCACCTGCAGCCACCCCGCGCCCGATTCTCCCGATTCCGGCACTCGCAGAGCCACCACGTATCCATCCCGTACATATAATACATGTAGGAAGAAAGGAAATCATTTTTTCGCCCGTCTACATTGCATTACATGTATCTTTTCTTCTTTTCTTCATCTTTTTCATCGCATTATTTTCTTTTTCGTCTTTTCTTTTTTCTTTTCATCCCTTTTCTTTTCTCTGCCCGTCTGTCTGTCTGTCTGTCTGTCGTGCATGCATGCAAGTAACTCTGGCTGCAACCATGGCAGTAGTTGGTGGCAGTAGTTGGTGGTGGTGGTGCAGTGGGCTCTGATGAAGTGGCAGCACGAAAGCTTCACATGTGGCTAGTAACCCACCTGTGACCCACATAGCCAACAACTTACATGTACAGACAGTGCAGTACGTGGCCAATGATAAACGCCACGAGCCACCGCCAACCAACCAGCCAGCCAGCACGTATCATACGTGCGTACCTAACAGACAGATAACTGCCGGATGTACCGATGTGTTATTCCGACAGGAGAAGAGGGGGGGGGGGGGGGGGGGGGGGAGAGAGGGGGGAGGGGGATTTAGAACCGCACTGGACAGGACACGCACGAAGGAGGGGGTAATAGCTTGCGGTCACTGGCTCACTGGCTCCCTCAATGAAGGCCGGTAGGTGGGGGTGAATGCTGTTCCTGGATGATGGCCGCTACCTACTCTACATACATGCTCTACATATCATATCCCGATTCCCAACGCCCAACATCCCACCTCCCACATCCCACATTCCACACTCCACAGCACATCCCTGCAGCGATCTGGCAGGTGCGGCTGAAAGCGGAAGGCTTCTGGAAGCTGGAAGGGTAAAAAGGTGCAGGAGCAGCAACAGCAGCAGCACGCGGGCTTTCGGTTTGTGGGTGGGTTTGCACTCCCTCCCTCCATCCCTCTCACCCTCCGGGGATCTCTGTTTGGGCAGTAGCTATGGCGGAGTTCATGCGGTCATGCTCGTGGAAATTCATTGCCGCGGTCCCCGCGAAAGTGGAATGGGACGGGATGGAACGGGATGTTTTCCGGCAGGCAGGAGTGAACAATTGCCATTGCTATTGCTATCATATTGCCATTGCTATAGTCATTGACATTGCTATTGCTATTGCTACATACATAGGGCCATTGCAAACCCCACGGACAAACAAAACGCAACGCAGTCGTCGTCGTCGAAACTTGTTCCCTCCGGCCCTCCGGCCCTCCGGGGAAAGAAATGCCAATGCCGACGTACGTCCCGCATCGTGCAGCGTGCATTGCATTCATGGATGGAACCTTGGACCTGAGCTCTAGGTACGTTGGAACGTAAGTTGGAACGGAAATTTGTGACGTAAGCTCAAGTCTCGACGAGATGTTGTATTGTAAAAGAAACAAACAAACGCCGCCGTCAATCGCGAGGGCGTCGGCCCCACTACCCACTGGACGCCTTGCCGTCGGCGGGGGGGAGTCTAAACTAAACTCAACTCGAGATTGCTCGGGCGTCGACGGTGGGGAGAGTCGACGAGGTTTCCTCCGTGTGCAGAGTCCCCCCCCCCCCCACATAACCGCTCACGGAGCTCCGAAGTGGCTTGTGCAATCGGGGGCGTTTGCTGGGTGAGATCGTCCCCCCCCCCCCAGGAGCCGTTGTGGCGAAAAAATTGAGAAGTCTCGATCTTTCGCTGCGGTTGTATCTGGATGGGGAAGCAAAAGCCTCGCAGCTAGAGTCGCAGGACCGAACCGAGATGTCGAACCTTGCAGCCTGGACCAAACGTCAGCACTGTCACCCACAACAAGGAAGACGCCGGTAGAACAATATCAATGTCTATAGCATACCTGGTAAAGTGGATTCGAAATGCAAACAACGGTTGTCGTGCATGCCAAGGGTAGTTGGTAACTGCTGTAGAGTAATTCACCACTATGTGCACCGATAGTGACAGCCTCGTTGGCCTTACTCTACTTCGTAGTCTGCAGCCGGCTCTGCTGACATCGGTCGAGGTCGAGGCCGAGTTCGCGCTTGTTCCTCCGCCTCCGGCCCTTGCTGGCCGTGACGGGCGTCATGTTTTCGAAGCACGGCTTCATGCTGAATGAGGAATCAACCCGAAGACCTCGAATCCGAGATTAACTGAAAGATGGAGGGGCATGGAAGCCCTGGAGAGCGAGGGTGACGATGGCATGTAGTTCTCCGACTACCCGTTGCAGCCGCCGAAAGCTGGATATGACGGCCAGTGCTCGCTGGCCTTCCGTGATTCCGAGGATTGCAACGGTCGTGTCGCCTCGTACGTGTTGGCTGCTGGATGAGCTTGAGACGGCAGATTGTATGTAGTAGAGTAGGTAGGTCGGGTACCGGTATCGTTCATCACCACCATGTTTCCTTGCTATGGTCCAGGGGCGAGGAACTGGCAGAGTAGGGTGGACGGGTACTCTCGAGTACCTCAGCTCTAGGTCCCTGACGATATCCGGTGTTGTTATTGTTATCGTTGCAGTAGCTGGGCGCTCCACATACGGCATATGCACAGCTATACCTACCGTACATTATCTGCCACCCTGGGTTGACACGTTGCATTTCGGCTGGCCGTCCATCCATTTCGACCGAGAAGTTCGATTGGACGGTGTAGGGCAGGCCAGACGTCGCCAGCCGGGATATCTGAGCTGAGCTGTGAAGTGACTGACGGAGCTGCACTCTCCCTCTCAGCGGTTACTCGCTGTTGTAGAGCAGAGTCATGGAGGCTGGGCCCTCCAATCTTAGGTTGGAAATCCCATTGGCGGAGGGAGATACGGAGGCCCAACTATCTGTCTCGAATGTGTCGTAGAGTAACCAGGAAGACTCGGTCACGTTCCGGGCCGCGGTCGTCATGTGGGCGAGCGTGATCCGACCCCCGTCCCCCAAGCAGTCGAACATCATATGGTCGTTGTCGAGCCGGACATGTGCGTGGGCAACTTGCCGAGATAGACGCTCCACGAAAGGGCTGGAGTCGCGGGTGATGGGAAGCCGTAACTTAATAAGGTGTAGAGCATGGTAGTAGTCTAGCACCGGTGCCTTGTGGAGCTTCGGGCCTTCCCACACTGCTGATGGGATATCTCTTTCACCGGCTTATAGCCCCACGTTTCACGGCGATCCGAAACCGAGAACCTTCATAGCGGTGAAATAAGGTTGAAGTCTCCCATCCTAAGGATATAAATTGTATGCTATCCTCCATCCATGTGCTCGTCATCTCCACCTAGTTCTTATGCAATCAACGCCGCACTGGCCTCGATCATATCCGCATCATCAGTCCAAACCACAACTAAAATTTGACAAGTTTCTTCGCCGGATCCGGTTTAAAGTTGCAGCAGTTGAAGTATTTTCCAGTCTTGGGTGAGCCGGTCCTTGTGTCCACCGGCGGACGGTGATGAATGGGTGGAAGTAGTGTGGGGGGGATGAGAGATCGCCCATCCTGATTTCTTCGAAGGTCTGAACCTGATCCTACGGATACGAGCAAAAGCACGCCCAATGTGAGCGTTTCATCCGAACATCCGTCAACGCTCGGGAGGTTCGACGATGACCAATGTCGACAATTCCTCGCAGCAACCAAGCAGCACGCAGCTTCCTTGCCCCAACAGTTCCACGTCGTGTGCGTAGATCTGCTAGTCATGCCAATACTTACCTGCAGATCTCTCGCCTTCTGCTTCCTCGAATCCAAGTTGTTGAGCTGGGCACCCGACGCAAGGCTTTCGTCCTGCCATCGATGTCGATGTCGGATTCGAGCTCCTCGTAATCGTGCATCCAGTGGTCCTTATCGGGTTGTTGGCCGCGCATTTTCCAGTTGGATCTTCCTCTCGGACGGACGACCCAATCTGCCGGCGTGATGGCCATGTCTTGGGTGACGTGCGCAGTGTTGCTGCGGCGTTGTTGAGAGGACTCAGTGTCAATCTTGGGAGCTGATTCTTGGAGGTCGGAGCCAGATCCCTTCTTCCAGCCAGACGAAGGAATAGCAGGTTCGGGAATGCTTCCATCTGGTGGAGCCACTTCATATCTGCTTCTGCTTCTCCTTCTCGTTCCAGCCCAAGCCACTCCGCTACAGGATTCGTTGGAGGTCCTGTGTACTTCGCTGGAGGCCCTTCACCGCTTGCGGTCCTTCTTCGCTGGTGAAAGTACTACCGGCACAGCCAAAAGCAAGAATATTGGAGTCGAGGCAAGCTCGTCCGCCTTGGGAGGATGTGCGGGTAGAGATGCTTCCAGAGGTGAAACCTCAAGTTGCCCGTGCTGTTGAAGAGCTTGATCGCTGGCCGCTCGCCTTCTGGTATGTATGTAGGTATTCTCCAATCAGCCCCGCAGCAAGGTGTACGCTGCGTCGGACGATTCCTTCGGTAAGCCACATTTGTAAAAGCCACGGATCTCGAGGGGAGGTATTTGCCATTGAGAACTCGGAGATGAAATGATAGGTATGGCTTGGAATGTTGGTATGTAGGTGGGAGTAGAAGAGAGGGTAGTGTCGTGAGCTTGGAATCGTGGAAGGCTAGTCACTGCTTCGCAATGAATGCTCAGACTTGCCATTGGTACTCGAGCTCTGTCTGTAACAAGCTGCCCACAAAGTCCCTCAACGTTTTAGGCACCGTCGTCGATTCGGTGTCTCAACACGATCCTCCTCGAACTAGACCCAAGTCAGTAGCCACAACGTCTACCCAGCATGTCATCAATCGTCAAGCGAGCAAGCCCACCAAATTTCATGATTCAGCATCTACGTCCCATCAGCAACCACTAGTACTTAACTAGCAAACCCGAGCACAACCCACCATCATCCAAGCGCCGTCGCCAGTTATGTCACCTCACGATAGGGGCGTACCATAGACGCGCTAGGCGCGACAGCGGCTGAGGAGCGCGGGACAAGAACGCCCACTCGCAGCCCAATAGCGCGAGGCTGCCCTCCACGCCCTTCCGCTTTCCGGTGGCTTGCATTGGGGGCTGGGGTGGCCTATGCAAGAGATAGTTACCTGTCCGGATATCACTGCATTCCAGTCAGTATGCACCCGCCATTGGCCAGTGCCCGCGGCCGATCCCATTGGGCGAGCGGTGAGTGAGTCAACATCCATGAGGCGCACTGAGTATACTCTACTACACACATACATACGTGGAGTCTGACGTTTCCGGGGCCACACCCCGTGCCCGACCGGTGTGGGTGCCGTCCGTCCATCCATCCCTCCATCCCTTCATCCCTCCATCCACCCATCCACCCATCCACCCATCCATCCAGCCTGTGTAAATCCAGCTACAGCAAGAGCACGGCCTGTGCTTGCGCGGAGTCAAGTACGTACGGCTCGTGAGGATACTTGTCGAGTACGTATCGTATGTACACCCTACCAGCCTCCGCGTGAATCGAGACGGCTTGGCCCGTCTAGACCTTCCGCCCCTCAGCTCTCGCTGCCCCCGGTGGGGGATGTCTGAAGTGGAATGCCCGCACGGAAGGATGGTCCTGGCAGTTGGTGGTAGTGTCCACTCGAACACCTACTTACATACCTACTTGCCTATGCGTAACTCCTCCCCCCCCCTCCGTCCTAGTATGTAGCCCGTCCGAAATGACCTACATACCTGCCCGCTCCCCGTGAGCCTGATCACTGACGAGGGTTGCACAAGTCCAGTAGAGTAGGGTACGTCGTCCCGGAGGCTGGCTGGCTGGCTGGCTGGCTGGCTATCTCTGTCTATCGGCGTCCTGGCTGAGAAAGCAAAAGCAACCATACCGATCGTGCTATCAGCATGTGGGTGGTACCGCCTTGGAGACCTTGGACTTTTGTTCTCAGTCCCGGAGTGCGCATTCCGCTGAGAGGTACATACCGCCTCCACCACCACGAGGGGTGAGTCCGCAGCCAGCTGCCCACTGGGCAATGCCTTTGGAGGGCTTTCCTTCCGGAGAAGTCAGTAACAGTAGTAGCGTACGACGAGTATGAGTCGAGCTCCCTAGCTGTTGAGCCCTACGCTCCGGCTACTGGACAATGGCTCCTCGTTTCAAGAGCCCCAGGCAGCGTGTTGTACAGTACAGAGGGCCCACAGCCGAAGGAAGGATGGATGGATGGAATCTGGATGGAGGCCGGAGGAGGGGTCCCCTCACAGTCCGAAGTCACCATCACTTCCCCGCTCTCGATGTCATGCCACAAGGCCACAAGCATTCTAACGATTTGCTAACCGCCAGACAGACAGGCAGGCAAGCAGGCAGGCAGGCAGGCAGGACCACGCTCGCTCATCATTCATGCCGGCAGTCCAGCCCCAGTATGTACGTAATCCACTGCCGCCCGCCCGCCAGCATTTATTTGTGGGACGGGAGGGAACGGAAACATATCTGCTTGCTTACTGCTGCGCATGAAAAAGATGAGGAGAGTTTCTCGATAGACAGACACGCTTGGGTTTTTTTCTTCTTTTTCTTTTCTTTTCTTTCTTTTCGAATGGTTCCATCCACCCATCCATCCATCCCATTTTGTTTTCGAAAGCAAGTAACTAAAACCCCCGGGAAGGGGAGGGAAAAAAGGGACGAAAGAAGCATAATGGAGGGGGGGGGTTCACGATCGGGGGCCAATCACGGCAGGGGAATACGTTGAGTACTGGGTACTCGAACCGTGCGTAGAGGTGTCTAGGTGGTGGGAAGATCGATTCGGAATCGGGAATGTCTCGTTTGCAACGAGGTAGGTGCAAGTGGGAGGGGGGGGAGGAGGAGGAGGAGTAGGAGGTTTCATGTTCTCCGCCGACAGCACGCATTAACTAACAGCGGCAGTCTGATACGAGGTGGGGTTGGGATAATGCACACACCAAGTCTGGATCGAACGGGACTACGGGCCACGACTGCGTTGTATGTATGTATGCAGGGACGAGTTGGTAGGTACTTGGGTACTTACAGACCAAGATGGTGACGACGATGATGTCTGCCCTCCGGCCGATCGGTGTTGGCACAATTTGGGGCCCGTTGCAAGTGTCATTCTGCTTCCCGGCTGGGGGGAGATTAACGGCTTTCCTTTCACATGCCAGGAAAGTATCCATCACGGCCAGGTAGGTGAGTAGGTAAGTAACTTGGTAGCTAGGTATCCAGCCGGTGGGCATCAGCGGGTGGCCAGACCAGTAGATGCCGCCCGATCATATACCTGGTAGATACATGCCTGAGGGCGGAGTAACGGGCTAAGAGTGGACGTTGAACCGTTCCCAGTCGACAGGCCGATGCGCAGATTGGTCTCAAGATCGCAAGGCGGGCGATTCCCTCAGACGACACGGTTCCAGTGTCCACGCTCGATTCAATCCGCAGCCTGTTTCTATCTTGAGCGTGTCTTGTGCGATACCGGTACAAGTTTACACTGGTATTTACACACACACACGCAGACACACAGACCCAAACCGCGGAGGTTGGCTGATACCGAAAATACCTGGGATTGATTACGTAGGTATTTTTGTCCACACTCAAGTGCCGTACACACTTTGTAATGTAATGTATTTCCACCCGTCGGATTTCGAAAGAAATTGAAACAACCGTCGACCAACCAACCGAGTGATTGCTACGGAAACAACATGTCAGTTGCATCCGTCCTTCTCTCCGCCCAGTGCCCAGTGCCCATGCCCATGCCCACGCCCATGCCCATGCCCTCCCCAGGACCCCGGTGCAGATCATTGCCTCTCGATACGGATTGCTCGCTTACTATTGGGCACACATGGCCATGACCGTGAGTCCGTGAGTGAGTCTGTGTCTGAGACCACGCCGACGCCGACGCCAGAAGAGATGCCAGAAGCCCATCCAGCCTCGATTCCTCGGCGCGCCGTCGGGCGGCGGCCGGGGTCACGTACTCACTTAAAAAGTGGGCTGGCCGGTCGATGGGCATTTGCTTTATTATTATTATTATCTATTTTATTTCCGCACGATTCGGAGGAGCGTATGATACATACCAGTACTTGGGCATAGGAGGTGGAGGATGAGGAGGAGAGGAGGGCGACGACGACGAGTAAAGCATGCATGTACCGATTAGTCCTCTCTACTATTCTATGCTAATATGTAGGTAGGGCGCCAGGCGCTAGACCATACATGCCATATATACTAGTACCGTACCGTACAACATCAATGATCAGATCTGATCAGATCTGATACGATCTGATATGCACAGTGCACTCTACAGTATCTACAGTACTCTACTGTTGGTACAATAGTAACCACCTTAGCCGGGGGGCCTTTCGTATAATCATACCATCGTATGTAAAAGAAATCAGACATATGTACGCAAATACATACCGAGAATACATTTGGTATGTATTTCCGTACCGCCCGTATGTAATCTCTCTCGCCCCCATCCCCCCATCCGCCTCGCCTCGCCTCTCCCCATATGCTCTGCCTGCCTGCCTCCTACCAGAGTCGGGCATGATACGCATACCTTCTCTCCTCTGCTCTGTTCTGCTCTACCTACTCTACATTAGGGCACTCCACCTTCGTCTATGTTGGGTTGGGTTGGGTTAGGTCGGCTATCGGTATGCACATGCTCTACATATGCTGCTGCTGCGGCAATGTCTTCATTTCGGTTGATTTGGTACGGTAGATATGTAGAGTATGCATACCTAGGCGGCGGTAGATATGTAGGTGGAGTGGACTGCGGCGGCATGATGATATACGGACGGGCCATGGATTACTCTCCTTTACTGGGTATCTGCCTGCCTACTCTTGCCTGCCTACTTTCCTACTTACAATTCCGCAGCGTAGCCTACCTAGCCTACCAATGTCATTACCCCAGTTACTCTAGCTCGAGGGGAGGGGGTAGAGATACGGTGGTACAAGCCGGGGTGCAGTGGGGTGTTTTTGTTTTTTGTTTTCTGTTTTTTGTTTTTTGTTTTGTTGTGTTGTTTTGTTGTGTTGTTTTGTTTTGCCAAATTTGACCCGGATGAACATCGCCGCTCGATCTCGTCTCGTCTTGTTTGTACACGTGGGGCCCATTATGACATGTCAATGTGGGGGGCATATCTAGTCGTATGTCTTCAATTGGTGATGGCCTACGGGTATCTGGAATACTAGTAGAGTATCGTAACACTCGTGCTCATTTCTTGACCTTGACCGTCTGCATCTCGTGAGTCGTCCATCCCCTGAAGGCTAAAGAGCGAGTGCGAGACGTGAATCCAGTAGCAGCAGCATCGTCTTCGTTATATCGCCAGCCGTCCGTCAGTCAGTCTTTGTAATTACCCATTACACATCACACATTACACATCACACATCATTTGGCATACTCTACATCCGAGGGTTGGCAGTTGGCATGTGGGGTCTTTTCGTTTGTCATTTTCGTTTTCGTGTTGGTTTTTTCAGTTTTTCGGTTTTGTTTATTTGCTATTGTTTCCGAATCCCACCGTAGGTGGCAGGTATGATATGTAAGGAATATGTAAGTGCCATGGGATATGTACTCTACCGTCCACGTTCGCTCCGCAGGGCGAAACCTTCCTCCCCCCACTCACTCACTCACTCATACACACTCATATGTAGAGTAAACGCTCACACACCATCCGCACTCACACAAGGATCAGCGCAGCGGCATTTGTTGGATCGGAGATGAGGCCTGGGTATGTATAGTGGAGTAGGGTATCTAGGGTAGGGTAGGGTTTGTAGGAGGACTCATCTCGTTCCTGGGTAGGATGGTAGGTATAACCGGTAGCAGTGGAGATGAACGCTGCGAGGAACAGGTAGGGAAGCGGAAGGGAAGCAGAAGCAGAAGGGAAGGAGAAGGGAAGGAGAAGATTCCGTACATACTCTACCGTACATACCGTACTCCAACGGCCGCCCGGCCACGCGGGGAGACGAACGGGCGGACGGAAGTTGGAACGACGGACGGATATCGCAGTGGTGAGCACGGAGGTGCTCAAGCACTTGCTTAAGTACCAACCAACCTACCTGTAAATTGTAATAGGTACTCCACCGTATGGTACGGCATGTGGTTTATAGCACTGCCGTGGAGGGATGTCAGGATGTCGGGCTCATCTCGCTCGCTCGTTCGCTCGAAAGTACCGCCCCGTACCTTACCTTACCGTACCACACCGCCCCGTACCGCACCGCACCGGGCCGTACCTGGATGCATATGTGCGTGAGTACCATGTGTACCATGTGCAGGATGGTTTCGAGCGCGCGCGACGTATGCATGGAGATCTCGGTAGGCAAGTAGAGTAAGGCCCAGTTTGGTTCGCAGCTGCAGTTTGAATCTACCACACAAAAAGTGAGCTGCAGTTTCGAACCGTCAACTTCCCCGAATGAGTGCCTGTTTGGCACACCACCCCAAGTTGACAACTCGAGAAACTGCAGATTGTCGACTGAGCCACAGTAAGTACAAATAAACTTTACACATGGACAACCACCAGCAGTACATGCCAGTATCGCCCCCGTAGTCAACCCCACCGTAGTCGACCTCACCATCGTCCCTCTTCATTACGCCTACGATGTCCGACACCGGCCACGTTCTACGGTTCCTCCGTTGTGACTGTGAATAGGAGGAGTCACTTGCTGGTACGGTGCAGAGGAGGAGCCGCCGTTGTGAGATGGGAGGAGGCATTCCCCAAGTGACCGGAAGGGCCACCTCGTCGCTGTAAAAAGCTAGTTATGGTTTTCTGACGTAGCCCCGAAGTCCAAAAAAAAGTACAAGTGTGGCGTGCTGTCGAATATCTGGGTTGCCGAACGGTCATCAGGGGAGTTGAGAGTTTGGAACTGCAGCTTGGCCAACCTTCAACTCGTTAAACTGCAGATTTCTAAACTGCAGCTGCGAACCAAACTGGACCTAAGTCATATCATATGTACCATTTTTTTTATTTTTTGGCAATAGGCAGAAGTGCCTGCCTACGGTAGATTGTACATCATAGGTACACCGTACAGGAGGACTTAAGTGGGTATAATATAGGCATTAGGCACTTGGCCCTCGCGAGTCGCCAGACATGTGAACAGTGAACCTTGAAGGTGTACCCAAGTATGCACCGTATGGCAGTTATATGCATCTCACATGGATACTTCCTACATCCCGCCCGGATACATAATTTTCCGTAGAAACCGCATTCCCCCAACTTCCACTTCCACCGTCCACTTCCAAATCCCCCCATGTCCCTTGGCACTAATGCACCATCTGCGAGAATTACCGCCCGCCCGCCCAACTTCTGTACTCTATCATACTATAGAGATATAGAGATATAGAGATATAGAGATATAGAGGTATACCTACTCTACATCGCATAACATCAAATCATTCCCTGTTGAAACTCGCGCCACGCATGATTGTGATGCCTGGCTGCACCGTAACCCGTTGCCCTACCAACGTACTCTACATACCCGGGGAATATGCCAGGAACCAACGGAGGACTGGGCATGAAACTCGTAGATTCCATCGAGAGAGGAGGGGCTAGGTAGGAGGGAGAGAGTGTTGCTTTTCGCGGCGCCGGGGAAGGCAGCATCAGCTATAGTACTCTACCTATTGTTGTTATTGTTGTTGGAAGGGCATGTGGTAGATAGCTTCTGCAACAAGCGCCCAAGCGAATTACATATTTACATACCAAGGTAGGGCTCCCAACATCCACGTGGTTTGGGCATTGTAGGAGGAGGAGGAGGAGGAGGAGGAAAAGCGGTGAGGCTGACGATCGTTTCCCAGTTTCGGCTGGGAGCGGTTGGCGTAGCAGGTAAGGTAAGATGTAGATGTGAATTGCTGGGAGCGAATGAGGAAGGGAGGGATTGATCAGCCATGCTCCATGGCCCATGGGATCTCTCGCGTCAAGGGCAGGACGAGATAGCACATGCAAGTACTTCTAGTTATGTAGAGTACCTACTCTACCGATGGGATTGGAGGCGGGGGTATGTATATAGAATTGACGGAGCCGAAAGGTTTGAGTTTGAGATTGAGCAAAAGCGACGTTCGGGAGGCGCCGGCGTTGTCACGTTCCTTGCGGCTATGGAGAGTACCCACTGTCCAGATAAATATCATACCAGTGGAACCCTGCACAGTGCACGCCCAATTGGCACTGCGAGGGGGACGATCCGCCAATTAATATTCGAGGATCGCCTTTTACTTTTCTTTTCTTTTCTTTCTTTCTTTCTTTCTTTCCCCAATCTCCAAGCTAGAGGACTTTAGAGTCTAGAGAGTGGGTCCGCTACTCCACTTACAGTTGAGTGCGTGACCCGCTCGACACCGGGGGAGGGGGCAGGGGAGGCCGCAGGCGTCTGTGTGCGGACGATGCCCGGCGGTGATCATGCGGCGACAGGAGCGGGGGGGCGGGGATTTGCTGCATGAAGCGGGGCTACATATACCCAGTAAAGCATAGTAGAGGTCCTCAAACCTTGCTGGGTGACCTGGCCAGCTAGGTGATTAGGTGTTTCTATTGGTTTGGCGATCTTTCAGGTTTCTCGGCACCGCTACTTCCTCCAGCTCAGAAAAAGTTGTCTGGGTGACTTCAGGAACTCTAGCTCGCCTCTAGCTTGCCTTTGGTTCGTTGTGAGTAGTTTCCGGGATCAAGAAAAAATTTGTGCTCGAGTTGCTCGACTCCAATATCCGCGCGCAAACGACAATCGACTCCATTTTTGAACCCGGTGATGGCGAAGAGGATGTGCGACTCAGCAAGCGATTACACCTAGCAAGCTGGCGACATACCTCATACACATGGGAATACATTAGTATGGGTACAGATACCGCATTGCAAGAGTCAATCAACTTGCACAGTTGGAGTCATTAAAGTAATGACTAGTCACCGAGCAGGATTGACTCCAGTCACCGAGCAGGATTGACTCCAGTCACCGAGCAGGATTGACTCCAGTCACCGAGCAGTATTGACTCCAGTCACCGAGCAGGATTGACTCCAGTCATCGAGCAGGATTGATTCCAGTCAGCGGGCAGGAGGACTGGGTGGTGTAGAAAGGGCTCAGAAGTCAGGGATGTACCCTGAATGTACTCGGAGCTAATCACCTGGCCACCCAGCCCCGCAGGGCAAGCTCCTCAAACCCGAATTTCATGGCTGGACATCGTTATTGGTTAATCTGTCTTGATGGGTTTCCGGCCGGCCAGATCACCCGGCAAGGTTTGAGGACCTCTAGTATTATGTATGCTATCCAAG